TGATGAAGATCAGAGACCCAACTAATAAAAATGCCAGATGCCACAGTATTGGTTATGGCAGAATGACAACAATGAAAATTAAATAGTATTGAACATTGGATGAAGATCCAATTGTTTATTCAATGAACAGAAATAGTTGTGAATGAGAAGAACTCCACAAGCAAGTAGCTGACAAGAGTTCGAACAATTGTAAGGGAGAATCGAATTAGATTGATTGTAATGAACAATCAAGTTGAAAGAAAAAAAGGTAATATGTAATTAATCAAAAAGATGATTCTTTTTGATAGAGAAGAAGAATAGTAGTATATTTCAGTGAAGAGAGATATATGAAGAAGCTTGCAGAAGCTTGAAGAAAAAAGAGAAAAATAATTATCGTATCATTTTCTTGAGCTCAAGCGCGAAAAACGAAAAAGTGCCAATATTGAAAATAATAAGCGCGACAAATAAGTAACAAGGGAGAACAATACAGAGGAGAAAAAAACAAGGAGGAAAAAGTGGAACCTATTGGATCCTAGGATCCACTATGATCCAATAGGATCCAACATGATCCAAAAAACCTGATCGGAAAAAGGAGGAATTGATCGTAGGATTTTTGAATAAGAAGCATGAGTGAACTGATGAGATTGGCATATTAGTCAATTCCTATGAATTCTGCTAGGTTCCGATGAAGTTTTCGATACTTAAAAATCAAGTAGGATGCAACATAGGAGTGTACAGCTTACGTTCATGAGTGTGAGCGGTATATTCCTAATTACTATTACTTTATTATTTATTACCAGTTATAAATTTAAAAAAATTGAAACATAAAAGCAACAACTGATAAATAATAACGTGTAATAATTATTACCGTAATAAATACCGACCCAAAGATATTACTTAGAATTGTTTAGTACCTATCCAGGATGATTTCTTATAGCTACTTGCGATCTACCGGGAGATTGTATTAGAAGCTTCCAGGATGAGACCAGAACTGGCCCCTATAGCTATTAGGAGCCTACCCATAGGTGATACTCAGAACTTTTTAAGAAGCACATAGGGGGAATACTTAGAAGTGTTTTGAGCCTGGATAAGTATGGTACTTAGAAATTGTAAGGACTCAGCTAGAGGGAGTAGCCAGGAGTTTTAGGATCTACCCACGGGTGATCCCTTTAGCTATTTGGGATCTACTTACAGATGATACCTAGAACTTTTAAGAAACTGCCAAGAGGTGGTCCTGTATCTTTCTGGACCTACCCCATGATGATCATTAAAACTATGTGAGAACTTCCCAGGGCTGATCTGTGCAACATTTTAGTACATATATAGTGGCATCCCTTATATTCTTCTGCGCAGTGTAGGAGGGGATTCCTATAACTTATTCAGTCGTAACTAGGGATGAACCGAGACCAACACTCATCAATACTGGAACCGAGGTAACTGTGAACGAGCGCGACGACTGAGGCGGAGATAGGCAGTCTCGGTCTCGGCACAACCCTATTCGTAACTATTGGCAGTTTTTATAACTTTTTCAATCCTATATCAGCATCGTCCATTTAACATGTCACCCTGCCCAGTAGTGATATCTTCAAACTTAAAGTACCATCCTTAGCAGTTCCGAAAAATTTATAAGGAGGACCCCTAGGTAGATCCCAAATGGCTAAAGGAACCATCCCAGTGTAAATTCAGAAAATTTACGGGGACCACCTCCAGGTAGGATGCAAAAGTCACAGGGACAACATCTAGATAGGACCTAAGGGATTGAAGGGGTTACCCATCATTACGGCCCAAACAATACTAGTAATTGAATGCAAGCAATCTAGAGATTGTGGATAAATCAGTGAATAGAACTGTTTCAGCAGTTCTTTCGTTCATTTGATCTGAACTACGATCTGACAGCTGTTGTAGTCCTAGTGAGAAAGTGAAAATATATTGATAAATAGAAGTAATTCCACGATCAAGTTCTTTATTGCTTTATTTCTTCCTTATTACTTTATTCATTTTCCTGGTTTTCAGTTAGTACTATTAATTCGAAATAACAGTTATTACTTATTACCGGTGATAGTAATGTGCTGCCCCTACTAGACATATATAATAAGATCCTAGCTTTGTTCTTTGGTAGTTTGCGGTAGTAAGATGAACGAGTTTAAGAAACAAATATTCAGAAACTATGATTTTCCAAACTTTAGTGATCCTATTCTAGCGCTTAATGTCAATTCATCGAGTAACAAGTATTTACATACATCGATTAAATATGTTAGATGAGAAACTGAATGAAATACTATAATGTATTTTTATATGAATATAGCTAAAGTGGGTTCATTATTTCTGGTTTCTTGCATATTCTATTTAGAGAAGAAACGCTCACGCTTATCAGCACTCGGGACCGTGAGCTGCACATCCCTAATCCAGCAGGGTCCATGTATTTTACATTGTTCGAAGATGGCTGTAAAGCGAATCAGTTTTTGGTGCATTGTGGTAGACTCCGACGTATTTAGTAGATTGAAGTAGCTTCTAATAGATTTCCGTACAATCCAGTCAATCTATTGTGCAATATAATACCCTTCATTAGGAGCAACAGGATCCAGAATCCGCTTTTCCCCCCTTGGAAAAAAACATACATGATATAACAGACATCAAGACAAGATCAATGACGTTGTTCCCAGGTTGAGGTTGACGAAGTTCATATACGATCGTAAACGGTCGTATACGCTCCGTTTGTCCCCGTATACGGCTGTATTTGACCGTAATTCATGACTCAGTATTACGATCGTATATCACCGTGTCGTATACGGAGAAATACGACCATATACGGTAAAATACGGAACAATACGGAGATCGTATACGGGCTCAATGTACAGAAATCGTAAGCGATCGTTTTTTGTCTCCGTATATGGTCGTATCTCGCCGTATACGGTCGTTTACGACCGTGTCTGTTCGACCTGGGCTTCCGTCACAGGGAAGGAGTGGGGACGGCATAAGCGTCACTGATGTTATCTTAGTGCCTATTTGTTTCTTTTTCTAGCTTCTCTCTCTTTTTCTCTTGTTTGTTTTTGGGTCTAATATTGTTAATTCATTATTCTTACTCTACTCTTTTTCCTTCAAGCTTCTTCATATATCTCTCTTCACTGAGATATACCTATACTCATTCTATCAATACTTTTCACTCATCATTCGAGCGTATCTTCTCTGACTACTATTTTTCTTCTTGATTAATTACATATTATCTTTCTTTCAACTCGATTGTCCCTTACAATCGTTTCAACTCGTGTCAGCTACTTCCTTGTGAAGCTCTTCTTATTCTCAACTATTTCTGTTCATTGAATAAGCATTTATATCTCAGAAAAATCTATCGTAATTTATGCATGGCTATAGCAATCAAATCGAATTAATTTATTATTGTATGTTAATAGAATTTCTGGCATTCATACATATTCGAGTATGTGTGAATTTTTTTTTTATAAAGAAAATGTTTTTTGAGAGCACTGCGTTGATATAAATTAGCAACAACAAACAATCGTGTAATAACTTTGTAAACTTAGAAAAAAAACTATTCATTGAGATGAATATTTTATCGAATAAAATTTGTGCATAAACATTTTTAATCGAATTTATTTTCAACATAAAGTATCTTCGTGTATCAAATATAAATTCAATGAAAATATAATATACAAAACTTAATCAATAGCTATTTCAGTAGAAAGATTGAAATGCAAAATACGATACTGCCATTTATTCATTTCCGTTTATTTATCATTAAAATATTCCTATCTATATATTGTTTCCAATAGTTGGTACTTGATTTTTGCATAGTTCTAATTTAAGATCATACGTAATTCCAAAAACGAAATGAATATAATTTCTAAAATAAAGAATCACTAGGTTGATTCATGTTAAAGTTGGTTTATAAAGTAAATGACATTTTGCATCTGCTATTTGTGCTTTAGTGTCTGTTAAATTTGAACGTAAATTATTTCCAACAGATGAATGAGGAAATATAAATAATAGAGCAGTACATGGCATAGCTATAACAAATAATAAAAAGAAAACACGATCGAGTACTAGCGCAACATGTTGCCAATCATCTAAGCGTTGTCGATTGTCAATTTTTAAACGGTCATTAATAGTATCATGTTCATTAGAAGTGCTTAATGGTAGTAACCAATTTGCACGTATATGACCTTTTACTTGTTGTAATATTTTAAGTAATTCAACAGCCTTAAGAAAATCAATTGAGAAAAGACATAGAAAATTACAGTCAAGTTTTTATTTTATTACCTGCTGATTAGCTGGTTGAATCGATGTTTTAAACGTAAACAAATTACATAAACGTTTTTCAATACTACTTAATCTCCTGGGTCGTTTTTCTTCGGCTTCATGTTTTTTTGCTAATCGACGCGTTTTCAAATGTTTCTTTACATTACAATAAACCAATGGGCTTAAGTAATCAAGTAAGATAATTTTCATATGAGATGGTACACATGCTATATTTGATGTTGTTGGCCGATGGTATAAATATGAAACGTAAACAGTCATAATGCATGATAAAACAACTAAAAAGAAATTTGCATTACAAAATAATGTTAATATAGGCGTTTCATCATCCGATTTTGGTATATATCCACTAAGTAATTGCAAATAAATAACTAATGAGAGTAGTATAGTAACATTTAAAGTTAATTTTTCACCTGTTTGCGGTGGTAATAAAAATGTAAATAATGTTACAAATGAAACTAGTGCAAATGGCAAGATAATTTTTATTAAATAATGTACATGATTACGTTTTAATATTAATGAAAATCGTACAAGACTATAATCAGCTTGACCGAAATCAGATATACGTTCGTCAGCTATTTCTGTATAAGAATTAAGTAATTCCCATTCACCACGAATAAATGAATGGCCTACAATAGGACGTCGTTGAATGAATTTAACTGAGTGACCATCACGTGAGCCACTACGAATTATTATTGTACAATGTTGTTGATCAAATGGAAAATATGTAGAACGAACTTTACAAATAGTTTTCCATAAATCTTGAAACATGAATCGAACATAACCTAAAAATAAGTTGCGAAAATTGTCAAAATAAATCTCGTATTATTAGGAACTCAAATTGATTACAATCTCTTCAACTAACGAAGCAAAATTTTGTCAAGTCTTCTGGTAAGCCGATGAAAAGTGTCACATTATTATTTCATATAAATTCCTTTCTTTAGTACTTACCGCAACTATAGGAGCAAGGTTTTTTCTTATCTAAGACAACAAATACGTTGTTTCATTCTAAATAGTAATTCCAATAACCAAATTAGTACTTTACTTATCATAAGCATTCTAAGCTAGAATTCAATAAGAGATCACAACAGAAGAACAGGGCTGAAAACTAGTTAAATAGATTCATCATAGCGTTTTCTACGATCTTCACCCTAAAATGTTATAAATATTAGAGAAATAAAAAAATACAGCAAGATGTTTTGTCGTATTGTTGAAAGTGAACTAACTAAAAGAAACTGTTTAATAAATCCTCATAACAAGGCAGAGTGTGAAATTCACCAATTTAAACTAGAAAACAATGATAGTATGCTGTCAAACGAATTAAAATAATTTGTTTTAAAAAGTGTTAATCGTATAAATCAATAAATAAACATTAGAGAGCAGATTGTATACTTAATAAATGTTGAATACAGAATCTCTCTGCTCGTAGTGTTAATATATTCGATGTATGTTATAGAAGACAACAAATATCATTTTATTATTCGCTTCGTCAGATCAACTACTCTTTTTCTCTCTCTCTCTCACTATATATATATACTGTATATATTAGCCTGTTATATAGACTGATTTAACTATTCAGTAAACTACAGAGTAAAACATCTTTAGTCTCGACAAACCTTCACAACTACTATTAAATTTTGTAATAGATCAAGTAAAACCTGGATACAACTCATCAGCATTTACCATGTGACCCTATCATAGATGTTAATTCCAAAGCTTACAATATTCGACTATTGTTGAATGAATGATTCTAGAAAGTTTCAATACGATTTAAGAACCCTTATCAACGATAAATAATTTTTCTGGTGGTATTACCACTCTCTAGGGTTTAGTGAGAAAGTCGAATAAGTACTGAATATAAATTTAGACTTAATACTTTCTTTGAAAAAATTAACTACGTTTCTATATAATGGGATTTTTCATTTTTTCTGTAATGATGATAAATTCAGAAAAGAAGATCAACATGACTTTTTTCAAGACTTTCCTCTCAGTAAGTTGATACCAATAACAAGCTAGTATTCATACAGTTTTCCATGTGATTTAAGAATTATGGTGATTAGCTTTACTTTACGTATTATATTAACATTGCTAAGTCAATAGTTTGAATCTGCAACAAGTGAAATCTACTTGAATTCTATGTGTTACGTAATTCCATATAGAATACTGATCGAATTATTATATCAATTAAAACCTCAATGATATCAATAATATATGTGTCTGATTCGTCACAAAAAAGACTACGTAAACATTATATGACCTATATTTAAAAAGACGAATAATTGTCTACTAATTATTTCTACAACATAGAAATAAACTTAAAATCATCAAAAAAAGAAAAACTTATTTCTTTTTCTGATGAAAAATAAATTTCGAAAAACATAATTACCATCATGTCGTAGAATCAATGCATAGTGTTCTCTATTGCGTGAATGTTTTCCATCGGCCGAATTGACTAAAACAACATCGGGTGTCCATAGATAATTTGAACTAACAGAAAGCTCTGTTATATTGTAACGACTAACATTCCATGACATATATGGATCACACCAGGCACATATCAATTGAACATTACTTGTCACTACCTGTAGTATTTCATATAGCAAACATGTAATTATTTACTAAGCAAAGAAAAAAAGAAATACGGCTCAAACCTGGGCTTTTTCATCAACACTTTCAATTTGAAGTAAAATTAAATTCGTATGAACTTTAGTGATGCCTGCTTCCGGACAAACTCGTCGATCATATGGTCTTTCATGAAACAATAATTTTCGAAGTTCAATTTCATTTGTACTGACATAAGAACTTTGTAAAAATATATTTAGTAATAATAATAAAATTTCTTGAAAAATAATGAAGGATTTGGTTGAATAACTCATAACTTTATTCTGGTAGGAGTGAACAAATAAGCCAACAAAATGTCTATAGACAGCAACATAGAGAGAAGAAAAAACTGAGCAGATCTCCAAGGATTGATCTTATCTGTATGTAAATCGATCTCATACCAAAATTGACAAGCCCAACCAGTGTTAGTCTTCTCGTTTCCATAAATGTTCTTTTCTTCTCTTTTCTTTTCTTTTCTTTCCTTTTCTTTTCTTTTTGTTTGTAATCAGGAAAATTCGATTACTACGCACTAGTTGTTAATCCAGCCGAAACTATCCGGAAGTCTTATATACAATAAGAAGGAAAAAAACAACAGATTGAGAGTGTATATTTATTTCTTGTCATTATATCATGCATCGATTATTATTTCGTTTTATTTGTAAAAATAAATCAATATTTGTAACTCCGTCAACATAAATAGTTGTAACTATAGCAGAGCAGACGAGATGGAAAGAAAACTTGTGTATGCACATGTACATAAATGGCTTAATGCTTGTTTTTTTGTTTTCATCATCTTTTGTTCTTTAAAAGCTACCAGGAGTGTCACAAAGACAGAACGATGTAAATGTTGCTTAGAGATGTTGGTAGGCGCGTAGACATCGAATTATTTGAAAATAACAACAAAACTTTCAAATGGTCTCCTTGATCAATTATGCTCTTTCTCTCTCTCTCTCTCTCTCTCTCTAGATATATATATATTAACCAAGCAAAGAAAGAAAGAAAAATAGAAAGAGAATGCCTGAATTATTGATGATTTTTTTTAATACAAATGATAAAACTGAGCATTGCATTTAAATATAATTTCATATGCAAAACAAGGTTTCCCGTCAGAAATGTTTTTTTAGGTTTCGTGAGTTGAACACGGACACGGCATGCTCTAATGACAGAAAAAAAAGCAACGAAAGAATGTGAATGTATGCGTTGTTATATTTTTTTGTAATTGTTTCAATTTTTCTTTTCGATTTGTTGTGTTGACATATATAATTGCTCGTCGAAAAGAATAGTTACGTCTACTATAGTGCACTTAGTTGTCGTCGTTTAAAACAGTAAATAGGAAACAAAAAGATTTCTTTTTCTATTTTTTTTTAAATCAAGATAATTAGCAAGTATAAGCTTACTGTTTATTTTAAGCATGAACATCTCATTTATTAGACATGGCACTATACGATCCAACACCTAGTCGCGGTGGTTCACGCTTTGGAAAACTTTCATCGAATATGTTTTTTACTCGAAATACTGCTAAACCTAAACGTGTACGACATATTGAAGGTTATTTGAAATGATGTTCAAGATGATTTATTTCAATTATTTCTTATTGTCTTTAAAAAAAGGACTCAATGGTGCATTGATTTGCAGTGTGAATGATGATCCATCAGTTGTTCGTGCTTCGTCTGTTACTTCACTCGGTTTCAGTCGACCAAATGTGCCTATGTTTGAAACTCCACGTCGTGTTGAACGATTAGTTCCACCAATGGGCTTTTGGAACACGTACGGCGTCAGTAAGTCGTTTATCATATTGTTATTTTTCACATATCTGTATTTTCTTTTTCAAGTTCAAGATACAGAACGTTGGCGAAAAGAATTATCTAGTTTAGCGAACGCTAGTGGACTTGGTGTTGAGAAAGACGAGCAAAAGCGTCAAAATAGACCACCATCAACAACAACAGCTGATGAACAAAATGTTTCACGCTCTGGCGCACGTTATTCAACTCGAACGGGTCGTTTTAATGAAGGAGCCGGAAAATCACGAGGACGTACAGGTTCTAAACATTCAACACCATATTCAGATATGCTATTTAATGTACCTGAACATGAAAGAGATATGTGGGTAAGAAATGAATCAATAGTAACCAGAACAAAAAAATGCTTCAGATGAAAACATTCGATGTAAACAAAACCAAAAAAAAAGATTACGGAACTAAAATAAAATCTTTAGAATTTTTGTGAGATTTGAAAACTATAATAGTTGATCGTAATCAATATAAATCTCAGAAGACAGTAGTAATCATGAAAATAATGATTAAAATATCGCATAGTTAAGATATTTCTATAAATCAATTAGATGTTGCAAGTTCTTTGTCAACTTCTTGGTACAAGTAATTTGGAAGATGTTCAATCTTGGCTTGTTTCAGCGTCAACAGCTGGTTTGTTCATTTACTTTGTATTATCTATCATTTCGATATTTGTTTTTATTTTAAAAGAAAAAGAACAAGCCCGTGCAATGATTACTTCTGCACTTCGAGGATTGAAAGAATCTGAACGTACATCAAATCAAGCACAACAACCAGTTGATCTTAATGAATTATCGAATTTTGTTGAAAAGTATATTCTAACGCCATCTGATATATAGATTTATGTATAGTTTATTTTAATTTAGACAAAAACATGAAGAGAAACAAATATCACAAAAATATGTGAAAGAATCCCTTAATCGTCCTCCATCAACTTTACAGTCGATCAATGAAGAACAACACGTTGATTATAATTTAGATGACTCGTGGAATAATCTATTAAATCATAATCATGCAAATTCATCACAACAAAATACAGCAACATATCAACATCCGCATCACAATAATAATCGACGTTCATATTCATCGTTTGACACAGAATCAGCAAGTAACAAAAATAATATATTTGAAGAAAAGGTTCAAAATCAACAAGATGACGAAAATGATGAAAAAACTGATATAGTAGAAAATGATGAGCAGCATCAACGATCTCGATCATTATCAGTAACGAAAGTAAAACAACAGTCAAAACAATTAGGACGATCGTCATCAAGTTTTAATCGAAAGTCCAATGGTGAATCACTTCAAATTAATGATAATGATGATGATGACGATGATAATGTTCGTAATGAAATTATGGATAATCGAAAAAATACAAATGAATATGAATATGAAAATGATGAACAACAACGAAAGGAACTAGTACTTCCACCAATTAAAACAAAAGAATCATTGAATCACAATGATAGCATTAAATCACGTAAAATTCGTGACCTAAAAAATAAATTATCACGTCAAGAAGAAGAATCGAAAAAACAAATCAATGAATTACAATCAAAACAATCCCGTCTTGAAAATGCTATAAAATTACTTACTAAACAACCAACACCACAAGGAAAACGTCAACAACAAATCCATGGTAATGTTATGAAAATAAACTTTTTGTTGTTGATTTATTTTATTTTTCTACCAGATGATTTTGATGCATTTACTGCTAATGGAATGTTTGAATTACAAAAAGAAAATGATCGTCGTAATTATGGTAGACAACAGGAAATAAATGCATCGGGTAAACATAGCTAATAAAAATCATTTGATTTTTGACAAAAACGACAATCGTCATAATCGAATCTAGATTGATAAAATATCTATTTTTTTCCTCTAGAACATCGTCCGAATAGATCGTATTCTGGCATTTGGAAACCTGATACATCAACACTTCATCGTCTTCAAGGAAATTAATACAAAATTTTTATATTTATCTCAAAAAAGACTAATGTGACAGTATAAATCAAAAGAAAAAGTATATTGTAAAGGATTTTACAAACGAAAAAAAAATGAATTGTTTTTTTTAACCGATACGATTTCTATATGTAGAGAAAAGATAGAGAATTTGCGATACTAATGTAAAACTTGATAATATTAATGAAATAATCTCTAAGCCAGCTGACCAATCAAGTCGAATATCATAATCACTAGCAGCTATTTGACGAATATTTTGCTCAAAATCATTAGTTGAATTTCGATGGTCTATAGAATAAAACAAACATGGTATCTCAAAAATTTCAAAATATCTCTGTTTAACGTACTTTTTTCAATTAAACGATAATTTAAATTATAACGATATTCAAATAAATCAAATGACATTGTTGAACTAAGTAAAATAAGTGTGATAAGATTACATATAAATGCAATAAATAAAAGCGATATAGTTGTAATGGCTACACCAACATGAGTTTTATATTTAAATTGATTAATAAGTAAGTGTAAATAGATTGAAATAATCGATAAACAAAGCGTAATTATGGATATAATTGTGCTTGATATAAAAGTTTTGTTTATGGAAGAATAATCACAATCATAAGGATTACCAGCTATATTGCAAAGACGTTGAGCTTCGGCTGGCTGAACTTTATGTATCAAGGTTGATAAATTTTTATTGGATGGTAAATATTTATTGTTATCACAAACAAGATAGATTTTACTTGTATTCAAAATACCATTTAGAAATCGATTTTCACAACGATGAAATAAACCAATAAACATAGTTTCGTTAGGATTTCGACGATGTTCATAGATTCTAAAGAGAGAATTCTTTAAATTATAGCAGATTTAGTTTCTTTTCAAAGAAACTACATAAAAGTTTCAATGAAACAGATTTCATCATGTAAGTAGTTGGGAAACTTTAGAAGAACTCTCTTGATCTTGATGTCTACGTACAAGTACCCTCGAAATTCACGCCTGCATAAATAGTAAATAGTTGTTATTTTTTAAATCATCTCATCAATTGATATATATATATATAGATTGAAATTGAAGTTCATTTTCTTTGCATATTTGCAAAGAATATTAATTTCAACTTGACACACTCAATAATATCAAAAGAAACTAATTTTAATTGTAATCTACGGAAGAAAACTTACTTCCATCGTGGATATTCCATGGCGATGATATGAAATATTAATGTAAAAATAGCCAATAATAAGCCACTACTAAGATAAATTCGACTTATTTCCAACATATCGAAGTTAATGAATGAACTTTGGATTATATATGTATGAATATTTAACTACCTATGAATATGAATGAAAAATAAGAAGTCATGCATACTTCAATAGGTGATTATATAAACGATAACAATCGAATTATGATAATCATTCGTTATACCTTTCACATGCTTGTATGGTCATAGAAAGAAAATAGTCATTTAAAAGTCTCTGTGTGCTGTTTATATCATGTACGTCATTATAAATACAATACGAAAAAGAGTATGTTCCCTTTTTTTCTTCATTCATTGGCACTCGACACTTCTATTCCATTAATTTAGTTTCTGTTCGATAACTCGTTAAAGAAGCACGAGGTCTTTCTTATTCATTTGTTTTCCTTTTCTTTGATTGTATGACATAACCCTGTTTGTTCTCACCTGTTCATAATGATTGAATACCAAATTTATAAGAAGTATCATTTTCGATTTCTTTTTTTTTTCTTTTATTAAAAACTTTAACAAGTCATTCAATACTTCGATTGGATTGTTATCTACGATTTATTCCTTGAAAATTAAACACAGTTGTTCGATGAATTTCAGTTTCTTTTTTTTTTTTAAGTTTAAAAATAGAAATTAAGAAAAACAAAATTAATTAATAGATAAATGCAATCTTATTCAAGTCAACAAAATCAATATGTAGAATACAAATCATAATATTCTTCATTATTAAAATTTTGATGAGTACTACATAGTTTTTCATTAGACGTTTATCAAAGAAAAGTTCTCGACAATAAAATGCCTAAAGAATTAGAATTTATTTTTTTGTATTGAGAAGAAGTACATTTTAATTTTCCTGAGTAGAACACGATTAATTTTTCATCAAGAGTAAAATATCATTTCTAATTATTTATTTTTACACTTCCTTTTTCTCTAAACTGATAATGTGGCACAGAAAATATCTTTTTGTAAACTTTCATGAAATTCTATTTAAACAATTGTAATTTTTAACTAAGTCAGTTTGAATTCAATAACTTTATTTTTTTTGTACGACGTCATCTTAGAAAATGCAAAAACTAGTAATTCATTTAAATCGATGTGCAGTTTTTTAAAAAGTGCTCTATTGAACGTGGAATTTGTCGAGACAATCATTTTTTGTACTGAATCTTGCATACACACTGTTATTCTTGTTTTCTATTCTACTTGATGTATTAAAAAAATAAAAGTAAATTGTTGTTTTTCTTTTGAATAAAATAACATTTTCAAATTGATCTAATATGTAATCATGAGCGAATACGATATCAATGTTATTCGTCATTTTCTTATGTAACTTGTATTCGGCAATGTTTTTAACAAAGTATACATGACAATATCATAGCAAAAGTAACAATAACTACTTCATTCAAAATAAAAACTATTCAATAAACGATAGTATTAGAGAAGCATGTCTTCTTCAGAACAATTGACACGTTTGTATTTTTCTAGTGACTAAAATTATAATTTTGCACTTGTATTGAGCAATTTTATTTTGAACAGAATACTTGTTGCTTTGTTTTAGGAAAATTTGAAGTGGGAATTTTTCATGTTCAATTAAAGAGAAAAATAAGAAAAAGATTGACACTTGAAAAAAAATTGAACCACTATTTTCATCTATTCATTTTCTCACTTTTTTCCATTTTATTTTTTATCTTGAATGGTTCGCCTTCTCTTTTAATTTCACTAAACTCTTAAATATATTTTTTTTCTTTTAGTACTCAACGAAGAAACAGAAGCTTTAATATTGTTTTTATCACGATAAAGATGGATTTTAATTTAAATTTATCGCCTATACAGGATCGAAAAATTTCATCAGCATTATCAAGAGCTGATCGAAGTTCTCCAGAATCAAGAAAAGAAATTTTCACAGAAGAATTGCCTCAAACAATAAATCTAACAGAGAAAAGAGTTAAAACTGCTGATCAACAGAAAATATCCTCGCCTGATCTAGGAACGTTAACTCAACCAACTGAAGTAAGATGAAAATCATGCGAATTATTTCTTTTTGTGTATCTAAATACAAACTTGTTTTTCAGGAACTTATCTTACATGCCTTTGAAACACTAAAAAATGAAGATAGCAAAAGCATAGTGGCTGCATTAGATGAAAGTCGATCTCTATTAAGAAGCTCATTGGAAGAACTTCGATGTGGACAAGATGAATATAGAAAACAACTCGAACAAATTAAAAACTACAAAGAGTCAGAAACACCAAGAAGAAAAGGTAAAAATAGACAAAAAAAAACAAAGAAATTTCATTGTATTTCTTCTTCTTATTCACTGTTCGTAAAGAAAATGCAATTCCATTATCACTTTTTCTGCGACAAAAGCGTGATACTCAAGCTCTTGCTGATCTTAAGTCCAGATTCAGGTATGAATGCGACATATCAAGCTTATTTTGAAGCTCTTCTTACGCACGATGCAAATCAACAACAACATCCATCGGATAAAGTTGCCGTGATTAAGTATATTCGTCGACGTGAGAGACGAAAACGTGCAGAAACCAATCGAAAGAATAATGAATTAAGTAGTGACATTCTTCAAAAAGTATTTCATTTTTTTGTTCAATATAAAAAAAGGCAAAAGCATGATTTTTCTTATTTAGCAAACAGCAGAATTAATTGGGAAAATTGGAAGTATCGATATTAAATTGGAACATGAAAGACAAAGACAAAATGATACAATACGTACAAAAATGAATGAAAAGAAAGTTAGAGCTCAAAATATAACGGAAACAAGTGAAATAATTGACCAGGCTCATGAAGCTAATCTAGCGTAAATAGAAGATGATTCCATTTTTCTTCTTCTACCATTGCTTTCTTTTTCCTCATGTATTCTAGCCGTGAGCGTGTTGAACAAAAACATCGTGAAAAAATTGAAGCACGTCTATCAGAAAAACGCAAACAACTTAATCAAACACCAACAAATGTAATTCATGTTCAAAGTCGCGTAAACAATGATGATGATGATGCGAATGAAAATTCTCAATTAAATGATGAACAAAAACAAGAAACAAAAGCTTCTATTCAACTTTTGAATACTCATAATGATGCTGATGAATCAAAACGGCCAAGAACACCTGTTTATGGTAGTGAAAATTCAAACGAAAAAATTGCAAATATTTATATATAATCAAAACTATTGAGTTTTATTTCTTTTAAAGAAAAAGAAATAACTAAAACAAACAATATTTAAATAACTTTTTTCGAAAAAAGACCATCTTGAATTTGTTGAATAATTGAACGTATGAGACTTGTTGCGGATGATTTTTGATCAAAGTTTTCTTTAAGTAAATCTAATGCTTTATTACTTTCTACTAGACATTGGTCACGACAATGATCAAGTAGTTCTTCATTGTTCAATTGTTCTAATGCTACATTTTCAGTTGTAGATTTATTCATGAGTGAATAAGGAAATGAACGGTTCATCGACACTGTTCCATAAAGTGTTAAAGATGCTGGATCATGAGAAATCGATGATGAATATTGAGATATTTCATTATACATTATACATGAAAATATAATATGCCGACATAAGTGATATGCTTGATCTTGAAATGATGTTGAATGATCGACTAATTGAAGTGAAGCACGACAGCCAGAGGCAACTAAATTTGCGACAGAACTAAAATAAATTTCTTTAGAGAATTTACCATATACTTTTGAATCAATAACAAACGATTCAGGTGATTTTTAATTTCGATATTAATTTCTTCAGTTAAGTTCAGAGAAACTAATTATAATATGTTTAAGAATAGAAAACCTAGGGGTATCAACTAAGCTAAAGAATAATTTAGAATTCAATGATAGAAACACTCGCGATATCATTGCTACAAGGAAAACATATCGTACAATTAAAACCAACTTTTACATTTGAAAGAAAAGCTCTAACAATTGTGAGAAAGGCTTCAACTTGACATGACTAAGTGATCATGTGCACTATTCTAAATATTGTTGTATCTTCAATGTTTAGAAAATTTGCATTTTTGTGTCGTTAAAATTAATCAGTTTCTACCATAGCAGATCGTAAATAACTCGTTTGAAAAGCGTGGCTCACAAAACTAAGACATTGTTCTAACAAATACTTACAGTGCAGTTAGTTGATACCATTCTGTTAACGATGAAAGTGATTGTTTATCTTTTAGAAAAAATTCTGCTTTACACATATCTGCAATTGCATGACCAATCGTTTCTACAACCTAAGAAACACGATAGAATAATTTTAAAAAAACTATAGAAATACTCTATTTTACTTGAGGTTTTCGAAATTCAGCTAATTTACCACACGCTTGTGACAAGAGATAATCTCCACCTAAGACTGCGACTTTATTTCCTTGTTCTAAATCACTTTGATTTTCTTTTAAATCCACAATACCTACAAAGATAAAATTGTTTTACTTTCTTATTCAATTATCATCATTACCTCGATGACCAAGAATACCCAAGTGAACTAAAACAAAAAACAAAACATTCATTCAATAAAACTTTAGGACTGTTTGAACTAAAACTCCTAGCAAGTGTTAAATTATTACTCATTTCAATTAATTCAGCTAGTTGTCTTTGATGTTCGTGGATGCCGTGTTTAATCATATCTTCTTGATAATTTTTTTGTGGAATTCCAGCTGCTTTTGATATTAATAAAACTAACAATGATCGTGAATGTGCTGTTTTCGGTGGACTATCCAACATATTTGTAGCAAGTTTCAATAATGGATGTTGTGTACCAACTAATTTTCTTAAATAACCAACTAATGTTGACACTTCTTCATTGAATAAATATTTGAGATTAACTAACGAATGTAGCGATGATGGATAACCGATTATTTTTTCACCTTGGCTTAATAATGGTTGCCAATTTGGAGTTTTATTTTTAATATGAACATAAAATCCATTCGATGAAAGAAAACGCACTATCGGTGAAAATCTCATAGTCTTATTTTAGGTTATTTCTTATCTGCAGTTGAAGCGAAAAAAAAAGTAAATAGAATTTCATATGAATGATCAAAGATGTGTCATTTTTTATTTGTTATATAACAAAAAAAAAAGAAGAAGCATATACAAAAAAAGAATCTATCGTTTTTCAACCAGATAGGTCTTCAGCTTGATATGCCATTTGGTCATATAGCTCAGCTTTTATCATTCGACCAGCAAAATATCGTCCATTGAGTGATTCAATCGTTTTTTCTGCTTCTATAAAATAAACAGAAATTTTTAAAAAAGATTATCATTGAAAAGAATATTACACTTACGTTTACTAGTTTGAAATTCAACAAAAATTTTAACGATTTGTTCTGCATTATCATCATCATATCCTTGTTGTTCAGTATAAATAACAACTTTAATAACTTCACCATATTTCGAGCACTCGTCTGCAAAAACAAATAAAATAAAATTTTCGCAATACAACAACAAATTAAAGAAAATTGTACCGGTTATTTCCTGTTGTAAATCATCATCAACATCCTCAGGACCAACCATATTTCTTAATACGCATACACGTGAATCAAGTCGACGTTGATTTAATTTTTGCATTAGTAAATGTCTTTGTTCACGACCTAATATTAAGGACAATGAAACCTGAGACGTGTGTTTTTTTGTGTGTAACATAAATAAATAAATGTATATATATATACCTTTAACACTAAGTTCTTCTTGTTGTGATAAAGTTGCTGTAGGATCTTCTGCATTATTTAAGCTTAAAATAGTTTTTTGATTGTCAGTTGTTTCCGATTTATTTGTTGGTAGAACAAGTGAAATTGATGGATATTGTGGTTTTGGTTCTAAATCAATTTTTAATCCAACAGGGACAGGTGGTTCTTCAAGTAAAGTTGGTTGAGGAATTAATGTTGCTGCGGATGGTGGTGGAGTACTAACTAGAATAGGTATTAATTTATTCAGTTCATTGCTTTGTATAAAACAAAAAGAACTATTACCTTGCGGAGATGAAACTTGTACCGTTTGTACTGAGGATGAAGTTGTAAGATTAGTTAAAGACGATGTAGACAAACTTGAAATGAAAATAATCAATCGATTGTAAACTATTACAGTAGAATTACTTTGAACGAATGCCAGGTGCACCAAGAGTAACAGGTTGTGAAATAGAAGTTGTTATAGCAGCAGTTGGATTGAGTATAGTGGAAATCACTAATCGAAAAGAAAAAGAAAATTAAAAATAATTTAATATTATTTGAAAACAATTTAAGTTATACTTGATGTCACAGCAGTCGCATCAGAAAACGACGCTGCAGAAAGTGTAGCAGCAACAGTAGTTGGGGCAATCGGACCACCAAGAAAACCAACTTGTGCTATTGGATTATTGATCATTTGTGAAGCAGCCTGAAAAAACAAGAACAATGAAATTCAATGAATTTCACAAATATTTCAATCTGAATGATGACGTAGAGCAGTACATGTCTCGTTAGATCTATCCCTCTTATGAACCGTGAAACAACGATTACTGTTTATATATACGTTGGGAATAAATAATAAACAAGGCTGGTAATATTTCTAAAATAAGCGCTGATAAAAATATAGAATAAGATTAGATAGGTGAAGTTCAAACTAACTTCCCAGTGAAAAATATTCGCTGATTTCAATCAAATTATTGTGCAACAAACTCCAATCCACGATCGGATTGATAATTTTGATTATAATCGATCACCATTGAACCGAAACGTGATGTTGTTGTTAGCCCAGTGGAAATTAGTTTGATTAAAATCTGATTGCTCTGTAGCACAATTCGAATTATCAATCGATTGATAATGTGGATTTTACTGGAATACAATCCGATTTTAATCAAACTAATTTTCACTGGGCTAGCAATAGCATTAAATTTGGGTTAAATGGTGGTCGATTAAAATCAAAATTATCAATCGGATTGCGAATTGGATTTTGTTGCACAATAATTTGATTGAAATGAGCGAATATTTTTCACTGGAGTCGTTTGATATTCTACATTTAATAGAGTCCTCGACGACTTAGGATAAACACTAAAAATATGTGTATTAAATTCCTCTAATCCATTTGAATCTGCACAGATGCCAGTTAGAAAACAAACTATAGAGATAGTTGAAGCTATTAGAGTTCAAATTTCAACAATGTATGTATAATTTAAAAAACATGCTATTATATATATATATATATATACATATATATCAATCATCAAGATCTTATCAAATATTTCTAAATTAAACATACTATGGTAGGTTGTGGATTAGTCTCAACATTTTTAGCCTGTAATTGAGCTGTAATTGTAGCAACAGCTAATGCAGTAGCTGTTGGCATCGAAGTTGCTGCTGTCGGTGTTGTAGTTAATAAACCTTCAGGTGGTGTTATTGCTTTACCAACTCGAAGAAATTGTCCTATGAGGAATCGAAAATAAATTTTTTAATAAACATTTTCTCCAAAACAACAAAAAATCTACCTCCAAGATCAAATAAATTCATTGAACTAATTGCATCTTGTGCTGCTTGAACTGTTTCATATTCAATAAAGCCATAACCTCTAGAAATGCACATACATACATGAAATGATATCCTAGCCATAGAAAGAAAATCTATAACTATTTTACTTATGTTTACTCGTTGTTGTATCTTTTGCCAAAGTACAAGTTTTTATTTTACCAAAAGCTTCAAAAACACTTTGAATATCATTTTCTGTTAAATCTGGATGAATTGAAGCTATATAGATACGATTGTAATTTTTTGCTTCTTCAGTTAATTGATCGATAATGGGCTGAGCTTGTGGCATATTCGATGGTCGACCAACCTATTTGAAAAATAAAAAATAAAAAACTAATATCGCTCTTTAAAATTTTTCTCACTTTAATATTTCTTCCACCAAGAATAACTCCATTCATTTGCTCAATAGACAATTGTGCTGCTTCAGGTATTTCATATTCAAGAAAAGCAAAACCTTTATGACGATTAGTAACTGGATCAAATGTTAATGAAACAGCTTTGACTGGTCCAAATGGTTGAAATGCTTGTTTAAGCATTGCTTCATTTAATTCAAAATTAATACTACCAATATAAATTCTCCAAAAGCAAAAAAATCATTATCGTTTTATTCTTTTTTTCTAATGAAATTGTTTTAATTGTCTTACCGACACATTAATAGCAGTGCTTGTTGTTTTTTAATATTATCTAATTGTACACGTTGTTGTTGCTGTTGCTGTTTCACAAGAACATATTTAACACTTTGTTCTAAACCATATTTTTTTGCACGTTTAATATTTTCTTCATCAACGGATCGAATTTTGTAGCGTCCTGTATCACGCTTTGCTCCTGGTCCCTTAAATAATGGACCACGTTGATGAAGCTCAATGGCAGGTGAAAATGATGCAAATGGTGTAAGTTCACGTGGTAAACGTGGAATATTTTGTATCGAATACTTTTTCTTATCAATACCGTTTGCTGTTTGCGATTCATTATTATTCTCTATAAAATTTAAAAAAAAGATAGATATATTTTTATCTACGAACTTAGAGAATAAATAATTCTTAAACGATCACAGGCATACGAATAAGATGTTCAAATATTGTAGCTGAAAAAGGGATAGAGAGAAAAGAGAAAAAAACAACGAATATGCATAAACAAAAAAGAAGAAGAAAAGACTCGTTTATTTTAATGGTAAGTAGATTATTGCTGGTTACCTAAAATAGGGAGAAATAAAAGAACAAAATAAAACATGTTTTTCGTTTTGAATTCTATCTAATATGAATAGTTTTTTTTGTCGTCAATGGTTGAATGTAGATCGACGAAACTCATGCAATTGACATATGTTCCTCTGCAACATGGACAAGAAAAGAGAAAAAACAAAACCGAGTTTTTTTTGAATTAATAATAGAAATTGTAAAATAATGAATGAATATAATAGAAATCAATAGAAAATGAAAAGACTTTGACTTACCGGTCGTAATTGCTGTCGTATTTGATTCATCAACAATCATTGCTTCAGTCATTTTATTTAATCTAAAATGTAAGAAACCTTCACCACTATATCACAGTAAACTGAGCAAAAAAACACATTATTTAATTGAATTGCAGATCTGCATTGATAAAAAAAAGAAAGAAAAATTTCTATAGGTCACACTAAGGAACAACTAAATATGGTTGAATTGGTACAAACTGATCTGCATCATGACAATCTTGCAACCAATCAAGACTTATGAAATTTATATCTGGATTTGACTTTGAGATCTAAATTTAAAAACAAAAGAAATATATTAAAATTGATACAGTAATTATTGTTTCGTTAGATATTGTCTGTATAAGAAATTCACGATGTAAATCATAGAATATTACAAGAATACTGAGTTATTTCATTTCAATAGATTATAGTGCTGTTTAAGGAAGTAGCATTATTAAAATTGCTCAAATGAGAACAATTGAAAAAATGATGATGATCTCAAAAGGATCTACGTTCGGTATCTCAATTGGTTATGTCAAAGTCTCCACATATGATAATTATATTTGTCATAATGTATCTGTCTTAAATGAAAACACAAATGTTGTGACTTTAAAGGCTCAAAAATAACTGATGTCGGACATATTTCAACAATCCCTTATAAAGGAATCATTCAAGAAATACAATCGATCGGAGTATTTCCTTCAGTAGTTAGCCATTAGAAACGAGCAAGAATATTTACTGATATGAGACATACTTCCCTCGTCTCATTCGATCTTGAAGTAGTTATCTCTGTCTCGAATTGTTTGTAATATCTTTCAAGCTACTACCTTTTTAGTATTGCTTAGTTGCCATCATAGATTCTTTCTCTTGTTGCATTACTGACGAATCAAACTCTTCAATTGTTCTTCATACGTGATAATGATTTTGCACCGATACAAGCCTGCTGAGATCACTTTTGTGACGTTTACTTAAATAGAATTCTAGGTAGTATAAAATATGACACTCCATTTCTATAATAAGAGCAGGAAATGATATTAAACTTTGCAAACTACTGTTTAGTAAATAAAATAAGTTGATCTGTCTACCAAAAAAAAAACATAGTCTTTGATATCCGTAAAAAGTTGTGTAAATCTTTCTGTTTCTTAACTGACTATAACTTTACACTATTCTTTAAATCTGATTTGAAACATGAGAAATCACTTAAACCTTTGCAAAATCTTGATTCCACATTCGATTTGTAATAACATATTTCACATCCGACGTAATTTGTCTGTCCAAAATTCCATCATAAGCAAGTATAACTCTCGTTATGCCGAGAAGGGTATTATCATCATAGTCACCATAAGATACATAGAAATGTTTGCCATGAAAAATATCTGGTATTTGTTCAAATTGATTCTTCTTGTTTGCAGTTTTATTTGTAGCTCGAGATGGTTTTTTCACCGAAGTTCTTTCCGTAGTATCGTTTGTATCAACAGCTTCTTCTTCATCTACATTTTTTCTATTGGTTGCTTCTAATTTTCTTTTTGATGTTTCTTTATCAGTTTTTTCCTTTAGGTTGTAAGACTTTTCAGATAATAATTGATTTTGTTTACAACAATCCATGATCCAGTGTTTACTAACAATCATACCTTTTCCTGTTTGTAGAACTTCATTAAATTTTGGAGTATTTGGGAATGCAGAACTAGAATGAAACGATTTCATTTTTATGACTTTTGGAAACTAACTCAAGAAGTAAAGGTGGAGAAGTCTATGTTTTTCGCTTTCTTAGATATTTATGAGGTTTCTCATAATCTTAGAATTAAATCGTGTACAACTTCTGATGATATTCCAAAATTCATTTTGCTACAACTCTTCTAAGTAGATAACCATCATAGATTCTTAGGTTGCCGTATGCAGACAGATATAGTGAATTGAAGGTAGTAACAAAATAGACTCTCGAAATCTCAACTAGTATTGCCTCATAGTAGACTTTAACATATTGATGAGTACAGAAAAGTAGTTTCTATTCGTTCGATCACATATACTTCAGTTAATTTGTGTTTTACAATATAATGATTTAAACGCATACATGAGATGAGTACATTTCTCATTCCAATCATCGCTGTAAGTAGCACCCATTGAAACTGCTTTATTACGTAATTGTGATCGTAATGGATTTTGAAAACCACTTAAAACAAAAACAACATTTTTCATTATTGGACATTTATCAGTCTAAAAGAAAGAATAATAAACATTTTTCTGAAAATAAAAACCAATTTTTTTACTTGTACATCATTTTTTTTCAATATTTGACTTTGATTATCATTTGCTGATTTTTTAGCTGATAATTCTTCAGCAATATTTGTTGAAATAGCTTTTTCATTATCAGTGGATATTGATTTGAATTTATTCTCAGTAAAAAATGAACCGATTTTATTTGGTTCGTTTACAATTTCGTTTTCATCTTCATCTACTACACTATTTAATGATTTATTAACTAATTCTGTTTTTTGAGCACCATCAGCCATTGAATTGACTTTAATAAAAGTTAAACCAAACTGATTTGATGAATTAAATTTTTGTTCGCATATTATTTTTAATCGATCCCATTTTTCATTTAAACATGTTTTATTTAAATCGTTAGATTTGAAAACTTTAATTTGATTGCGATTTTTATTTGAACGTGATTCATTCGGAGTCATTAACATTGTCTGAGGTAAAAGTGCAGTCCATTCATCAGACGTTGATTGAGAAACTAATAGTTCAATAAATGCACTACCATCATTACCAATATCAACAGAGTTTATTAAACTAGGCGTTTCGAATTCAAGAACACATACTATACGTTCGTCAGTACTATCAGATGATAACCATTTTTTATATTGTTCTGGTTCAAGTAAATTTTTAGCACAATGAACCTAAATAGAAGAATCGATTTAATAATGCAGCAAAAGACTAATTTTTGTTTGCATTGCTTTGAACTAACTCGATCTTCACTTGAACAAGAGAGAATGTTTTTAAAATTAATCAAGGACATAAGAATTTGTTTGTAGGTTTAAAAACAAGATTTTTGATATTGAAAGACAAATATACTGGTTTCTTGGAATAAAAAGATTGACAAAAAATCAAAGTGTATTTAATTTAATAAACTGATGAGAAAAAAGAAAAGCATTGCTTAACTGAAAGAAAAAAAAAACTTTGATTGGTAGGTCACTTGCATATCCTCTGAGATTTCAATAATAGAGGTCGTTGAAACACGCTGCTTTACACTGGAAGTGAACAGAGTAATATTGTGAATTTTATTCAAAATTTGAGGAAAACAGAAAACAATAGAAAACAAAACTCTAATCAGATTATTGTTGATGAGACAATTTAATATGCATTAAATATTATTAAAAAGAAAAAGAATACATGAAATTTGTTCATTAACGAATGTAACGAAAAAGCTTTAATCAGCATTATTTAAAAGATTCATTGGAATTTCTTCGTCCGAATTGGACATCGTGATTATAGTTGGTTGAAAAGAATTTTCTTCATTGCTGCTTACTTGTGCTGTCGTAATTGTTGTTTGTTGAGCAATAATTAAAGCGCTAGGAGACATTGTTCGATAGGATTCTGTTAAGTTTACTGAACGACGTGAATCGCCATCTGCAGCCCATTCTTCAAGAGCGTACAATCGTGCACGATTCAAATCATTTAGCATAATTTCATCGGCTGTATAAGTATCCATTGTCATATGTACATGAGATGCAAGGAGAGTAGTAGGTATAAATTGAAGAATACTCAATATATAATCAATAACTTCGCCATAATTTCGGCCTCTATCAATTTGATAAAGTATACGTAAACGACGAAGCCATATTTCTAGTTCATTATTACTAAATGAAACTTGTGTGTTATGTACATCATAGAAAGCAGGCATTTGTGATTTATCAAGAAGAATAATATAACGAGAGGGAGTATTAGATGATACTCCTGTTTTGTCGCCTGGTTTCAGGTATGTTGAACTGGGTTTTGATGAAGGATATCGAGTATTTGGAGTTCCTCGATGTGATGAATTAGGACGACTTGAAGCATTTCCCTGTCCTGGTGAATGATCATCATTATTGCGTGGGGAATTCAATGCTGAATCACTTGCATGAAAACTTTTTGATTTGGCAGGTGACTAAGAAAATAATATTAATAAAATTAATGGAATTTCGAAAACAAAAAAACTATGATAGTAAACAAACTACCTCTTGAAGTTTCTTTTGCGTTGGAAGTACAACAAATTTGAATGATTCCAGTTGTTGAAGTAAAAAATCTTTACATGGTTGTTTAAGATGGTCAATCATATATTCATCAGCTAATTGAAGAAAATCATCGACATTATCATTAGTAATGTGACCATTAAATTGTGGATAAATATATTTTAATAATTCAAGTATGCTTTCAGTTGATTTCCCTTCTAGGACTATTTCTTGTTCGTTATGTTCTTTAAATGCACCTTCAAACATTCGTGCAAATACAGGTGAAACTAATGTTAATAGTAAACGATGACAATAAAATTTTACTTGACCAACAACTAAAATAACGTCAGATTTGATATTGATAGTATTTGATGAATCGGTAAAATATTCTAATGGGGAAAGTGGCGCTGATGAGAGTCGAAGTAATTCTGGTCTCGATGATGTTGATGTCATTGGCATGTATAGGTAAATATTCTACGAGAATGTTTCGTTTCTATTGAGAGAACGATACAACAAGGTTAAACTTAAATGCAATGTGTTTCTTATTCATCGCTCAACTTTTTTTTTCAGTCAACAACATCTACCTTTCAATTTGATTCGTCGAAGTGATTGAAGTTAAGAGAAATAAAAAAAATGTGCAAGAATAATATTATTGACGAGTGAGATACTCGTTATATTTCCTATGCACTAATGTAAAAAGAAATTGGAGAATAAAAAGAGATTTTTTTATTGATGTTTGCATGTCAAAATAAAGAACGCAATAAAAATGATCGAAACAAATACTGAATGAATTGATGTTAACCAATCGATAAATCAGATAATGAGTAAGTAAGCATTATAGGAAAAACGTTGTTGTTTACGTCAGTCAGTATAAATAATATATACTGATTAACGAAAAAACATCAAGCAGAATGAAGATAGTGTCATCAATACTATTGCTGATTGTGTTTTTTAAATGAAAATAAACAAGAAAAAACTTAGCTGATTCTATCCTATAAGAAATTTATTTATTTATTTTTGTATTAGTTTGATTTCGATCTCAATCATAATTGAAATTAGCTTCATAATACTTAACCTTTTTACTTCATATTTTACTGGGCAATAATGATAATCGTCGCTCAAGATCTCTCTATCTTTATATATAGAAGATATGCACATGCTGTAAGATAGGATCATTTATATCTATCGAAGAATTTGAGCAAAGTTTGATATAAATAATATGTATTTGCCAAAAGATTTCATATATGAAACAATGACTTTCTTTTCAAGAGAAAACAGGTTATATTGTACTATATCTACAAGAACATTAAAACTATATCTGGCATGAAGACATTATTGAGGATGAAATATACTCTAGTACCTAACCATATAAAATAAATTTGTTGGCCACGAAATGACTAGATTTAGAATCAAAATATATCTTCTTTGACTTCTTTCATGCATTGAAGCAAAAAAATATTAATAGAAACGATGATACACATGTACATCTAGTTTTCCATCTATTGTAAAAGAAACATCAAAGTAATTATATTTATCTAATGTATTAAAACAAAGTGCATACTATATTTCAGCTTTCAAGCAAGACATGGTATACGATTCTGCTAAAAGTGTTGCAACTTTAGAAGTGAAAAATAACTAGCAGAAAATAGATTAAACACAGCAATAAATAAAGATTAAGAGGCAGAGTTGTTCATGACTACTTTCAATTCTAACATGCAAAAGCTAGAATAGGATCAAATAGAAAAGTTTAAGAAAAGTGAATAGTAATTAATGTCAAATAAAATTCCAGCATTACTGTTGATTTTAATTATTTTTCAGCAATGTATACAATGTCAATGGTTTATTTTGCCTTTTTTGTTTTTTACAAAATCATGGATTGCATATTAATAATGCACCACATTAATTTCTATCCTGATTAAAAAATGATTAAAGAAATCTTTTACTTCTATTATGTATTCATTTTCAACGATAGATCATCAAATAATTTGACACCACGATTGTCGATTAACGATTTTGGTTTTCGAAATTTATTCGATTTGATAAATAACAAAAAATGTATAATATTTAGTTTCATTTGCGTAATTTATTCATCTTCATACAAATATGAAAACATCACGTTCGTGTACGTCATTGAAAGTTGAAGCCACGATCTTGAGTTTCATACAAGAAAACTTTGAATTGACACCAATCATTTGATGATGTTATCCAACTTTTGTAAAGATTGGGAAAAAGTCATTACGATCTATTACAAAATAAATTCAAGCAAGCAAAGATAGTGTTAAAAATTAGATATCAAATTATATTTTTTTCATACTTGCGAAAAAGCATTACATGTCACAAGTTTTTCATATTGGCACAAACATAAAGCATACATTTCAATTGTTGTGATCTAGACAATGTCTTCCATCCATTAAAGTAAGTCCTACAACACGAAACAGACGATCGGCTTTAACATTTCGTTATTGATATCGAATGAATCGGTAATAGTACTTTTCAACTTAAGCATCAGACTAGTGTTATTGGATAAAAAAAAGGCGCGAAAAAGAGAAGAGAGGGTTAATGACTTTGTTCTGAAAAAGTGAGTTGAATGGTAATTGCTCTCTTGATCGTGTCTCTGCTTTTCTGTTAACAATAAAACGATTCGTAAGCAAAAGCTAACATTTGGTAGCAGCGAGTAATGCCGATTGAAGGTACAAATTTAGAAAATTTATTAAAGCTAGTAATTCAAATGAACGCTATCATTATCGAAGAAATGCATGAACAACGAAAAGAAATACAAACTCAAGCTCAAGCTCAACAGGCACTTATTTCAACACCACTTCATTCATCGACTGATACATCATCACGATCAATTAACAAGATAAACGTTAAACCGAAAGAATACAATGGAACAAGTGAAGAAAATGTCATTACCTGGTTGATAGCATTAGAGGAAATTATGAAAAATCGATGCATTATTGATGATGAGAAAATCTCGCTAGCTGCTAGCTTATTAGGTGGCACTGCTTTACAATGGTTTGCCAACTTGAAATTGAAAAATCAAGGACCATCACCTTGGAATGAATTTAAGAATAAATTAAAATCTAAGTTTCAACCAATTGATTTTCAAGAAAACCTTCGACAACAATTATTGCAATTACGTCAGAAACAGTCCTTACACGATTACATTCATTTTTTTCGAAGCCTAGTCGGTCAAACCGCTAGTATGGACGAATTAACACAATAAGTTATGTTATTCGTAAATGGTTTGTCACTTAACACCAGTTTATATGTACAGTTCAAACATCCACAAACGGTTGAAGAAGCTATACGTGAAGCAACTACTTACGGCAATGTTATGGCTATTAGTAAAACTAATAACAACAAATTTAATCCATTTTTTGAAGCCCTCTGCTAATGCAGAATTCAACGCTATTAATTCACGACAATCACAGCAACAACGCCACACGACATCATTTACTACAGCTACAACAAAAGATGATTGTTTTAAATTTGGCTTATGTTTTTATTGCAAAGAACCAGGTCATCGTGCCTTGAAATGTCCAAAACGACCGCAACAACAACAGTACCAACGTTCATCAGAATCTTCATATCGAAAAAACGGCCAGTGGTAGATGTGGCGGGGAGCACATCTACCTCTTCTTCTTCTTTTGAATCCTCGTGTCATCTAGATGTTTTAAGTTCTTCCATTGTTTCTAGTTTTCCACATGTTCAAGATGCTACTGAATCGAATCGACTTAGTCTGCTCAAACAACAAGATGCTATTCATGATAAAATAGTACTAGAAAATGCTGATATTGCTACCGATCCAGTTCGTGAAATTAGGTCAATGATGACAGCAAAAGATATCGATAAATCAGCCTTGCTATATTTAGAAGGGAATGTCAATGGATATGATGCACATGCACTTATCGATTGTGGTACATCACATAATTTTATATCTGAAGATTTTATTAAACGTCATAAATTCAAAATCAGCAATACTCCACGTGTTTCAGTCACTATTGCTAATGGAGTGACGTCATATATAGATCAAGCATTGCTGGATTTTGACTTGAAATTAGATGATTTCAACGACAAAATAACATTAGCTTATGTTTTTCCAATTAATTCTAAAGCAAACCACGATGTGATTTTAGGTCTGCCATGGTTATTTAAAAATAATCCTCGTATAAATTGGCAAACACGAACCATCACCATTATAAAAAAAATGATCGAAAATATCTGCTTAAAACAACATTTTTTCGACAATAATAATGTTTATGATAAATATGTCAATGATGTAGAATATACTAATAATATTCTAATTAATGCGAAACAACTATCAAGGTGTAAAAAGGTTTACTTGGTGACGATTAAAACAACATCCGATTATTCTATTACTACAGTATCATCAACCAATAAACAACTCAAACAGCTACTCGAAGAATTTAGTGACGTATTTCCAGATGATTTAATCGAATTACCACCAATACGTGATATAGATCATGAAATAAAAATACTTGAAAATGTCACACCACCATCTCAACCGCCATTCAGAATGTCACAACCGGAATTAGTTGAATTAAAGCGTCAGCTAGAAATTTTATTAGAAAAAGGTTTTATCCGTCCTAGCAAGTCACCATATGCTGCTCCGGTTTAATTTGCCAAGAAAAAGGATGGCACATTACGTATGTGTGTTGATTACCGTACATTGAATAAAATTACCATAAAAAACAAGTACCCAGTTCCACGTATTGATGAAATGTTAGATCAACTTAACGGTGCAAAAATCTTTTCAAGACTTGATTTAAGAACCGGTTATCATCAAATTAGAATTAAAGATGATCATATCTAAAAGACTGCATTTCGAACACGTTATGGATCATTTGAATTTATTGTACTACCATTTGGTTTAACAAGCGCACCACTGACACTTATGAGATTGATGAATTCTATCCCATGTCGCCTCTTTTTTATCAACTGTGCCGCAGTTACGCGTAGAGCCAATTCTGCGTCGCAGTTACGCGTAACTATGGCGCATTGATCGCAGTGAAGATTTCTATAAGAAACTACGCTTAGTATGACTCAGATCAACGTAACTGCGTCCTAGTGATCGCATCCTACGATCTGTTGTAGGTATAAATGACCAATTACAAATTATTCCTCCTTATTTGTAATTGGCTACACTCGAACAATAAAACTTAGTAATAGTAGTGTTTATCACATTTTCGTTCATAAGTCATTCTACTACAAGCAGTGAAATGCATAGTTTTTATTTCTTTTAAAAATGTCTAGATTAGAATTTTTTTAGTTTTTCAATTTTTGTAATTAATTTTTTTTTCTTTTATCATTAAATTATTTCAAATTTCTTTTTCTTTTTCTTTTATGCATTCAATTTTTAAAAATTTTTTTAGATCTTAATTTTAAAATTTTTCTAGATATTAATTTTTAATTTTCCTTAAGTTTTAAACTAAAATTTTTTTAAAAATTTTTATTTTAGTAAATTTTTAGAATTTTTTAGGTTTCAATTTTTCAATTATTTTTATTGTGAAAACTTTTAATTTAAAAATTGTTTTTTAATTTTTTATAAAAGTTTAAATTTTATAGTTGTTTTTCATGTTTTGTGCAAAAAATTTTTTAAACTCAATAAAAATACAACTAAAAGGAAACCTTAATCTATGTTATCTTTTGTACCATTTGCGAGGTCACTGTGAACTATAATTACGAAAAAATTGGGCGCAGTTATGCGTAACTGTGATTTTTCTCCCGTAACTACGCGTAACTGCGATTTTTTTCATCGTAGTTGCGCGTAACTACGTCGCAATTTTCCGCAATTACGGGTCACAGTGCGATCGCAGTTTCATCGTAATGAAACAGATGGGTTTTTTTCTAGATATTTTAGTTTTTGTTTTCTATCTTTAATTGAAAAACAACCTTTGTCATTCAGAATATATATTAATAATTTAAAAATTAATTGTTCGTGCTATTGAGTGCTGTATCGTAACAAATTTTAGTATTCTTTTTTCTGTAGTTTTTTTTTGTATCTGTGAATTCATAGTGATCAAATATCTTTTTCGAAAACATTGAGCATTCATTTGTCTTGAATGATATTTAATTGTCTTCTATATGTGTTAAGTGCTGGTTTTTGAAACATAGTATTTATTTATGTAATTTATAGACAATAAAATACTAAAGTATGTGAGTATTATAAATCATTTCATCGCACTAATATACCATTGTTGATAGGTTAACGAAATAGAATGCATATAATATACAAAATAGTGAACTAAGTATAAATGAATGAGTAAATCTTGTAAAAAGCTACAGAGTACTCGGAAGATACGTGGGTAGTATTCATAGAAAACTCAGTTTTATGAGGCGAGTACTCATGAGTACTCGTGACATTTTCTAGCGTGAGTACTTTTTGAGTACTACCCTATGAGTACCTTCACTAGAGAAGCTATAAACCAGGTAATTGAATACAGTCATCAGACAGGGGCCGTATTTCACACTTCACGGCCATATACAAACCATATTATTCGACCAAGAAAGTATCTGAAGTGTCTCACGTAAGCGTTTTTACTTTTTAAATGCTCATATCCTTTTAGTAGAGGATTAGCGACACTAAGGTCGTGTTACTTGTTGAATAATGCAATAAATTGCGACTGAATTAGTTACTCTGTTGCATAACTATCTTGCGAAACAAACTTCCTACAAGTTCATCGTAAACTGCTTTTGTAATTCACAATGAAGAGCCATTCTTATTCTTTCAGAAAAGGGTCCGCGAATCCTGCCACTTGTTTTAAAGATGCAAGCATTTCATTCGAATTGAATATTATTTTAAGTTTATACGTAGATGCAATGATTTCATTCGACCTCAATGTTATTTTAATTTTATAGATGCAAGCATTTCATTTGAATTGAATACTATTTTAATTTTATACGTAGATGCAGGTATTTCATTCGCATTGATCATTCTTTTTTTTTTATAACGGAATAATTGAGGTATATCACTAATGTATAGTCATAATTGTTTGCATTTTAGAAATGAAAATAATATTTTGGATCATATTTTTTCTTAGTCTGATGTTCTATTTAATTTATATAGTCTTTTCACTCGATCATGTATATGGTAAAGTATTCTAGTGGATAATACAGTATAGCAGTTCAATCATAGAGCTCCACGTTCAAATCCAAAAGTAAGCCCAAAAAGAGTAACTATCGAAACGTAAAGTAACGCATAACGTACCCAGTGAAAAATGTTGTAAAAAAGAACGCGTTCCAAGAGAGTGAATGCCATTTTTTTAAGAAAAGAAAACGTCCCAAAAAAAGTGGAACGCTTTCCCACAATAAAAATTTCATTTCGGAATGCTTTCCAGTTTTGTTTGAACGTTTTCTTTTCTTAAAAAAGGGCATTCACTCTCTTGAAATGCCTTCTTTTTTACAACATTTTTCATTGGGTATATGATATAGAAGTATGGAAATAAGATAGAGCAGCTTCAACAAGAACACAATAAAGAAAGAGTTCCAGCTGTACATGGAATTCGTTTTTGGTCATTCCTTTCTTAGGAATGGCTCAAAACACGTTCATCGAAAAGTGGAACTCATCATTGATCATTATAAATAGGAGCGACCGATAACGCTTTCCATGAAAGTGAAAAATATTTCTTTTAGAATAGAAAATGCCCCAAAAGCTATGGAATGCGTAGTTCACCGCTCTGAATTGAAAACTTAAGGAACGCATTCCACATTCTTTGAAAACTTCATTTAAGAAAAACAAGTACCTTCGAAAATTGGAATGTGTCCTTCACCGTTCCATATTGGAACGGTTTCCATCTTCCGAAAAAACTTTTCTAAGACTGGAATGAGCTCTATTCCATTTTTTCCATGATGTGTGACAGTTCAGTTTTAGTTCCGATCTGTCAAGAGTAGGCGTATAACGAACCCGAACTGAAGTTTGGAGTTTGAATTTCTACATTAAACGGTTGACTTATTAGTATAATAGATCATGAAAAGAGAGGTTTAGCATCTGAATTGAAAGGATTTGAGTGTTGGTGACAGTAGCAGTGAGTATTTTAAGCGTGTCTTCATACTTTTTCACACACCCCTAACAATAAAAACCCTAATCCGCTCTCTCGCGACGACTCCCCGGGGAGTCCCCGCAAAATAAAGAAATCCCTGGGGAGTCTCTGTCGTGAGTCCCCGGAGATTTGTCAAGGGACTCCCTGGGGATTCTTTTAGGGAGAGTTGACTAGGGGAGGTTTCTTTGGCTGTTAGTATGAGTGGCTATATATAAAACCGCATTCACGATTCATACTGTAGCCATATACATTGTTTATTCGATATCATTTTAAAACCGTAATTTTATCGTGATTTCCCCGCAAAACTAGTTTTTTTTAAAACGATCGTTTCCATACGCCACATCTGTAACGAATAATAAGCGCCTTGCTGGGTTAATACATAAGACAAACTGGATAGAGCTGGGAGTGTGTGTGAGCTTTATGGGATGGCCCAGACATTCAAGACCCACACCCACGCCCTCAAGATCAACGACAAGAATTCAAGGAGGTAGGTGCTGACACCAAACACCGAGAAGTGTTGGGCAGGTGCCAGCACTTACCCCCTTGCAAGAATTTAGGACAGTGATTGTCTCCAGTTCTGCCTTAAGGCTTACATCTTATTCCACACTACTACCGTCTCCTGTTTCAGGCACCGTGCACATTTCTTCTGCATACCGTTATTCATTTAAGCAAAACAAGTTTTGTACACGTGGAAAATTTATCAGGCATTTATTTTTGTTCGTTTCTCTCATTCCTTATCGTAATTTTGTAGCAACATGATTAGCTGTGCTTTTGTGGCGATAGAACTGCCGTTAAAACTCAGTTGTCGCATAATTAAAACGTAATAACAAAGTTTTGTGTGATAGTTTATAATATAAATATAAATGTAGTATTTTTAGATTAATCAATTTTAGATATGTCACTGATTATTGCTTTAATTATCGGTACAGGTCATGAATTAGACGATGAAATCGCTTATCAGTTAGGAAAGCGAGGTGTATGTGTTTTATTTTGTTCAAGCAATGAAAATAAACTTGAACGAATAATAAAGAAGTTGAGAGATGAAGATATCGAAGCCAAATTTACTGTACTTGATGCTATTGATCTTCAAACCATTGACAAACTTATTGAACAAATTGATGATCAGTTTGGCCAATTAGATATATTAATTAATGTTGGAATATTACTTAATCATGGTCAATTTAAAATAAATATTATCTCACGTCATGGATTTGAAGCAAAAGAATTTTTCGATACATTGACTGTATCGCAGGTATTTATACCATTGCTTAAAAAATCTGCTTCCAGTTGTGTAATTAATGTATATGGTGAAATGAGTGACCATAATTCTAGATTGAAAGCATTGGGTGAATTATTTCATGATTGTTCGTCAAAAATAGCATTACATAAATTTATTGACCAATTTAATAAACAATTTTGTAATACAAATATCAAGATCAGTTCTGTTACACTTGGCGATGATAAGAATGTTCAAACCATACAGGAAGAAGCTAGTCGTATCGTTCAGTTAGCAACTTTAGATTTTTTTGAACCTTCGAAATCCAAGACAATACGTATTCTTTACGGCATTGTGGGTGAGGGTTTGGGTCATGCCACACGATCCAAAGTCACTCTTGAAATGCTTATGAAGGAGCAACATCATGTCAAAGCGGTGGTGAGCAATCGTGCATATAAGTTTCTTCATGACAGCTTTTCAAATCGATTCCCACGTTGTGCTGCAGCGAGTGACGGCGAAGCAGCTATCGATATAATCGAAATCGAAGGTTTAACAATGCAATTTGTTGATAATGTATTTGATGAAAAAGCTTCAGTACTACATACAATGCAACGCATGCCAAATATACTTAACAAAAGCATTGGTGCATATTATCAGAATCTAGCTTTTTGGAAGCCTCGGGCTGTTATTAGTGATTTTGACAGCTTTGCTTACATTTTTGCTAAAACACACGGATTACCAATCCTGTCGATCGACAATCAACACGTTGTGAAACGATGCTTAATTCCAGAAGAAGCTAGAGAGTCCAATCCAAAAGCATTCAACACATACAAAGGTTTTGTCAATGCAAAACTTCCACGCTGTGATCAATACATTATTACTGGTTTCTTTACTCCCGCGATTCGTGACAAGTACAAAACTAAAACTGTGCTTGTTCCTCCAATTCTTCGCCAGGCTATTCTTGACGCAAAGCCATTACCAGCTGAACATGGTGAACATTTTCTTGTTTACCAAAGTAGCAAAAGTGACACGTCACTAATCTCTACTTTACAAGCCTTTGGAGAAAAATGTATCATTTATGGGCTCGGCCGAGAAGAAAAAATAGATAATCTAGAATTCAAAGGGTTTTCTGAACAAGGATTTGTAGACGATTTGGCACGTGCAAAAGGTGTCATTGCTAATGGTGGACTTTCTCTTATGAACGAAGCAGTCAGCTTGCAGCGGCCATTTTTCAGTGTACCCGTCGAGAATCAGTATGAGCAAGTGCTTAACGCATGGTACTTGGAAAAGCTAGGTTATGGCGTCTTTGTCGATAAAATAGAGCTTGAACCACTTCAAAAATGGGCACAAAACATTCCACAATATGCAAAAGCACTTTCAAACTATCATCATGATTCAAACATGCAACTGTACAAGACGGTGAAAACATTTCTCGAAGAATGCAATAGAAGATTTATATGGTGGGATCCATTAAAGTGTATTAAATGAACATCGCCGTTTCGAGTAATGATTTAACCAGCAAGCTCGGCTTCTACATGAATTGCTTCATCTATTGTAATTACTGATCTTAGCAGATTAAATGTTTATTTTTAATTGTTATATTGTAGAACGTTGATATCGTAGTTTATAACAAAAAACAAAAGCAAAAATTGTAGGACATTAGAAATATGATTTCCTCTTTTTCCATTTTTTCCAGTTTCTTGATCATAATAAAACCATTTGGTATTCCATCATTATGATCTGGTATATACAGATCAGCTAATAGGGTGAGTGTATCAATGATACTAATATAAAACCACACGCACAACCTATTATGCCATATCCCCAGACAATCAAGGCCAGACATTGGATACTCAGTACAATACTTGGTACTTTTACGTACTAAGTACAATACTGGGACTCTTACAGCAATCCTTTTAAGTATCCTATTTTCTATTTTTTCTTCTTTGCATTAGGTTTTAAGTGTTTTCTATCTATTGAATATACTTTAATGATTCCAAAACGGCTTGAAAACCGTAAATAATGGATGTATTGAATGTTTTTGAAATATTTTTTTATTGATGACAGCTAATATATAAATTATATGAATTACATATCTGCGTCAGATTTCACGAAAAAAAACTTAAAAAGGAGATTAATATAGATGCAAACGCCATTATTTTAATTTAATTCAAATCTGGATTGTAGTCTTACATTTTTGATTTTTTTTCTAGTTTGTCTTTTCAAATGAATTTTATTGATTCATCAAAACTGATGAAATTTCAGTAACTGATTAGACGAATTCAAAAAACTTGTTAGCACAGCCCCTTTGAGGCTAAAATGTGGAACTCACATCTAACTGTTCGCTTAATTCTACGAATACACAATACGTAAAGTGTGAAATGTGCTGCAAGAGAATCGATCAGTAGAAAAAAAAATGTCTTATTTAGTTTTTGTATGCTTAGTAATGTCTGTAATGGGGAGGGGAAGCCGCAAAAATCCCGCTTTTAAACTTAAACTCACCGTTTTCTTCGAATATATATATATAAGTTCCACAAAAATGATCAAATGACAGAAAATGTAAAATTTAAAACAAAAAAAAAAGATTTCTATCTGATAGAAATAGTGTCCCTTCAATTGGTTTCAGTCTTATAGCGCTATAAATTATATCCACTTTAATATCAATGGATATGAAAATATGGCAATGTGCATGCTAGGTTCTATTCTGGTTCACACTACAGATCAGTGTTTCTAACAGCCAGTGTACACAGCAAAAGCAAAATGTCTGGAACACCTGCTGTTTCTGAGATACACTCTGATTTACATGTTGCTCAGAAAACAAAAATGTAAGGCGTACACTTTGAAAAAGAAAATAACACTTTGATGTTAGATCACGAAAACTCATTTCGCTAAATCTTTGTCTGTTTGGACGGAATTAAATTACTGCCGTCGTCATCATCACTTCCCAGGTCGTGGAGGTACGACGAGAAACGGCCGGAAAGCGCTGGAAAGTGGAAGCAGTGTTCCGATCGGAAATTACCGGGTTTTTTCCTGTGGATTTTGGACAACTCCCAGCTGGAAAGCACAGAAACCTGACCAGAATCCACAGGAAAAAATCCGGTAACTTCCAACCAGAATACTGCTCCCACTTTTCAGCGCTTTCCGGCCAGATACGGTGATTTTTCCACACCTTTCCGGACAGCTCCTACGGTATCAGCCCTCTGGAACCATTGACCTGGGTTGCTGTATCGACAGATTCACATTGTGAGGTCGAAATTCGACGTAAAAATGTATTTATTAATTCATCAAAAACCGTACATGCTATGAATGAGAAGTACTCAACTGAATGTGATAATATTGGATAAAAAGTAGCAACGCCTAGTAATGCTCTTGTTTGGTTGTTTATAATTTATGTGACTTCCTTTCTCTATGAAACAGATAAAAAAGAATTTTTCTTATTATCTTTCTAGATTATCTGACCTCTTTTCGTTTATTTACACTTTGATACACTTTGTTTATAGAATCAAAGGGTGAAGATACACGTTTTTCACATAAACAAAAACGTTAGGGGCGTTAGCACAAGATTCGAGTTTTTCCAGCCCGGATTCGCCTATATGATTGTGTTGAATTTCATTATCGTTGTGTTGGATGCAGAATTTTGCGCTGAATCGAATGGTGTAATTTTTAAAGGGGGTTGCCGCTCAAAATCTGGCACTTTACCTGGAAATACTGCCTTTTCTGAAAATCTTGTAGAAGTAATTTCAGCCCGGATTCGCTGCTTCAGCTTTGTTGAATCTGAAAATGGTTGTGTTGAATTCAGAATGAAATTCTGCATCGAATGATGCTAAACGTGTATGGGGTCATCGATCAAAAACTTTCTGGTCTCACCCAAGTCATCCCTCCAAATCTATATTCCAGTCCCACCCAAGTCGAAGAAATTTGGTCGATGACTCCATACAAGTTTAGCATCATTCGATGCAGAATTTCATTCTGAATTCAACACAACCATTTTCAGATTCAACACAGCTAAAGCAGTGAATCCGGGTTGAAATTACTTTCACAATATTTTCAAAAAAAAGTAGTATTTTCGGCTAAAGTCCCAGGTTTTAATTGGTACCCCGTCCCAAAAATTACACCATTCGATTCAGCACAAAATTCTGCATCCAACACAACGAAAATGAAATTCAACACAACCCTATAGGCGAATCCGGGCTGGAAAAGCTCGAATATTGTGCTAACTCCCCCAACGTTAAACAAAATGTACAAAAACATTTTACTTCAGATTTCTATTAGAAACACTGCTACAGATATCATTAGCCGACGAAACCAATGGACGCTCAGAAAATTATTAATGAAAGCCTAATCTGAATTTGTACTTTGTACTTGCACTGGTCCAATCACTGATGAAGACTCACACCTCGACTAGTAATAGTAGATTTCATTTGCTTTAATTATGTGACCAAAAATGTACCATCCCGTTAAAGAGAAAGCGATTTCTAGATGGCGCCACTATACAGGTTATTATTATAGTGAACAATTAATTAGTTAATACTATCTTTGATTAACGATAAAAATAACTCTCAAATATTATAAATTATGTTTGTACTCACTTCATTCTTATCACTAGTTAGAAAAAAAGAGCCAATAGAAAGCATGGAATAGGTCTTTGTTTCTTTTATCCAACGATTCTTTCTTCGTATAAATCATAATTTGTCTTGCCAAAATAAAAGTAAACTCTGCTTGTTAACAATCATGAGTTACTTTTTGAAATATGTCGAAATTGATAATTTCAAATCGTACAAAGGACATATTGTCATCGGCCCATTACGAAAATTCACAGCTATTATTGGACCAAATGGATCTGGTATGTCAAAAACTTGTTTCTTTTAGTAATTTTCATTTTAACTCGTTATTTTTTAGGCAAATCCAATCTTATGGATGCTATAAGTTTTGTTTTGGGTGAACCAACAAAAAGTTTACGTGTTCGAAAATTATCAGTACGCTGTTTTTACTATTAGTTAAAAAATAAAAACACAGCCGATTTTTTCTCCTTCATAGGAATTAATTCATGGTGCACCAATCAATAAACCCGTTAGTACACGTGCATCTGTTTCATTAATATTTGTTACAATAAAAGCTGATCGCCATGGTGAACGTACTGAACATGAAAAACGTTTTCAACGTTTAATCGTCGGTAATGCATCTGAATATCGTGTTGATGGACGTCAACTATCAGCCACTGAATATACTGAAGAACTTGAAAATATGGGTATTATACCCAAAGCAAAAAACTTCCTTATTTTCCAAGGACAAGTTGAATCTATTGCTATGAAAACACCCAAAGAATTTACTGCTATGTTCGAAGAATTAAGTCGTAGCGGAGAATTAAAAGAAGAATATGAACAAGCAAAACAAGAAAAAAATAAAGCTGAACAAGATACACATGCAAATTTTCAAAAGAAGAAAGGTGTTGAAAAGCAGAAAAAAGAAGTTCGATTAGAGAAAGAAGTTGCACAAAAATATGCTGCTTTGAAAACACAATATGTAAGAAAATTGTAAGAAAAAGAATTTTAGTTTATTGTAAATTTTTCTTCAGGATGAACTGCAATTACAATTAAAATTATTTCAATTGTATCATAATAAACAAGAATTAACGGAAAAACGTGAAATAGCCGATAAGAAACGAGACGAAGTTGCAAAATTAGAAAAACGAAAAGAAATATCAGATGAAGAAATCAAAGCAAAAAAGAAAGAACTAGCTGCTTATAATAAAGAATTAGCAAATGATGAACAAAAAGTTAAAGAATTGGTAAAATTTATATTTTAGTGAAATTTCCGTTTAAAGAAAAACTATTTTCATAGGAAGCACAAATCAATAAAAATCGTCCAACTTATATCAAAGCAAAGGAAAACTCTACTCATCATCAGAAAAAACTCGATCTTGCAAGGTAAGATTTGTAGTGAATTTTTCCGGTGCTAGTTTTTTGTGCGTTGTTTTTAGAAAAACTCTTCTTGCAGCTGAAAAATCTCATAGTGCTCATAATGATGAAATTGAAAAATATGATGATGATTTACGTGAAGTCGAACGATTACGAAAAGAATATGAAGATAAGCTACAAGATGAATCTCAACATACTGGTCGGAATTTAGCATTAGAAGAAAATCAAGTAGGGATTTTCTTATTCGTCTTTTTTCCACAGAATCAAAGAAAACTTTTGTTTTACTAGATGAAAGAATATCGACGTTTAAAAGAAGAAGCAGCGAAAAAAATGACTCAATTCTCTGAAGAATACGATTCAATTGATCGTCAACAACAAGTCGATAAAACAAATGTTGAACAAGAACAACGAAGCCAAAAAGATCATGAAGCTCGTATAAAACAAACGGAATCACGTATAGAAGAATTGAATGGAAAAATCGATAAGTTGGGTGGTTATATTGCGTAAGTAAATTGTTTTTATAAACAAATGATGAACTAGAATATTTATTTCTTTAGTGATCTCGAACGAGAATTCAATGAAAAACAAACAAATGTACAATTACTCGAACGTGAAGTTTCTGAAGGTCGAAAACGTTGTGGGGAACTTGAAGAAGAACTTGATCAAGTTAATAAAGAAATTGGTGAAGCTCGTGTAAGTATAGTCGAATAATATAAATATAGATTTTTCAATTGAATTTATTTAGTCAGATCGAAATGAAACAAGTCGAGCACAACGACGAGCTGAACTTATTGAAAATCTTAAACAATTTCCAGGAGTGGTGAGTAATATAACTTTTATGTAATATTCAAATGGGAGTACAATACTCGATACAATCGGATCCTCATGCTTCAGTAGTTTAAGTCTATGTATTGCTTTTTAGTACGGTCGTTTGATTGATCTATGTGAACCCACTCATAAACGTTTTCAAATGGCCATAACAAAAGTTCTTGGTCGCAATATGGATTCTATTGTTGTTGAACGTGAAACAACTGTTCAATCGTGTTTACGTTATATGAAAGAACATCGTTATGAACCGGAGACATTTTTACCACTTGATTATATTAAAGTAACACCAGTTAATGAACAGCTTCGGTTCGTTTTTTAGAAGAAAAATATCTTTTCAATAAAAAAAACCTTTTTCGTTTCAGAGAATTACAAGAACCGAAAAATGTTAAACTTGTTCTCGATGTGATCAAATATGATAAACAATATTACAAAGCATTACTTTATGCTTGTGGTAATGCACTTGTTTGTGATAGTGACGACGATGCTCGAAGACTTGCCTATGAAAGTGGACATCACAAAAATAAAGTTGTTTCATTAAATGGAACACTCTTCAGTAAATCTGGTGTTATTTCAGGTGGATCAAGGTATGTAGTCGAAAGATTTATATTTCACTATGAGGCTTTACTATTAAATGAATATTTTTGTTTAGCGAATTGAAAGCTCGAGCTAAACGTTGGGACGAAAAACATCTTGATGCATTACGTTTACGTAAAGATAAATTATTTGACGAATATAAAGAACAACAAAAGAAGAAACGACGTGAAGCAGAATTAATTAATGCACGGTTAGTAGGAAATTTTCGATGGGATTTATTGGTTTCGACCGTTCTTTTGTTTTATTTCTAGTGCACAGTTACAACAGCTTGAAAGTCGTTTACGCTATTCAAGAACCGATAAAGAAACAGCTGAAAAGAAACAAAGGATTTTAATCGAAAAAGATCTTGTTGATTTCAAAGATAAACTTGCTACCTATGAGGTTTGTTCAGATATCAGCGTCTCTGTGAAATTAGATTATTTTCAAGCCTAATATATTTCTTTCGACAACGATATTCCAAGTAAAAATTATTATTTGTTTTAGCCGAAGGTTACTGCATTACAAGTCACAATCGATGAACGTGAAAAACGTATATCGAAATTACGGTTGCAAAAAAATAAAATTGAAGACGCTATATTTGCTGAGTTTTGTAAACATATTCATGTATCCAATATTCGGTAATTCGTTCTATTGATGATTTATTTGCAATGTTCTAATTTATTATTGATTTTGAAGTGTTTATGAAGATCGAGAATTGCAAGCCGCTGAAAAACGAGCTCAAGAACGTCTTGAATTCGAAAATCAAATAACTAAAATTCAAACAATGCTTGATTTCGAACGTACTCGTGACACAGCTGGTCATGCTGAGCAAGTTCGAAAAGAAGTTTCAAACTTAGAAGAAGCATTACAAAGATGCCAAAAGAACGAAAAAAAATATCGTAAAGTAAGTAAATTTATTCGTTAAGAAAAATCGATTTATTAATCAATTGAATTCAAGGTTATCGAAGATCTTCAACATGAAATCGCCGAAGTAAAAGATCGTTTGCTTGATCAAAAGAAAAAAATTGAATTTCAAGAACGTGAAATAACCGATTGTACAAAACGTGCAGCACAATTAAATAAAGATTTTAATGAACAACGAAAACGTTTGCAACTCATTGAAAGTGATATTGAAAAATTACGTATGGATCGTCATAATTATTTTCGTATAGCTAAGGTATGTGTTGAAGAGTCAGTTTGCTAATTATTTATATAAAATCGCAATTGTCTTTCTGAGAAGAGAAACTGACTCAATATAATCTTTATTTGCAATTGACTGTGAAATTTTTCGTCCCACACGAATTGTACTAACAGATTTTTCTTCTCGTTTTTAGCTTACTGAAATAGCCTTACCATTCCGTGGCAATGCTGGTTCTATGGCAGCAATATCACTTGCTGAAACATCTTCATCCGATGATGCTAATGCTCAAGTGCAAGGAAATTCTTCGTCCACAATGTTAATGAGTCAATCGACGACGACTACAGACTTGTCGACGGTATCGAACGGCGATGGTAATAATTCAAGCCAATACGATTCAAAACAAATCTACGATATGGAAGATAAATTTGAGCTGAATTATAAACGTTTACGTGACGATTTGAAAAAAATTAATTATGAACAAGTTGATAAAGAAGAAAAATTATTAATTAAACAAATGGCCGATATTGAAGCTCAATTACAAAAACATTTGCCACAGACATCAGCTATTGATGCACGTTCACGTGAAGTTAAAACAACATTCGAATTGACCAATGCAGAATTCGAACGTGCTCGTAATGCTGCTAAACGTGCAAGACAAGCTTTTGAAAAAATAAAAAAAGAACGATACGATCGGTTCAATGCACTTTATGAACATGTTTCTACATGTATTGATGATATTTATAAATCGTTGACAAATTCACAAGCTGCTGTTGCATGTTTAACAGCTGAAGATGCTGAAGAACCCTATAAAGGTGGTATTACATACAATTGTGTGGCGCCTGGTAAACGTTTTCAAGCTATGGAAAATTTATCTGGTGGAGAAAAAACTGTTGCAGCTATTTGCCTTTTATTTGCTTTGAGAAGGTAAGAAATAGAGATTGTTTTTCGACAGTTTTATTGAGTCTTGGCTTACTTTAGTTTTAAACCAGCTCCATTCTTTTTGCTCGATGAAGTTGATGCTGCTCTTGATAATACAAATATTGGTAAAGTAGCTGATTTTATTCGTGAACAATCAGCATCTGAATTTCAATGTATTGTTATTTCACTCAAAGAGCAATTTTATTCACGTGCTGATGCACTTGTTGGTATCTATCCCGAGGTAATTTAATTCTAATTTTCAACTATTGTAATAATGGTGTTCTCTTTTTTGTTCAGCCCGGCGATTGCATTACTAGTCATTGTCTTACATTAGATTTAAATCAATTTGACGAACGAGAAAATGTTGCAAATACACGTGGATAAAATGGCAGACTTCACTTGTTTTTTGTAGATACATGTTATGTGTTTTGTTTTCTTTTGCCCGTATTGTATATAAATATTGTATTGTGTGTCTAGACCGAAAAAATAATTGAAAATAAAGAAAATCAATCTTTAGATGAAATGAATTATTGATTTTACATCAAAATAGTGGCAATGTTTATTGATTTTCTGTATGGTTGATCGATTTATTTTCTGCACAGGAGACTTTTAACCATATCTTATGCAGTGAATAGTAACATTTCTTCAACGACTATGCTTATATGCTTGCTTTTATTAATATGAGTTCTTTTGTATGAATGCTGCGACATCGTAATTAGGTTTTTTTTGAGTTATTCAGTTAAAAATCATCTGTTCAAAAATAAAAATAAACAAAAGATGAATGCTGGTATATTTTCAGAAGTAAATTGAAAGTTTTCAATTGGATAGTATAAATGCATTTGACTTCTTCTCATCTTCGTCCTCTTTTAATTGATATTCCATATATGCTCTCATGAATATTACCGAGTCGTAATTGGGTTGAAAAGTTTCTGGTAATTAACGATATCGACTTTTTTTAAATACCCTGTCGAATCTATATTACAATTGAAGCAGTGAATCCAAGAGAAACAAATAATTTAAGTATTTGGTTTCAATGAATTGACTGAAAATTAATGTCTTGTGCAAAGTTCAAGAAAGTAGAGAAAGAGCGTTTGTGACTAAATTCAAATGTGTGCTCTGCGGATTAGGAAATGATTGCGTCAATTTTCCGCACGTTGTTGCATTGCTGATCGAACATAGCTCACATGAATTTACACCAATAAATTTTTCATCGCTTATTTCTGTGTATATCTTAGATACCATTATCAATTTACTGTTGTTTTTACTTCATTTTTATTCGTTCGCTCGATATCATATGCCTCTTTATGAATCTTGAAATATCCCAGTCAGACAAGAAACGCAAAATAACGCGTAAAAACGAATAAAAACCGCACATTTTTGCGATTTCATTTTCGTTAAAAATTCTACTCAATCTTATGCGTTATTTTGTTGAAATAAGTGACTTGATAGAGAAATAAATGCGGAAACTTCGAATTTCATCCGAGAGTTATGTGTACTGCAAAAAGTGTATGGGAGATATGAGTCATTCTAGAATGTCTGAACATCAAAATTATCATGAGAAACTAGACAATTTGATTTCTGAATGCAGTTTTTGTGCATTTTGAGACGTTTTCCAGGCGATGTATCATCAGAAAGCTACGGTTTAGTTCAAAACAAATATCAAATTCGGAATCAGCGTTAAAAACGGAGTCGATTTATATATGTTGTGAATAATTCTGGGAAAATATGTTTTTTGAAAAATCCCTGTACTCCCCCTCAGTCAGGAAGAGTCTGATCAAAAATGACAATTTTTTCGATAACTCAAACATTACTTGACGGATCCTTCTCATCTTCGAACTCGACCGAGATATTGATGAGATCATTCTGTGTACAAAATTTCATGGTAATTGGATGAGGCTTTCAAAAGTTATCATGCCTACGGCCGGACGGACACACTGACCGATTCTAGAGTGTACTTGTTATGCCAGGAGATGTCTCTCATGACATAAGAATGCCATTTCTATGCTGATATAACCGTCTCACATTGGATTATAACTGCTCTGTTATTTGTCTAATGATATTCGTCGTGGTGGATAAATGCTAGTAGAGAATGACGAAAAGAAAGAGAAAGAGAACACATTTTTTTGTTGCTTTTTTTGTTTGTTTTTTGGTGGATTCATTCAAATTTTGTTTGGTAAAAGAAAAGATCAAGAATAAACGAGATAAAGTTATAACAGTACTCACTTTTTGAGTACACAAAAACAGCCATAATCCGTACACTTACATTGCTTATGAATTATCTATATAGTTTTAAACAAAATGAGTGTACGAATTGTAGCTGTTTTTCCTCTATCAAGTCACTTGTTTCAACAAAATAACGCGTAAAAATGCGTAGAATTTTAAACGAAAATAAAATCGCAAAAATGTGCGTTTTTTATTCGCTTTTACGCGTTATTTTTCGTTGCTTGTCTGACTGGGTAAAAACAAAAAATTATTTTCTATCACTGCCAGAGATTTTTTCGAACAATGTTTTGTTTAATGTTGTGTCAAACACATAGATTTGTCTATATATATATATATGTGTAAATACCTAGATATTGCCGCAGAACTAAAACACTCCACGAAAAGCAGAAGATAAATCATCTGATGCTCGCCCCTAGTAGTTTATTAATTGGTCTTAACCGAAGTCGTACGCATAATAATGCTCGGAAGGAAAATTTTATGACGATGAACCCGTGCGAATGACTTTTTTTTAATCATTTCTTAAATGATCTGAGAATTGTATTTTGAATAGTGTTTTCGAAGAAAGGCAACCAAGAATCAAATTGGCCCATTAAAATCAACAACTGAACTCGGTTGTCTTGATTCATCGAGAATTTATGTTGGTAAGCGATTTAGCGAAGCAAGTTCTGAACTGATCTGCAGCATCTGTCAAAATGTTCTCTGGAAACCTATTGCTTGTACTACTTGTGAAAATGCTTTTCGTACTGGATGTATTCAAACATGGATTAATAAACAGCAGCAGTCTAAACAAGTAATGTGTCCATTCAATTGCACATTTAAAGAAAAACGAGCTCCGCCTATATTAAACAGTCTTTTATCTAAGCTTCGAGTTTATTGTGCCTACGCTTCAAACGGATGTGAAGAAGTTCTTTCGTATGACGCTCTTGAAGTACATGAACAGACATGTCAGTACGAACGAACACCATGCCAAATTTGTGGGACGCCTGTATCAAATAGAAATACAAGTAACAAACATGAAGCTCGTCAATGTTTCAGCGAAATGTACAATCGATATCCCAATCAAACTCAGGCACAATTCATGAAATTGTTGGATATTGTTGAAACTAGTCAGCGACGTATTCAAACACTGGAGAAATTGCTCGGAATTGAGTCACAGCAGAATCAATGAATAATCAACATGATTATATTCTCGTACTTGAATCTTTTTTAACGATATCAAACTTTCATTATTCCAGAATAAAAATAATAAAATATCGCGGATCTTTTTTTCTAATTATTATTTGCGATTAATAATATACTACAGCAGACTTAATGATCATGATACCACACTTTAATATGGTCGAAAATATAAATACAAATGTGATTACGCTTAGCAATAACTCCGTAGAACTTATCGCCTGCAACATATTGTATATAGGAATTCAGTTGATATAAAAAATTTCACATCTTTACATTAGCTAGCCAGGCAAAAAATCCACCTCGACGATTTAAAATATGCGCTTTGTACACTGAAGAAAAGACAATCGTTATGTTGTTTACAGACTTCAGTTCATGAAATAATCGAATGACGCAGGTCTCGAAGTGAATTTGCAAAGCACTCAAAGTTTATCAATTTAGAAGAAAATATTTCTATAGAAATTTCCATTCTTCTCAACTTAGAGAAAGTCATCAATCTTTAGTTCGACATCATTTCCGATGTACAGTGTAAATAACTAGATTGATTGTGAAGTTTCATCAAGTAAAATTCTGCTTTTTTTTTGTAAAGTGCTCTGCTGAAAAGCAAATTTCATTTTAAAGTCATATAAATATAAAATATGATCATGTATTAAGAAATCAAAAATTAATTATTCATAACTGACATCGATTTTTATAATTAATTCGATTGTCTGTAGACAGAAAGACCAAAAATACAAAAACCACATATAACCAAAAACATGAAGAAGCAAATGCTGAGCCAGAGTCCATTCAATGAACTACTTAAATTGTGACACACTAACGTATCCGCTTTATAAATCGTTGACAACGGTAGAGGACACCCATCCACAGTTGATTCAAGTACTGACTTCACATAATCGTCAACCTAAAATAAAAATAAAAATAAAAATTTCCACATTTCCTTTATCTATAGGCAAACCTCTTTGATAGTTGATTGCGTGAAGTTCTTCGATAATGTTGAACTTGAATTACTTATATTATTAAATAATTGGTTTATTGCCAATAAATCTGCTTGAATCTTAACAGCAATAGATGTAATATTCGTTCGATTGGCTTGAGTAATTAAATCCACGACTGTATCGATATCTGCAGGAATATTAATATCTCCAATAGATTGAACAAATTGATTATGTATTTTTTCGCTCATTTTATTCATTACATTTTCAACATCAGTATTTAATATTGAAAAATATTCTTCGAACATTTTTCTAGTGAAATGTACATTATCACGGCAATCATTAATTACATTGTATGTTGTTCTATTCATTTCCGAACGATCCACAAATAAATTATTCAAACCAACTAATTTATCTATGGCAAAATTAATTAGCCAAGGTTGCTCATCATGAACTGTTCGGCAAGCACCTTGAACAGCAAGATCAAGCGCATAATAAGCACCTGTTAGAAGTACCATAGCAATCAACATGATTATCATAATAATGAATGCAATACGTATTAGACAAAATAATACGCCAGATGAGCCATTATCTGATTCCATATATTCCGATTCGTTTCGGTATGAACTATAATTAAAAAATAGTCAAAGTATGTGGTAGAGCTGTAATGTAGAGGGCGAAATCTTTTAATATGACTTTCGCCAATGTAAGAATAAATTCAACGTGGAATTTTCTCTCGATTGTAATATTAACCTAGGTTCTTATTTCGAAACAGCTGGCGGAAGCCTTGTGCAATCGGTAGAGCCCGTCGGATGTCAATTGACAGAATAATTTAATTCATATAATAATAGTTTATCTTTGCAATTTTCGTTTGTGTTATTCAAAAATCTTAATCCTATTTATAGAAAGTAAAATATTTCGTTGTCTGGCTAGAAAAAAGCATCGAGAGATTTTAGCGTACCTTTCAATTCTTGTACCCGATGGGCTCTAGTACTTGCACTATTGTTGAATGTCCCTTTAACGAAACTCGGAATTTCTATCCTCAATATTTCAACATTTCCTTGTACAAAAAAAAATAACAGAGAAACTTTTGCATACTCACGGTCTCATTTTATTAGCTGTCCTGTGTTGCTGGGCGCTGTTGCTTTTGGAATAACCATCTGTCGAGTGTGCGTACCGTTCTTTGCTCATATTTTTCATCGGCATTCGACTTCTATGAAGAAAAATAATTATCATAAGAATATAAATCAAAATTTTGTTGTCGTTTTACTGATTTCCTCTTGATTCATGGCCACTTCCCTTGCATAAACAAGATATTCCTATGACAATAAAGAAACCCAACGGAATGACACCAAGTAATATAACGAACACAACAGCAATAGTTCCAACAAGATTAAAATATCCACGAATGTCTTCTTCTAAGTTTTGATTTATTAACATATGACTTTCCCACGGTGTCATTGTCGGCAATATATCATTATTAACTGTATCAATAATTTTTGACAGTGCACGATGAACAGTATACAATGCGCTCGATATTTCTCGATCAATATCAGCATCGGTTCCACTAGTATAATTACAAATTTCTTCTAATGGTTTTTGTAGAAAAACAATTGTATTTTCATATTGTTCTGCAACATTGTTAACTATTTGTACAACTAATGCAGGTAATGATAAATCATCCTTTACTACAATTTTTAATTTTTGAACATTTCTATCGATATTATTTACATGTTGAGCAGTATCATTAAGGTAATATTTGCCGTTTAAAACTGCATCAAATGCATTGATTAGCATTGATTTTGATGCATTGATTAAAATTGAATTTTCTGCAAGAAAATAAAAATGAAGTGAAAACTCATCATTCAACAAACTTACGTTGTAGGAAATATTGATCAAGATTTCCGAGTTGTCGATTTAAATATCGAATATGTCCGGCGATTTCATTTGGATAAATGTCTCGATTTAATTGCTTAATTCCATTATCAATAGAAGTTTTCGATGTATTAACTCGATAAGCAACATAAATCATGTCTGCTATCCCAAGTAGATAAACTACGATTAGCAAGAATAGACAAATACGAGACGATTTCGAGCCTCGCCGCTTTTGATTCTTTAAAAAAAAAAGAAAATAATTTACGGTTACATTTTTCAATCGATGAATTTCTTACTTGATGTTTTTTCAATTTGCAACAGGAGAGTGTACAAAATGTAATTGAAAACATTAAAAATAAACCCAGAGCTACACTGGCATAAACAATCACCGAAGGAATTGGCTTTGTTTTAGTGATTTCTGACACACTCCATGAATTAGAATTATTATTGAATAATCTTTGTAACAACGATTGAACATTTTGATTAGAAAATGTTGAACGTGCCATGGTAGCAGAAATCCTACTAGAAATGCTACCACTATTCGGGTTGTAAGTTGGATGAACAAGATGATTTGAATCATTGGCCAGTACTGGTACTATTGGTAATGGTGGAAAATTTTTAAGACAACTTATGTCCATGATAAATATTTTTATTCTGAAATTAATGAATAGAGAGAAGAATATTTTAGCGCTGCTATTGATATTTTTGCAAGAAGAACTTTGTAGCGAATTATTTTCTTGGTGTTTAGAAATTCACAAGCAAATCTTACATAAATATGAGAAAATATTTTATCATTGTTTTTTTTTTTGACTGTCAATGATACATAGATAAGGTAAGGCTCCATTATTATGTTCGTCATTGCTATAAAACAGCATGCTAAAAGAGATAACGGCATACAAAAGAGGAAAGAAATGAAATAGATTTGTACTTTAAAACATGACTTTGTGTTTGTTATCCATATCTATCGCGTCGACTAGGAGATATGATTCAATAATGGTGAATGTATACATCCTTTGATTATTAGAGAATTGGCAGATTCGCGGCAATAATTTTGAAAGTAAAGAAACCAGCATTGACTTACCCGCATTCGACCCTCTTTTCTATTATCTTCAAGTCAAAGTATGAATCAAATTTTTTTTTACGAAACATATGCAGATGTTTTACTTAAATAGCTACGACAGGTGTTGCCTATTTATATAAGAGCCTGTTGGTTTCAGAAATATTTACTACGATAATATTTGATATCTGACAAGTTTTCTCATATAATGTATTACGAGGATGAGTTTTAACTTGTATCGTTAATAAAAAAATCGATCGGTATTAGCAAATCGTGTATCGAAGTACTCGTATGGTTATACAGTTTCTCTATTCACAGCGATTGTTTTAGAACGGCCATCTTTCTTCTATCTACAAAACGAGTGTATTGCTAAATAAAGGATCTTGAAGATACCCACACTTGATTTAAGTCAATTTATTTATAATATTTGTGTCAGTTTTTCATCGAAATCTTTTTTAAATAAAAGTGCATTATTGAGCGTGACATCAAAAACTGCATGTCGCATAAAATTAGCTGATAATGAAGCTTCTTATTTATATGTATCGAAAATTTATTTTCATCGTTGAATATAAAAATTCACATACATCAAATAGCTACACACATTGAGCATTCATTAGAGAAAAAAAGAGTATCAATGTGACATAATCACTATGTCAATTACGAACCATTGCGGCTACAATGAATATTCGATTTGATCGTGTGCTAACTATTACGCTCGTTCTACCTCAAAGATTTTGTTTCTCTAATCTAAATATCCTATTTCACAAATAATCTCTAGAAAGCTATGCATCTACCTATTAAAATCAAATGTTGGTCTGTTGACTAAGTTGCCAACACAAACGTATTCTATCAAGAATGACCGACTTAATTGGTCTTAATTACAAATTGGAAATTACAGTAACATCAGAATGATTCTGGTTATCAATCTAATTGAGTAACATTTACTACGTTCTCATGGAAGTGTTATATTGTTGCGAATGAAGAATTGGTTTGCAAGAAAATTTTAGAAAGTCAGGCACAATAAGAAAACTACTATACACCAGATGTTTCCTCATCTATCATCATACGGCGCCAATATCATCTTATCCTCGACACCGATTCTGGCAGAAATTTAAAAAAGAACTAACAATTTCATTCTATTGCGTGATTGATTTTGCTGATATGAAACGAAAGCTCATTCAACATCTGCTACAATGAGAGAATTCAAGATAATAATTTATACATCGTTGCAGTAAATTAGAATATGTTTATATCTTCGTCTTGTTTCTTAGTACTTTAATAGTTGTAAAATATAGCAATACTTATCATATCGTATTCAGCGCTCTTCATAGTACGCATCATTTTTCGCGAAGGATTTCTATTCTTGTCATAGATGTGTTATCTTGGTAATTAAGCATTCGAGTCATGAATGTAGTCTTGACTGTTTCCAGAAGTGATTAAAAATGTCTTTTGTAAATCTTTGGGTTACCGAAAGTTTACTTCATTTTGGAGACAAGTTTTCTTACGAACAACTTCATTGCGAAATGAAATATTTTCACTGACAATGTGGTGTGAATATACTATGTTCATGTGCTTCTCAACTACTGTAACTGTTAGTTTTTGGACGCTGACATTGTTATTAGTACATAGCGATGTTGGTAAGACCTACGGTTTATTTCTCTTAAATCAGTCAATACTTCAAAGCTATTTATGTGTACATGAGGCTATGCAAGTTCAAAAGGAAGAAACATCTTTTTTTAGGAGAAGAAGCTAACTACAATACTCTTAGAAAATCTATTCCTTCATAAAAGGAAACCAAGTAACTAAGGCTTTTTTCGGAAATTGCAAAGACATGCATCATTATATATATATCAAGACATTAATATATGAATCTATGTAGAGTGCCATTAAATTTGTCTCCTTCGGCAATTTGGGCCCGGAATGGTATCACTGTAGCAGGAATAGGCAATGGAACATCTGGTGACACTCTTAATAATCTCAGTTTTAACTACAGTATTTACATGACACATGAAAATGTGCTCTATGTCACTGATATGGATAATAGTCGTATTGTTTTAACTGGACCAAACTCAAAAACTGCTATAGCTGTTATTCCCGACGATTCTAACTGCAGTTCTCCTGTCTCTGGTCCTGTAGATGTTTTCGTCACTGAAAATTATGTCTATGTTGGAGAGATGACAAATTTTCACGTGGTAAGATTCTTCAAAAACAGAACACAGCCAATCACTGTTGCTGTAATCACGGGTGTAGGTAGGCCAGGTGAAACTACGGCAGCAATCGGTTCTTTCCACAATTTATTTGTGGAAGTAAACGAGAATTTGTATGTAAGTGCTTCTACTAACAACAGAGTGGTTCGATATTTATCTAACTCTTCAAATGGTACGTCCGGCATGATAGTGGCTTGAAATAGCATTGGTGATAATAGTGCTTCGCAGCTAAATGTGCTATATGGACTATTGCTCGATGCAGCTTTAACCCTGCACATTGCGGATTATGGTAACCATCGAATTCAACGATGGGACTATGGAGCTTCATGTGACGTGAAAGTGGCAGGAACAGGAGCTCTGGGTAATATTAGTTTATCAAACTTAAACTTTCCATGTGCAATTGTTGTTGACTTAAATGGGCACATGTATATTGTTGATTCTGGAAACAGTACTTTAGGTAACACATCATCTTCAAAATACTCCTCTGTGACAAGTAGATGTTTACTCATAACAGTCATAGAGCTGATAATGCATTTTCTGATAAAAAAAAAGAGGTCCATCGAATTTCCAACAAAGTCTTACATCATATTTTAGTTTGGACTTTTTGCCATCGGATTTTGAACAATAGTGCACTTCTGCTCAAAGCCATACAATGCGTTGCAAAATTAAAGTCTAGCCTACTTCATGTTTTCCGCAATGAGCCTTAAAATATAATCATTGTATCGTTAACTCATTATTTGCTTTTGTATCGCTATATGAATATGAAAAATATTTTCTATGTTAATGAACTGCCGTACAATATAAAAATCAACCGTTGATATATCATTCGTGTAACAAAAATAAAATGGGTACTTCGCTTTTGCAACTATTTCAGCATACTGTTGTTGTCTGTGTTCATATTTCTACCACAAAGGGAGATTTGATTACTTGAACTATTTTCAAAGTTCCAACCATCATTCCGTGCTATTTTAGATTTCGTTCAGACTAACAATTCCTATATTCGATAATTTATAAAGCCAAGCCATAATGATGTTGATGAGCTATTAAAAAAGATTATACTTGTAATAAAAATACTGGAATACCAAAAACGGCTATTAGCAAATAATATTTTAGCATTCTCATCACGTACCAATACATATCTCTACTGCAATTAAAAATCTCCTTCTTCCTCGAAACTTTTTCAAGCTACAACAGGTAAAATAAACAGATGGTTACATATTGACTATCTGTGTCTTGTAAATATTTTTCGTACATAATTTACATTGCACTATTATTCTTATGGCTCACATGAATCTTACAAATATATTTTTCATGGTGAAAAATCGAATGATTTTTATTTCGAACAAAAGCTCCATTCCGAATCGCAATCGAACCTGATTGCGCATCTTTAACGAAAATAATCATCTGAAGTCTAAGCCTAACAACTATTTAAAAAACCTATTAATACATATATGCACGTACTTAAAACAGGATTATTTTAACGATTTGAACGCAGGCTTGTATAACAGAGGGTACCAGCATATCGTTTAAAATAACACGCGTACCTATGCCATGAAATGAGTGGCACAGAAGCAAAACTGACGATAGAATGTAGAAAAAAGCGGAAGAGAAAAGAATCGATAATTCAGCAAACAATTTGTAAGTAAGTAATAAAACCAGGAAGCCAATTAGGAGAAAATGACGTAATAAGTCCAAATGAATGACACAGAAAAAAAGTGCAAACACGAGAATAGAATCCATGGTTATCGACAATATAATTCTATTAAATCTTCACTCATAAATGGCGTACATCGACTTGATAGTGGAAAACATGAACCATGTTTTTAAATATTTTGAACGTTCAATTTTCTCGCATTTACACCTACCGTAGACGTCTTTTTGTATCCGTAACATGTTGCAAATGCATTTTACATTATTTCAAATGTTTATTTAATTATTCTACTATCAACTTGCCATTAGTTTGAAAATGAGATTCTCACAGCAACTTTCTCTGAAACCATACTCATCACTAAAAATGTATAGATATTCAATGTATGACTTTGAAATTCAGTGAAGTTAGTCTGATCATAGAGGATGAGAGGAGATTATGAAAACAATACTATCAAAGATTCATGCATACACCCTTTGGGAGGAACAACGGGTGATACACTCTCAATTAGCGCCTTCCATACAAACCATTTAGTTTTACATTTAAACGTATTTCTTTCTTTTAGAAGTATACTGTAGGTTTTTGTGCTTATTCGCAATATTCATGTCAAGATGCAGTGAAAATATTATAAAATAAGTAAAGTTTTATGTTTTTCTCTCATAGCATACCTCATTATTTGTTTATTTGGCTTGTTTCTATCTGTCTCCTTGTTTTGTATAAGAAACCCTTTAAAAGTAACGAAAAAACACGTTTTAGCAACGAAGGCAAGCACAAAATCGGACCGATGGAGGGAGATGAAGAGAGAAAAATAAAGCCAAATAAAACATGCATCTACCATGTTGCGTGGCTAGAATTCAGTCTATCAATTATTCGAAACCAACGTCAGCCGCAAGAAAAATCCAACAACAGTCAATCACTTCATCAGAGAAGTGCGTGTTAGCGGTTGACTTCTCATTATTTTGTTTTATTCTCGTCTATGCCAAAATATTTTCGCCCCAAATGAGCCCGGTACAGAGTATTAACCTTCACTCTATTTTTTATTACCGTTAAACACATCTTGCTCTTAATCTTACAAGCATAATCTATCCTTGTATAAAACCTGAGATGGTGACTTCATGAAAGGGTAAATGATACTGAAAGTTCATCTATTGTCGTTGATTCTTTTTAAATAATCCAGTCTGTTTTCTCATCTAATTGAATTGAACGTTTGATATGTCTTGTAGAATTTTATATTCAACCAAAAGTATGACCGCTATTTCAACTTCAACAATTCTCTCTCGAAACAGAAGTGAACTTAGAAGCTTATGTTATGAACTTCAGGATTATGTTACGATGCGAAAGTATATGGTCGCTGCCGAAGTAACTGAATCTTCCGATGATGTTACAAAATGGTTTGAAAGACAGCAGAATCCGGATATGGGTAGACATTACACGAGAATTCTACAAAATATCCGGTCATCAAAAGAAAGAATAATGGTGAGTACACATTTTTCTGTTACATAACAGTTCTAAAAGTCAATGGATTTAGGCGTATCTGAATGAAGTCGATATTCGTCTAGAAACCTTAGTGAAGAGTCTGAATGAATTGTATGATGATCATGTCATTGAGCTCAGTCGTCGAGCAGAAATACGAACATATCTTGACAGTGTCAGACGTACGTTGGACACCTATGAAGTGACAAAGACGATTGATCTATCCGGCTATTATCCAACTTACTATCTTAATTTTTACTTGGCAACATGGATTACACCACCGTATTATCTAATTGCAACACCATTGTTCAAAGGTCTTTTATTTTCAGAAGTTTTCAAACTAATGATATAGAAAATGTGCAACACATATTTCCTATCAGTTTAAACATCTGCTAATATTGTCGTTTCCCAAAGACTAGTTTATCCGCAATAGTTTTTAGTAAGAGATGAAATCTAGGGTATTCTGCAGTCATTCCTAATAGTTTTATCGATAGTATTCAGGAGTCTATCTTCGATAGGATGCTACTAACTACTGACAAAAGCATTTATCATGATATTTGGATGTTAAATAGATGAATATTTCCTCGAGGAATGATTTTTCATGGTAGATAAAACTACCGCTTGAATTCACATGAAGTTGATAATGCAGCCTTGAGAACAGTAGAGCAAGTTTGTAATGGTTCGAGTCCATATAAATCTAAAGCTGGATTATGACTATTCTACGACATTATTAACACTGTTTAGTTATCTATCGAAAACTCCATATTCATCTCATAGAGACATCAAATACGCTTGCGATTATTTTCAAAGTTGCAGGCAAAGGAAAGCGTTGTTAGCGTGATATTAAATTTTCAATTGAACTCACTTTTTTGTGAGAATGAGGATGGAGAGTGGAGAGTGGGCCTGCAATCGGAAGCCCTCGTCTCAATGAACTTCATTTATAGACTATTGCTTTTCTTGACATAGTTATATGACTACTAACAGAAAGTATTCCAATACGGTTTTGTTTGGTTTGAGTTCATTACAAATATGTTTTCACACCAATATATTAGGTACAACAACTAAAAACGTTCGTTTCGATACTCAGCCGGATTACAGAGTGGAAAATTACAATAAACAACTATACCAAACTGGTTCCGGCATTGAAACACCAACACAAATCAATTACGAATCTGACTATGGTGAGTAGGCACATACTATAAAAAAAAGTTTATTAATTCCACATCAACACTTTAACGCCGCATTAAATACTTCATTTTTATTAAACTATGAGGGTGTTGATAATAGTATATTAGTTAACTTCCGAATCATTGATGAAGATAATAGAAGCTGTTTAGTTAGTTTTTATTTAATTAAAATGCAACAGAAAGACCTGTCGGCAAGAGAAAAAAATCTTTTTCATTCCAGTGCCATCCTTGAGCGTTGCTATCAGATTTCACTGTGCCGCCAAACGGGGCTACGGCTTAATTCCACGGTAAGTGAACATACTTTCGCTTTGCTTCTCTGTTTTTTTTCGTCGAAGTGTATCTTGAATTTTTGCAGAGAAGATGTCAACAACGATAATTATGTTCATCGAACTGCTGGTAACAATAACTATCAGAGTAGATGCTTGCGAAACGTTAATCATGATACGAAGGTCAGAGTTAATGTTGTGCAAGGTGATTCAGACCAACAATTTAGTCGTCTTTAAAATATTCATGTTGTTTATTGTTTTTCTTTTAATACAGATGGAAAAGACTGTGACACTGTCTATATAACATGGTCAGACAATGGCAGTACATAAGATTCAAAGTAAATGACTAATCGACAAATGGTAAAGTCGACTGACACCCGAACTAAATATTTAGTGTTGCGAATACTACTGCTGTAGTTCGTTTCATTTTCTCCTTTTTTTGCATTTTATATTTCTTGAATCCAGTTTAACCGGTCTTTTACTCAATAAATTATTTTTTTAAATAAATTAATCTTATTTAACGCTCAGCCGCATTCCAAAACCACAAATAACGGAAAGAATCGCCACTCAAAGGAATAGCAAAAGCTCACCATCACTATAACTTTTCTGTTCAAACGAAAAAATAATAACTAGATGAATTATTAAAATTGCAATCATCGAACCTCTGCTTGATATGTCCGCATTGATGGGCACGAAAGATAATTTTCGTGCATTCTACGATCTTAAAACACATTATAATGAGTTTCCATTGATTCATGTACCCACATGAGAAGTGTGCTGCGAATGAAATCAGTAATGACTGCTCTTAAATGTCTGCTGTTATCAGATCTTTAATCGCCCACCTCGTAAGTTCCAACTGAATAGTTGTCAATAACTAGGAACATCATACGCAATATCTTCTTTATAATTACATTATTCAAACTTATTAAGAAACGTTTCCGAGTAATTTAATAAAAAGAGCTCATTTGAAAATATTACTTCACCTGTTTGTAGAGCTGGGTAAGTCACGCATTTTTCATGTTACAAGTCAACTCATGTCAGACTTGACGTGACTTGCCCAGCTCTGTCTGTCGGTCTATATGAATACAACAAATCGCTCGTTATTAACAAGCTAAATAAAGCATTTTCTTACAGAGAAGAATTCCTAACTTTATTCAGTATCACAGCATAGAATATATTTTCCCTCGTAATTATATTTGTAGTAGTTCTGGAAAGGTTTTACATCTGAAAAGAGTGTCGACAAAAAAACGCTTCATTACACATATTACTAACAACATTCATATTTTTGACTTAGGCAAAGATGTTCTTCAAATTTTGATTATTCCATTTCATCGTAAACATACGTAGTTCATTCTCAAAATTATTCTTAAAGTACTCTAAAATTAGAAAACGCTTAGGCACTGTTACCACTGCAGGCAAAAGCATTGTATCTTAACCCTTTCCGGCCCGCTGTTTGGAAATTGCCGTACCCCCCTACGGGAAAATGTTGCCATATGGCAACATCGGGCCGGAAAGGGTTAAGCATGCGTATTTAAGTCTCTCTCTATCTGTGTACAAGAAGAAAACTAAAATATCGGCCATAATCAATATAATCGGTCTCGTCATTTGGGAACCTCATTACATTCTAAATTGGTCATGTTTCTCAGTTAAAAGTTGCGTCGTCTAGTTTAGAACACGATTGTATTTCTATTACTTCGTTTTACTTTGTGAATATAGGCTAATTATCACAATAGAAAGAAAAATAAACATGACCTTTTCTATTCAGCTCATTCTACCGGTGATAGGAAAGATCTAGCAAATACTATTTCGCACCATATCGTGATTCTATAGCATTCGAGAACTATTGTTTGAGCCAACAACGTTGTGTGTATCAGTTTCTCTGTTCATTTAAAGACTTAAAATTTACTTTTGAAGCCGAATTTGTACGACTGTTCAGTGTAATATCACTGAATACGTATTCTATTTTTTCAGAAAAAATAATACAATTTGTTGAAAAATATATGAACATTTTCTTAAGACTCTTGTTAATTAACTCACTGTTGTTAATAGAAAACATTATCGTTCTTGTCTATCTTAAGAATTTGGAATATCACTTTTCTTTTATGTCAACAGAAAATGTAACAATCGTGGTACTCCACTAGCATCAGTAATTTTAACTTGCTCTAGGAATACATTGGCTATTCACTAAAAACTCATTTCTACTGAGCCTGTCACCTTCGGACATCAACTCTTTTCCCTAAAAAATTGCTCCATGATCATGATTTCCCTGCAAAATCGCGAAGACGTTTGCAATTCTTAAAAAGGAACAATTAGGTCACATTCGCATCAAAGCTATGTCTGTCTCTTATAATGTTTCATTATAATGGACAACTAGAGTTTCATTAGGATCTATTATTAGTTGAGATAGAAATTTCTAATAACGTGAACTGTTTACACAAAAACGATAAAATTATGTATCGTAATATCAAGATTTTTTATTTTATTGTAAATTATTTTTTGATCACATGAGCAATGATTCTATTTTAATAAAACTGTTTCATCACTGATACTTCGGAAATCGCTACGATTAAGAGAATAATGAAAGTTAGCTAAAGATTTTATCAGCGTCATGTTTCTCATCTACGACAATGTTGACATCCGAGAAAACATTTTCTCACTTTACGGTCGTTTCCATGTCACCTTATTTAGTGACTTTGATCTGGGAAGGAAATTAGAAATGGAAAATGCTCAACCATTTGCTGAAGAGATCCGTAGAATTACTTTCAACAATTATATTTCTATGTGTACATCCGTGAAAGGAGAATAAAGGCAATCGCAAAATTGAAGATACTTCTACGATACGCGGACGAACAATTATCATTGAATCGAGAATATAAAGGATAAAAATAATGAAAACCTCTCGTATCATATCCTTCTCCTTTGTCTCAAAACAATCGCACAAACTTCTTTGGATTGCATTGAATTCGATACTGGATTGCAAATGAAGGCCCAATAGAAAAAAAACGCCTTGCCATAAAAAAATCTCTACGACATGAATTAGTTTTCTTTCTTCCCTTTAAGATATCATTGTTTTTATTGCTATTGGCAAAGCAAAAATATGTTGTTAGACATTTCTGCACTAGCTACGGAAATTTTCCTACTCATATGTATGATATTTGGAACGATTGGTAATTTTCTCAAGTTGTGCATTTTTACTCGTCGAACACTTGCAAAATTCTCCTGCACATTATATCCTATCGCAGTTTCAATCGATCATATTATTGTTATTTATACAGCATTAGTAACTCGCCTACACGCAAATGGCTTCTTTATATCGATATAACGGCAGCATCTGATGTCTTGTGCAAATTACGATATTATATCAGCTGCATATTTTTAGCTTTCTCATCTTATTTCTATGTTTTGGCTTGTTTTGATCGGCATTGTTCGAGTTCAACATCAGCTGCAAGTCAATCATGGTGTAACGAAAAAATTGCAAAGCGATTAATTCTGGCAGCAATTATATTGGCTTTTACTCTACATTCTCATATGACAGCATTCTTTGAAATTATCACAATAGATGATTTGGTCACGTGTAATGCTCGCCTAGGTCCTTATAATATGTTTTATTGAATATTTTATATCTTGGTTTATTGTATTTTACCATCATTCTGTATGGGTATATTGTGTGTACTCACTTTGATCAATGTTCGTCAACAATCACATCAAATTCGACCTTCACTTAGTGTTGGCAATGATAGTCCTCGCCGACTCGATGATAAATTGATTCGAATGTTATTTTCACAAATTTTAACACAGCTCATTTGTATTCTACCATATGCTGTTTTCCATTTGGCGGTGTTTTTCATCGAGCTGAATTCAACGTCGTTTGAATTCTTTGATCTAATTTGCATTCTACTACTATATGTTAGTTATGCAATAAGTTTTTATATTTTTACATTATTGTCACGTGCTGATCGAAAGAAATTAGTGAAACTTACATTGCTACGAAAATCAAATCAAATCAAGATACCACAGAACTGACTTCAGCAAGTATTATAAGGCGTATTAATACTCAAGCCAAATTAGTTGGCTCTGCTATTGTTAATCCGTTTGGAAGAAAAAACACTTGATGAACTAATTTACTTAACGCTTAGCGGTAGAATTTTAATCGTCGTATTGTAATAACTGTTGTGAAGTAAAAATTCGTAATAAAGCGTAAAACGAATATCTGCATGTATGCCTGATATAGCACCGCGGTCAGCGACTTCAGTATACGATACAGTCATATTGCTATCATGCTTTGGGTATGATTTTCAATTGTTTCGAAGTGATAATATTGTACTTGGTATTAAAATTATATTTTCCATTTATCATACGGTAGAACATTAGATGTCCCCTGTAAGATCTATGCTTTAATGAGATTTCTAGTGTCAGCACTGAGTTCATCAAGTCAGCCTGACTCTATAAGAAAGTAAATTATTTTCTATTGTAAAAGTTTTCAACATACTCTAAGAGAAATGATTTCCGACAGCATAGCGGTTGATTTCTGAGAACTTTCTTGGTAATAACATTAACGCGTGCTTTACTGGCCTCTGAAACGTGTCGACAAAAAGAAAAGCTAGAGTACGAGTGAACGGGAAATATAGTTTAATATATCTCGACGACTATAATTACTTTTACCGAATGTTAACATCTAAATCCATTGAATCGAAGACCTGTCATCTTTGGGAGATTCAGAAATTTTTTTCTTTATTTAGACAAAAGCAGCAGCTAATAAGAACATTGAATTGTTCTGGAAGAAAATCGTAGTAGGTAAACTATATTAAAGAATATGGAAAGAGTGATTGCTCAAGCCAATTATAAGAACTCAAATGTAATCGATTTGGATTCTATTTTTCAAGGTTTCTGTTGTCATATCTGATCAAATGGTGCTTTAAATCCACTTCCTTTTTGGTAGTCGAAGACAGATATCCTGGTATCATATAGATCATTATCATCAATGTAAATTAGAAATACTGTCCGCGTCTTATTGACTTTATGATCTTATTGATTTGTTTTCCTTTGTACTGAAATAACACTTCCGATGAATCAAGTGTAGAAACGAAAAAATTGATTCATAATATTAGTTTTCAATGACGCATTTCGTATAAGGCCGTAAAAAAATTGAATATCATACATGATTCGAGTAAAAATATCACTATTTATAAGTTAAATATTAAAATAATTTTTATTAAAAGAAAAAAAACCATTTCTACAGTAAATACATCTTTCTATTGATGTTCTTGAAATCTCTATAATTCCATTTATTTACGTCGCCGATGTCTTGTTTGTTCACGATTCCATTCGGCACGACATTCTGGACAATCATCATAGACATGAGATCGACTTCGATCACGACATTCAGTGCAAGAACAATTGCTACATGTTGAACAATGACTACAACTCGACGAGGATGAAGATGGTCGTTGAGTTTCCTGTGGTTGTGGAACGGGCTGAGGTTGCTGAGTTCTAGATGGTGGTTTTAAAAGTGGTAAATCGTCATCACTTGAAGAGTCCGCCTTAAGATCAGGTTTAGTTTTTGTAATTCGATAAATCTTAGAGACTTTAACTTTTGTTCCTTTATGTTTTAATAAATCATTAATATTACTATTCGAAACCAGACCTTTGATTGTTTCACTCTGTGTACCATCTGGTGCAATTGTAAATGCTTTTTCTTTATATTCTTTTGCACCGGCTTTAGAGGCTGGTGTTTTTGGAGCGGGTGTTACGGAAGGAGCTTCTTGATTTGTACCATAAGGATTATAATAATACGGTTGAGGTGGTTGTAATTGTTGAGGTGTTTGCTGTTGAAGTGATGCATGCGGCATTTGCATATCCGGTTGAGCATATCCTGGTGGATATCTTACTTGTTGTGTCATATTTTGTGGAGGGGTAGGATTTGATGGTACAGTCGCATATCTATTAAAGGATTGATTAGCGAATGGTGGAGATGGTTGTCTGTATCCAGACGGCACCATATACCGAACTGGCATTTGTGCACCGGGCATTTGTGCACTGTTCGGATATACATATTGACCATATGGATAGCCTTGCATATCTGATTGTTGTTAGTCTGTATGTTTGAATCAATCGATCGGATGTATTTATAGAGAATAGAAGAAGAAAAAAGAATTCATTTTTCTCGTCGTCAAGAATATTTAGTTAGAAGCATTTATTGCTTTAACAAAAAATAAAACTCTTCATAGATGTATTTGCATTTGCTTAACAGTAAAAATAAATAAAAAATCGAACGGAAGAGAATAATTCTTTTTTTGTGATTCAAATCATTGGAAGAATGTACAAATAAAACTTCGATGATTTAGAGAAAAGAAGTGGGTAGCTCCAAGCCTCAAGTACAGAATGTGTTGGATAAAATGAATTACGTGAAAGAACACTCAAAGTACATATTATTTTTGCTTTCTTTATCTCTCTACTTGGTGGTTGAATAGTTTACTTTTTACAAATGTGAATTACGCAGGTTGTTTTTAATTGCCTGATTCTTATTGTGCCGGGATCTGTTGTTTTTTAAATCGATAGTGCTTATCTGTCTTTAAGAAAATTAGAAGGTGAAAGCAAAAATGACTGTTAAAATTTTTGTGTTGTTTTCACTACCGATTTCGACATTGTGAAATTGAGAATTTCAAATAAGTGGGATGAAATGAGAAAGGTTTTTCTATCTTTTTGAAGATCAGACATGAAAGTGAATGCTACCATATCTGAAGATTTCTGCTGTGGTTTCATTCATAACAATATTGCCTTTAATTCTATGCAAAAAATCTCGCATTCCAACGTGTATGCAATTGAAGAGGTTCTACTGCCGCAAAAAAGCGTCAATGTTCTCTATTGAGTTTAATGGTTTTTGTTTGTAAAAAATCGAATCATAATTCCTCAACGAGAACCCCTCCAGAGAAACGTTTAAATGCACAATCGGAGAGAAGAAAAAAATTCAGGCGATGCTTTTGAAAGTCTGAAAAATAAAGGTGAATCCCGTACGATTGTACCTGATGTATAATTTTCATGTAATATTATTAAAAACTCGCTCTCATTTCTATGGTATTCCTTACTTAATTTTCGTAGAGAAAATATCAAATATTCTCCATTGTATGATTTATTATTCTATTCAACATATTAAAAAAGTCATTTGAAAAAAATTTAAACTTCGGGTTTTTCCGTATGAAGAACGTTTGATGATCGGGCCATCCTCTAACTATTGTTCTTTTGATTTGTTCATCGAGAGTTTTAAATTTGCTATTGTTCGTAAATAGTCAGCTTCATTGGTTCCTGTTTGTTCGACTAATATAGCAAAATGAGATTGAACATCTGATAGTAATGTTTCCGGTGTATCGAACTCGACCAATTCTCCATTACTAAGCACCTAGAATAAGAAATAAATAGAAGCAAATATTTATAGAGAGAAACAAAGCTAATCTATACCATAATGCGATCACTATCAATGACTGTACGTAACCGATGTGCTATTGTTAATACGGTACATGCTTTAAATTGATCACATATTGCTCTCTGAATCAATTCATCAGTTCTAAACAATATCTTCAGTATTTGTTTTCCTTAAACTTTCTATTTCACTTACGCATTATCAACATTAGCAGTTGCTTCATCAATCACAAGAATTTTACTTTTTTTCAGTATAGCTCGTGCTAAACATACCAATTGTTTTTGGCCAACACTTAAGTTCGATCCACTCTCATTCACTGATGAAAGAAGACCATTGGGCATGCTATTTCTTACTAACGATTTCAATTGTACCTATCAAATTGATTCAATAGATTGAAACAAAAAAAGAAGAAGAATGACTGACTTGTTCAAGTGCATTCCATATTTCTGCATCGGAATAATGACCGAATTGATCAAGATTACTTCTCATTGTACCATGAAATAGAACAGGATCTTGTGGAATAATTGAAATACGATTTCGTACATCGTATAATTCAACAGTTGCTATATCGACATTATCAATTTGAATATGTCCATCGACAAGTATCGCCATTTGAAAAAGAGCTTGAATAAATGAACTTTTACCAGAGCCTGTTCTTCCGATGATACCAATTTTTTCACCAGGTTCAATGTTTAATGATATTCCACGAAGAACCAATGGTGAATCTTGAAAATATGATATTGATACATTGTCGAAAACAATACGACCGTGCGATGGCCAATTAATCGATGGTTCATATTTAGGCAGCCGTTGAACAGATGTTTCTTGACCGAGCGAACAATATTCAAGTATGCGTTCGACTGATGTCATTTTTGTTTCGATGTCAACCGATTGTCTACAATCACAAATAATTATAGACATAAATATATGTTTATTTCTACAAACCTAATAGTCCATTGTAAGAGACCCATCAAACTGAGACTATACGATAATGTTAACGCAATATCTGCAGATGAAAATTGACGGCCAAAAACACGAAGACCAATGCCAAGTAGTGTGACAATGGCAACGAAGAAAACGGTCACCCAATCGAATCGAATAACAGCCCATCGAGACGTTGTTAGAAACAAATATTCCACACGAGTATTAGTATCAACATGGGAGAAAAATTCTGACGCACATACATTCTCAGCGTGACAAGAACGAATAACTTTAAGTCCATGAATGGTTGATGTTAAATAAGAATAAAAAGGACTTCGCGTAATGCCTTCAAGTCGTTTGAGATCTCGCGAACAATGAGCAAAACGATATCGAATATATAACATGCACATAGTTGCTATTCCTGATGGTATAAATGCCCATGGATTGAGCCAACTGACAAGAATCATGATGCCTATTACTTGAAAAAAACACTAAAGACAATAATTCAATGCGTGTATATGAAGAAAATAACGTTTTAAACTTACGGGTAAAAAATCGAAAATTGTCTTCGGTAGTTCTTCATCAACGATAGCCATATCTTTCGTAAAACGATTCAATATTCGACCTGTTAAAATAAGAAAAATTTCGAAAAATTTCTATAACAAGCCTAATTTACCAATAGGATTTAAATCGAAAAATGAAATTGGACAATGAATAATCCTTTGAAACATTCTGTATCCGAAAACAATAAAAGCAATCAACATTAAAAGTATCAAAATTTGAGAGAATACGCACTTATTATGAAGTACTCGACTAGCATTCAAACATATCACTTTCAAAGTGATCGTACGAAGTAGAGTTAGTATCACGAGTATGCATGCAATACCTTTGAAAAGAAAATTCAATTGAAAATAATATCTACGAAAGAATTACAAACCACAATAGAAATAGAATCTCCAACGTTGATGATGAGCCCATTCTTGGCTATTCATTGATCGTATTTCATTCATTTTCTTGTTACTATCTTCAGTACAATTTCTAACTTGATCACGACGGTAATCTTTATCTTCACTCCATTCTGCCAGCCACCAATTGCAGAAAAAAAATATTGCTTCGCGCATACTAAACACTGATATTAATAGTATAAGACCAAGAATTAGACCAGCACCAGCGCGTAAATATTCCACATATACACGCCAATTTACGGAACCTTTCGCTTTTGTCTCTAAATCATCTGATAATAACAATTGTTTTTCTTCGCTGATACTTTCAGAAACTGAAACATATCGAGAGATACTTTGTATTCGAGTATCTTTTGAATGTTCCTTGTGTTCTTGTTGATTGATTTTCTTCAGTAAATTACTAAAAGATGATGAAGATTCGAGTAATTCTGAATATGTACCCATATGAACCATTTCGCCCTAGAATGCACAGATACAAATTCGATTACAAGACGAAAAGCTTTCGTTTTTTCATTACAAACATTGTTTAGAACAATAATTTTAGTTGCATCTTGTAAAAATTGTATTTGATGAGTAACAAGAATACAGATTTTTTCATGAAGATAATCTTTAATACATCTTTAAAAAAAACGTTACCTTATTAGGATGGATAGAAAAATTAGTAGCATTTCTATACCTTTCAAAAAGATGTTTAGAAACTTGAACATCCACAGCGGACAAAGGATCATCTAATAAATAGATATCGGTATTACGATAAAGTGCTCTTGCCATATTTACACGTGCTTTTTGTCCCTAAGTTATTTGATTAATTAGTTTTGTTTTTCGAATTTAATCGTTCGACTTACTCCCGATAGCATCACACCTTGATCACCAACTAGTGTATTAGCTCCATTGGGCAGTTGAGCGAAGTCCTACATCGAAATATGAATCGTGTTTTTTCAAAATTTGTGATAAGGAAAGTTAAAGTTAGGTAACTGTAGGGTCACCTTTTATTTGGTCTCGGTTCCAATATATCAGAAATAGAACAATTCCACAGTCGATATTTTTTCTAACTTCAAAATTTCTCTTCGCTCTATCCTTTTGTACTTACACAAAAGCAACTACTAAATGAATGCGTTCATTAGGATGTTTACTCGGAGCTAATTAATAAATATGAAAACTTATCAGTCCCAATTTTGATTCCTGCGCTTTTTTTGCAGGTGCCTACGTAAAGTAACTATGTAGACGGTGAGCAACAACAATTGAGTTCTTCATACAAATGTTATCGATAGATGACATTTTGTCTTTCATCCCTGATGAATATTTTTTAACATGAACCTGATAGAGTCAAGATCAGATAACTCAAATACTTGACTTTAATTTTCTTTTTTTCAGAAATATCATCTACTCCATCGACTCTTGGTTGTCCGCAGTCATGGGTAACTCCTATTCTTAATTATATACGAGATATTTGAATTAAGTTTCCGAATGGAAAATTTTGTAACACTACATACTGTGTCCAGTGCAACTGCTTGAATGACACGTTGAAATTTTTTCGAATTATATTCTTCACCAAAAATGATATTTTCCTTTATAGTTGACGAAAAAATCCCTAAAATAATCAACGAAAATTTCGATCCATGAATAAACTCGAAAATACTAACAAGGTTCTTGAGGAACATAGCAAAATGAATCCTGTAGCTGAATGCTGCCATTCAAAAATGTTATTTCATTCGTTAATGTTTGTAAAAGAGAACTCTGGTATAAAAAAAAACATTTATTCTTGTATTTAAAACAAGAAAACAAACTTTGCCAGATCCAACCGGTCCAATGACACAAATCAAATCACCTGGATCAGCATGAAAAATAACGTTTTTCAGCGAAAATAATCCATCCTATTGAAATAAAACGGTCATTAGTAGAAATTAAAGAGTAAATTTATACCGTTTCCCAATATGCTTGACTTATATGGCATTCAACTTTCGAAGACGAAGTCATCTGGTTATCTAAGCCATAATCAACTGTTTCAGATACTGTTGATTTTGAACGGCGATCTTTTTCAAATTCATCAAGTAAAAGAAATTTCTATAAAAAGAAAATATTCTCCTCGTCGAAATAAATAATTATTTAAACTCACTTGTATTCTTTTTTCTGCAGCGGCATAATGAACAAGGTCATGCATTCCCATGCCAAACTCCATCAATGATATTTCTAAATAACCGAGCATACAAGAAGCAACAGCAAATAATCCCGTGTCAAAATGCATGCTTAATAGCCACATGATTCCAAAGATAATTAAAAATGATACAGTAATATAAGTTTGTGTGAAAATTATTTGTATAGAATCAAAAATAAAACGAATAGCATAACGAACGATTTCATGTCTAAACAATTGAATGTCTCAAATTGAATCTATAAAATCGGCCGATTTACTTTCTCACAAAACGAACTTCCCTATTGAATGCCGATTCCCAGCAATACATTTTAACAATCCGCATGGACTTGATAATTTCAGCCATTATTTTCACACGTTTATCTGTAACTTCCAAAATTTTTGTTCTACATAAATTTAAACAAATAAACGATAGTTTCTGAAAAAACCTGAAATCGACAAAAACTACCGATAATAAACTGCTATGTGGCCAATAAGAGTTGCAATCAATACAATTAAAATAGTATAACCGATAGCGATTAATGAAATATAATTCATAAAATGCCAAAACAAAACTACCATAACAATGATATCCAACGGTGTGGACTTCAAAAATAAGAAATAAATTAGGACTAAATCTTTCAATATCAATTACCCATAGATAATTAAAAGAAATTAAAATCATTTGAATTTGTGTGGCATCATTTGAGAAAAGATTTGTTATTTCACCTGAACTCAATGTATTTAAAGAACGACTCGATAAACGAAGAACCTACATAGATATTTGTGTATTTCACATAATATAAATTTTTATTCTTACCTTGCGAAAAATTAAACCTTGATAGGCAATACGCATTCGAATTGAAAAAATCTCAGCTAAATAATAATACTAATGAAAAATAGGTGTAAATTCGAATGTAAAGAAAACTCTACATACTCTATGATGGAAAAAACTAAAACTCATGACAGTTAAAGACATAAGAATAGCTAGAAAACATACGAATGGAATAGACATCGTAGAACATGGTTTAAAAAATTCCATTATATATACAATTAATAATAGTTGTATTAGAGTTGATATTTTCTACGTTTAAAATGCTGAGTGCAAGAAAATAAACGATCAAATAAACAAACTTACATTAGGAATAAAAAGAAGACCAATCATCATCGGTTCCCATCCGAGCGTCCGAATAGTAGCGCGCAAAAGACTTGGATTTTGAGGAGATCGTTTCAATTCATCAAACCAATTGTTTTGTAATGTATCGGTAAGTTGTTTTGATTCATATTCCGGAAGAATATCGTAAACATCGTTTAGATAAACTGTTCCTTGTTTATGACTTAGATTAATTAATACTGATATCCAACTAAATAAAACATCAATCGAATGATAGAAAACTACGAGATGAAAAAAGTTTTACTTGTGAAAAATTTGCGACCATTTATTTGCATACAGAAATGGACTTGGATTACTTTGATAAGATTTCATTTGAAATTATTAATAGTTATATCGAATATTTAAACCGAACAGCTAGATACGAGTAGAATTGTGAAAAAACTCAAGGTCGGTCGAGAAGACATAAGTAACAGATGCGTTTAATGAAACTTGGAAAGAAAAGGACAACTAGTTATATCTAGAAATAAATATTTTCTTTCCTTCTCTTAACGTAAAATATTATGATTTCTACATAAGTACCGCATTATTCATTGAAATGTTAATTACAAACTAGAGTCTAAACTCAAGTCCTTCTTTCTTCGATCACATTTCGTACACTCCATACCTCTAAGAGTCTCAGCTGTAGTTTAACAACAGTCATCGGCTTTTTTTATTTTCAATGCTGTAAAACGTATGCGTCTGAAAATGATTACTCTATGTGTTACCATAAATTTAATATTTTTCCAGATCAATAAGACGCTTTCAGTCGTATACTTTTATGCACTTGAATATTTAGACTAATTCGAGTGAGCTGTATCTTAATGTTTTAATAATTAGGCGTTTCTACGAGTAGACTTAAAAAATAATTAGCTTTAGTATAAAATATCTTCTCGTCCGTACAACCGAGAAAGAATATAATGTGAGTGTTTCTCAATGGCTCTAATGAAATGAATATTTTGATGTTAATTTATAACCATACGAAAATTAAAAAAAATAAGTATGTGCAAAAATAAGAATAGTGGATTTTTCATAGTAAATTGTTGTGACTTATTCAGCGAGTATAAACATACTTTGCGTTCTTTAAAGTAGCAGGCACAAAAATGCGCCGTTTACATTGATCGATTGAATTGCCAATAGAAACAATTGTAGAGCTAACGTGGCATTGTCATTGCGCAATCTTTTGTGTTTCAAGCTTATGGTTTCTGTGTGTAGCCTAGAAAATACTTAGGTCAGCCCAAGAGTAGTTGCGGAGGTATGATAATCTTTCAAAGGAGGGTTCTGGGTGTGGATGTAGAATAATACATAGCAACAAAATACCCACACCCTCAAGAATGGCAAGAATATTACGTGTACGGGACACAGAATATGATATAGTACAAGCAGCGCACGTCCGACCAAAACAAGTCTAATGGAAAGTTTATTATCATAGGATTAGTCTGAATAAGATCAAATAGCATAGAAAAATAGAGGTTTCTTTTCTCTATCAGACCGTATAGAAAAAAAATATCGAACCCTCCTTTGAAGGATTATCATACCTCCGCAACTACTTTTGGACTGACCTAAGTATATGAGAAGTTCGAATCGTTGCACTTAGATTATATTCATTCCATATCATAGATCTAAATCTTCGGGCGAGACTCAAGCCAATACATGCCGTCGCCTATGTTTGAGCCTCTAAATATCTTGTTGATGTATCAAGTACTAAGACAATAACTAGAAGTTTTTATCATTATTTAAAATCATCTCTGCAAGAAAAAACTTTTATATAAGTTATTCTGGGCAAATTCACACAAAATTTAATATTCTATAAAAATATTTTACAGAATCCAATAGATTAAAACGGTAATTGTCGGTAAAGAAAGTGCAGGTCGATGATATAACAAATTGTTACACTGTGGTTGATTATGTGGGGGGTAAAGCATCAAATTGCACGCATAAGAATCGCCAAGACCAAGATATTGCATTCTTTTTTTCATCTAATCTATCGTTATCAAGATCTCAAATGTAGTAAACATGCTGTAACTCGGATAGTTTTTTTCCTAAAAGACTTTCTATTGAAACATCAGAATAACGAAATATTTCTGAAGGTGTAGATAAGACAACCTAACGAAAAAGAGCATAAATTGTCAGATAGAAAAATACATGATGAACATAACTACTTGATAAAATGAGTGAAATGTATCTCAAAATCCAGTCAATAGGTAATCTAGCAATGATAGCAGGAACATAATTACAAGTTGTTTGTAGATACATTAGTACAATGAATGTAATAAGCTTAGTTGAGTGTCATCAATAGCTGGTAAGGAAATGTCATGCACTTTTTTTAAATTCTCCTGTAAACATTCATTGTTATGATCAGTCAATAGTGTCAATATGACTGCACGTCTTAGATATGAAGCTTCTGCATTTGTTAATATCATCAGACATGAACTTGATAGTATGGGTACATTCCAAATGATCCGAGTTTACGAAAACGTTGCTAAGCGCATTAAAAGAAACACCATTGTTACATTTTTTCAAATATGACCGTCCCTTTCAAAAATTGTCATGCACCGTTAAAATCTTGTTTATCCAAAGCTAAAAAGTGTTCTGTGATTGAATTTGTTTCTTCTCTCCGGTACGAAAGAAAAATAAGAAACTACCAGAATAATGATTAATAAATTTACGACACGCCCATAGGATGCCAATCATTACAAAATGTTCTGTTTTTCTCTTTCCTTCTACAAGTAGGCCATCATTCTGAGTTGAAACACGAAATCATGCACACAAACTTGTATTGGTTAGTCATAATAGCGTTCTCTCTTTATGTTCGACTATCCGTAACAAGTGAAGACGATGATGAATGCTGCAACAATTCCTGGAATAGTTCAAAATTATCAACCGCTGAACTCATAGCTGCCATTATTATACCAATTTTTGTTTTTATAATTATAATCATTGCTACTGTAATGTGTTTGTGTCATAGACGAAAAAACTATTCACAAAAAGTAACGTCAAGCATTCACCCGTCGGCGCCGACTACTGTTTCTGCTGACTATGAAAATAATGGAGTAAACCCACCATCATATAATGAAGTGATGAGAATGGACGCTGGCAAATCTGCCGTTTGATTCGAACCATTTTTGTTGTTTAACTTTACTGTTTTATATTTATAGAGAGAGACAACATATTTATTTTAAAAACTATTCCAAGAATCATTTTTAATTGTTATTTGTTCTAAACTGAATTTTGTAGAGAAATGATAAAATCAGACTAATGATAACTGTTTAGATTTCAAACAAATAAATCGTAACATGGGCACTATGCATTTAAACTTGAAACATTTATAAAGAATAGCAGAAGTAGTAAGATTGTGTTTGATCTCATTTTAGTCTGTTTTCCAGAATGGAAAAAGAAGATAAAAAAAAACTCGTGAGTCAAATGACTCAACAAAACTCAAATTTCCATTGTTCTGTTTCTAAGCCAGTTAAAAACAATTCTGTGATAGATGTCTGATATAAGTATGAGTAACGATTTTCTAATTTTAACGACTCTTCTGAGTGGTATTTTTTCTTTTCCTCTCAGTTTTACAGTGTGTTTGAATATTTTTCCATCTTGGTCAAGTTTTGATGATGTGTATGAGTTTCTTTCTCGGAGTGAGAAATACCCAAAAATTCGACAGTATAAAAGTCAGATGCATCAATGCATTCAACTCAGTTACGTTTATTCCTTTTCACGCTTACAACACAGAAAGTCTTCACTTCAATTCTCTTATATACACAACATACCATATTTCGAAATTATATCTAGTTGGGAAAAACCAAGTATCAATTCAATACAGTTATTATGGCCTCAAACAAGCAATCAAATTATATCCGAAAAGAACGAATTCCAGTTTCATCTGCAATTCCTTCGGCAAAATTAGGACTATCTTCACTTCCTCGTCGTCCCGCGCCAGCACAACCATCTGGTCAAAGTGAAAGTCTTTTAACAAATCATTTTCCATGTGAATTTGAGAAAAATCTTCCACTACATCAATATGATGTAACCATTGAAGAACTCGGCTCTCGTTCTGGTGAATGGTATGAAGTCAAAGGTCGGGCACGGTGTGCTTTACTTATGCAAACGATTGTATCTAATGGTGGATTTGGTTCGAATGTTATTGTTTGGTACGATGAGCAAAAGTGTTTATATAGCACATCGCAGTTATCGTCACCAATACTAATTCATGGTTCAGATGGTCAAAGTCGACTGAATATCAAATCATTGGCTAATCAATGGTCAACGAATGATATTGAAAATTATATTGCCGGTCGAGCAACGGAGTATCCATATGATGCGGTACGCATTCTTGAAACACTCTTAAAAAAATCACTTCAAGGTCAAATTCAAGTGGTCAATAACAATTGTTATTTCTTGGATGAGGTAGCGAAACCTGTAGGTGGCGGATTTTACGAACGATTTGGTTTTGTTCAATCACTGAATCTTGCAGCACGTCGCATAACACTTAGTGTTCAAACAAAATTAACAACATTTTATCCTGAAATGTCTCTTTTGGATTTTGTTCATACACATATTGGTGGCAAACGAGTACCAAATGAGTATGAATGGAAAAAATTAAACAGAGCATTAAAAAATTGTTCAATTGTTACACAACAATCAAACTGGAAACAAGTGTTTCAAATTGATCAATTTGATAAGCGACGACCAAGTGAAATTAAAATTGAATCTGGTGAAACATTAATCGAATATTTCAAGAATAAAAAAAATATTCGACTCGTCCAAACAAATTATCCTTGTGTTCAAGTTTATCTTCCGAATGAATATGACAAGCCATGCCATTTACCTTTGGAAGTTTGTCGTATTCAAGCATGGCAAGTCTATGATAAACCAGTAAGTAGATGTAAATGAGAATTATTGAGAATGACATTTTTTTTTCTAAACATTGCACATTCATTCATGAATCTTAATATTTTGTTTTTATAGTTATCTAAAGCACAAGAAGCTCAACAACCTCGAAAATACATTCCAAAGCCTCACGAACGTTATGCTGCAATTATGAACATGTTGAAAAAATGCGATTACAATTCACGATCGAATCGGCTTTGTCGTGAAGTCGGCTTTAGCATTGATGACAGTCAAATGCTACGATTAAATGCTAGAGTTTTGACTCAACCACAGATTCACACAGGTCTTAATTCAAGCGCAAATGTTCGCATTGGTCGTATTCCTCTTGATGGACATTTATTTACACCGAAACCATTATCAGCTTTGTCTATTACATACTTCGGCAATGATATTGAACGAGACAGAAATTCAATGAAGGCATTTGCTGAGACATTATTACAGGTAAGCCTTTTTTGTCGAGTTGATCAATGCAAATCATTCTATTTGATTATTTTAGGTAATGAAGAATTATCATGTTAATGTTCAGTATCGAAAACATACTATATCACCTACGATTGATAAAATAACTGAGCATTTTCATTCGATGAATGAACAGAATTGCCAGTTTGTCATTTGCGTTATGGCTGGAAGATCCGAAGAGGATCTTAAACAACTTAAAGCTGACATCAAAGATTGTGGAACAATTAAATACGGTAAGCAGTTTCAATCGATTTAAAAAATAAAATTACGAGCGAACCTATATTTAGGTATCATGACGCAATGTGTTTTACTTTCGAAAGTTGCAACGAATCGTTCATTACCCGGCTATTGTGAAAATTTGATCCGAAAAATTAATTTTAAAAATTCTGGAATTAACACAAAAGTTAATTTAAATCAAGCATTAAAAAACAAGAAATCCACAACTGATGCTTATATGTTTTTCGGCGCAGATGTTATTCATCCAACAAATGTAACGCGTCAACACCCGTCTATTGCAGGTAGATTAATAAATTGATAATCTCAGAAAAAGAAATGCAACGGTTTTTTCTCCTTTAGTTGTGGTTGGCTCGTGTGATTCATTATGTTCAACAACAGCTGTACGTGTTTGTCAACAATTTCCAAAAGAAGGAAAATGTTCGATTGAAACGATTATTGGCATGACGGATATGGTCGAGCAATTGTTAGATAATTATCGCCAATTGAATAAAATCTTACCGAATAAAGTTGTTTTCTATCGGGATGGTAAATAATTAAAATTTACTTTTAATGAATTTATAGAATTTATTCTTTCAGGAGTTGACGATGGTCAATTTGGTAAAATTATTGCACATGAGATTCCTGCCATTCGAGACGCTTTTAATCGTAAGTTTCATTATCTTTATGCTTATGTTAAGTAATTGCTGTATTGTAGGCATTTATGGTGATACAGACAATCATCCAAAGCTAACTTTGATTGTCGTAAAAAAACGTCATAACACACGATTTTTTAATCAAAATCCATCAACTAAGGAGGTGAAGAATATGAGTATTGGGACAGTCATTGATACAACTATCGTGCATCCGTATCAAAATAATTTTTATCTTAACTCCCATAATGCATTCCAAGGTGTTAATCATCCATCACTTTATCATGTATTATTGGATGAAATAGGTTTTACTGCAGATGAATTACCACTATTAACATATCATTTATGTTTTACGGATCCTCGATCATCGGCTTCTGAAGCTATTCCATCGGTCGTACATCAAGCCGATATAGCGGCGTTGAAAGCACGAGATTTATTTTATGATGATGAACGGTAAGATAAGAAGAACAAAAAAAAGAATTTTTGTTTATCAATATAAATCGTTTTCCTCTCTTTTTCTTATAGCTCATCAGCAACGAGTGTTGGTGGACGAAGTCAACCGCTACGAGATCCACAACTAAGTGATTTAGATTTTAAAATTCTCGAGGTACATGAGAATCTTAAAAATCGGCCAATATTTGGCTAATAAAGTCTCCTTCAACTTAATATATCATCAATTGTAATGTGAAAATTTTGCATTGCTGAAGGACTCAACCGCAATATTCGTGTTCGAATACATTATCATTTATTCAATTTTATTTTTCACTTATATATTTTTTTCGTTATCATAATCAAGAATTGTACCCAGAATTTTTTCACTTATTTCTTTACCATAATAAATTTTCTCACTATAATACAACGTACATTTTTCCTTTTATTCATTATCTATGCTAAACATGATCCAATGAGCACGCGCATTTGATTATGGAAAATATTATTGAGAGCAAAAATTTCCGATGAAAGGATCTTATTTGTATATTTTTTTTCTTTCTATTTCGCAGAAAAACAGTCTCCAGAGAGAAGCATATCGGAAGATCATGTGAAATGAGCCTAACTTAATGCGACATTACTGAAGCGTCTCGTTCTGTTTTTCTTTTTTGTATCGACTGAGTATTCTATATTTACACCAGTTGAGTTGAATCGTCAAGCTCATGGATACTAGCGACATTTACAAAAAAACATTTTCATATTATTTGAATAAAATCTTTTGCAGAAAATATTCTCTTTACGAAACGACAATCGAGTTTATAGATAAGAAAAAAGATAATGGTACATTTAAACAAGTTTTCATTTGATTGGTCAATATTCTAACTCTCAATCTAAACGCATAAAATGTATTCCGACGAATTTACTGTCAAAGAAAATCTATCACTTTCACCATTATTAGAAGTACTTGCCGATGTATTTCATCGATATTCAAAGCATGATCCATCGCTTGAACAACCTCTACGTTCAATTTTACCAATTAATGATCAGCAGAAGTAAAACAATTCAATTTTCTTTTAATTGTTTAAATCAAATTATCATTTCTAGTGCACTTTTAAATTTACCGTGTATTGATACTCAACGTGGTTATATGTGTGTGAAAACAATCACAAGTTTTCCAGGAATTTTACCTGCTATTGATGGCGTTGTATCATTATTTAATTCAAATAATGGTCGTTTACTTCTGGTTTGATACTAACCTTTGAAAATCTCTAGGTAATATTTTTTTTATTATTATTTAAGATTGCTGATGCAAAAGAAATAACTGCACGACGTACAGCTGCTGTATCATTTCTTGCTACTAAAGTATGATCTAGTTGTTATTAGATTTTAATCATTAAATTTTTAGTTGTTAGCATCGAATAAATTGAAAAATGAAAATGCTGTATTAACTATTCTTGGTTGTGGTGTTCAAGGACGAGTTCATCTTGATGTTTTTACTGAATTGTTCAAATGGAATAAGGTATAGAAAAAAATATTTTGATGATGAATTTTATTTTTGAAAATCAATTTCTCTCTAAGATTTATTTATGGAGTCGAAATATGACACATGCTATTAATTTACAATCGGATTATTCATCAAAATTAAATAATATTGAACTATTAGAAAATTTAAATGATAATCGTATTCTACAATCCGATGTTATTTGTACATGTACAGCTAGTAAAGAAGCATTGCTAAGTCTTCATCAAGTAAAAAAAGGCGTACATATAAATGGTAAGTCTCTAAGATATACCTTTTTTTTTTAAAGCAAGGACTTATTTCAATTACTCAGAAATTCAAAATTTTTGTCTTTTAATCAACAATTTTTTGAATAATATTATCCGTTATTCATAAGAAGAGCATCTATTATATATTTAATCAAATGTCAAATCGAATAATATTTGATCGGAGAAGCTAGGACGAATCGTGCCCGTTTATATCAATCTCAATAGGTTTGACTAAACTGAACATGATTTCTACTAATACTCAAAAAAGAAAATATGCTTATTGTTTGCTCTTTTTTATCATTGATCTTAGCAAGGACCTTTTTTTATTCAAATAGAAGAAGATAGACGACATACTTGAGATTTTTCTATTGGTAAGATAAAGTTTTCAACACTGTTAGAAGTTGTGCGCCTGTGGAAAGGAAGCGATAAGAAAAGTTATTTTTATCTCTAACAAATTCAAAATCTCATTACGTTGAGAGTAGGACTCGAAGAAATTTTATTTCAGTGATCAACGATCGAAACGAACGCATTCTTATTATTCTAAATAGATTGATAGAAGAAATCTATTAACAGTTTATGATTCAAGACAAGACTTCAATATTATATTCTAAAAATGATAAAAAAAAAAGGAACGCATAGCTCATTCGTATCGAATAATTTGATCATCTTTCACTTGTAATCTTAACAATGAAAGTACTTGATAAGGAAAAAATTATTGAATCAAAAACATGTCTGACTGAGAAATACTTTCAACTGATAAATCAGAACTACGCATTCTTAATAGAGTAAAATAAATTATGAATACTTTTCTTACAGACATGCTTTAACTGTTATAATATCTTGTGCTAGAATACATTTATAATGACTCAGCACTTCTTTACCAAAGATCGAAAATTTCAATTGAAAATATTTTTTTATTTAGCTGTTGGTTCATTTCGTGCAACGATGCGTGAACTAGCAGATGATCTAATGCTATCATCAGATACAACTGTGATTGTTGATAGTAAAGAAAGTGCAATGAAAGAAGCAGGCGAAATAATTCAATCGAAAGTTTGTTGAAATTTTCTCTCGTAGATTTTTTATTCGTTTAATTTAGGCTGAAATTGTAGCTGAATTGGGAGAATTGATTGAAAATAATGAATTTTGTGATGGCATATCTAAGGATAAAATAACAATTTTTAAATCTGTTGGCATGGCTATTGAAGATCTTGCAGCAGCAATTGTTCTCTATGAATATTTACAGGAATGCAGAGAAAAATAAATTTTTGTTTTTGATTAATTGAAGCTGTGATTTCAAAACAGATTAGGAGTGATTGATTTTCATTTTTAGATGTAATTAGTTTATTGAATCATTTTTAATGAATACAACGATTGTCAAGTATCGGTAAGAAAATAAATTACATACATTGAATTATTTACAGTCACGCTCATGGCGGGGTTAAAATTTGTGACGTCATCGATTAAATGCTTAGAATAACAGAGATGCATCAGTTTTTAAATGCAATCGTCGCCTCGTAATTGCTAAAATACCTGTGAAAATACTGTATTTCCTTTGTAATTATTAATATTAACATCAAAATACAGTAGGTATGTCTATGTGTGAGCAAATCTAATTGCCTTGTTATGTATCAGATAAATCAACAAAGTATGCAATCAATCGATGAAACGAGAATCAAAGGGATGACTCAGTATCGTGCTTTTATTTACATGATATCTACGATGGATTTATTATTATGCGTAGTAATAAACAAGTCGTGTCAGTTGCACGATAACTTATTTTGTCGTTGCTTATTACGTGAATAGCCGAGTCCTATCAAGTCGGCCTACAAATTACTATACTCGTTCTATAAATAAACATAACATAATCGACGGCATAGTTGCAATTGATTTTAGTTGTGTTAACAAAAAAAAATATTTTTTGCACGAATGTTCTTTGAAAAATAACGAAAGAATTCGACCGAGTTTATTTAACTGATCTGCAATTTAATCTTTCGGATTAATATTTTCGACTTTCCAACTAAAACATTTAACATGGCCTGTGTAGGGCTTGATAAATATCATACGTTTGTAGTTATTTTCTACTGCTGTGTCTTTTACAGATAGCGATAGATGTGTAACTTAAACCTTGTATTCATGTGAAATTTAAGAACATTTTAATAGAGGAGCAAGACAAAGTAAACATTTTTTCGTTTTCGATATGTTCTTTCTGTTCTTTGCCGCGTCACCTCAACAAGTTGAGGGTGAAGGTGAGAGCACTACAAGGGTGTGCGCGTGGGTGTGTCAGTATTTTTCTTTTCTTTCGTCAATTGGTAGAGTCTAATTGTGAAGTATTATACTACTGTAATTATTATTTTATGAAGTTCGACGAAATAAAAAAGGATGATGCCTTTTTTTTGTTGTTGTCGTATAAAAAAAATTTAAATGCTTTTAGTTTTCTGTTCTTTTTTCGCATCCGTTCGAACGAAAGTTTACCCGAGGGGTATGTCTTCAAAGTTTGAGATATATTGAATATCATATAACCTTTTTGTTTTCTATTGTAATAAACGAAAACTTATCATGAAAAATCTAGGCAAGCAAGAATAAAAATACAGGTCATTTTCATCTTTTTAGTGTAAATAGGAATATTATTACGATAACATATAGACGTTGAAAAAACAGCAAATGCACCTTTTTCTCGTCGTAAACAGTAATCTATTGTAAATGATGATTTGCAATCTTTAAGCAATATTTGTGTATGTGCTTTTTTTCTCTTGTTTTGCGATTTTAAAGTCGAAATACCTATTCAGTTACCTTGAAAATGTGTACGCTTTTATTTCTCCTTCAATACTACAGATAGATTTCCTTTTACGCATCACGCCATAATAATCACTCATGTCGTATATAGCTTCAATCACGAGGTACATTTGACCGCGGCAAATCACGCGCCGTGTTCTCGCTATTGGAAAACAAAAACAACAATATAGAAAAGAGAGGTGTGTGCCGGCTGGCGCACAAAGCATTCTTTATTTTTCTTTTCCGTTCTTTTTTTCTTTCGTTACAACTACAAAACAATGACGCCATTGCTAATCGAGTAACCATTCGTAGTCGTGTATATATAATATATCTATAAGCAAACCTTTAGTATCCCTGTTCTTTTTATCTTTGTGCACTCGTAGATAACATAAATGTACAGATTACAAACGATTCTTTTTTTTGTAGTATTTTCTCCGTTTACTCGTACGCTTGAGAAAGATGAGGAGAAAAAAAGAGTGAGAGAAGAAAAGTATGCTCTAAACAATGGTGCTGTATACACCAATGAATAATTATATCTCACTAAGGTTATTTTTATCTAGAATATGATCGTTTTGTAGTATAGCTATCTACGGTTTCTTTTTCAATATAAATATATTCATTTTTTTAATCTTTAGTACCACTTTTAAATGGTATATTATTTAAAAGAATAAATTGAAGTCACAATGACTTCATTCACACGTCTTGTTTCGTCGATTAGATCGGCTTACAACAATATCAATCCGTCCACACTTACCGGTGCAATTGATGTTGTTGTTGTCAGGCAAGAAGATGATACACTTCGATGTACTCCATTTCACGTTCGTTTTGGTAAATTAGGTGTGCTAAGAAATCAACAAAATAAAGTACATCAATAAATATTTGAGCTAAATATACGTATATATATATATATTGTTCTATTTTTCAAAGGTATATATAACTATCAATGGTAATCCTGTCGAGGATTTATACATGGAATTGGGTGAGGCTGGAGAAGCGTTATTTGTCGAAGAAGAAACTGTAAATTAATTTTAATTTGTTCTTTTTTTCCTAAAAAATGACACCTTAATTTTGATTACTAGGATACCCAATGCCTTTCGTCAAATCGTCATTTGGAATCATCTGATGGTAATAAATTTCTTGATCCGGATAGTGCCATTTCAACAGATTATCGTTTACAACCATCAAATATTGATTGTTCCCCTCAAATCATCAATAAACAATATGATGAAGAAGAAGCACAAGAAAATAATGAGCCTATTACAAAATATGCTTATGAACAACCATCGACGGATGCCGATGCAGTAAACTCGAATACATCTATTGTTACTCGTCGTCGTCAAAAACGATTAACGTTAAATTGTACTGAACAAACTAATGAAAATGAAGATCAAGAAGTCGAAAAATTATATTTATCAAATCAAAATCGTTCACGCTCGCATCAGCGTACTTCAACATCTATATCTATAAATGATAATCTAACAGATCATAGAAGTGACGAACAAACGGATTCATCCTTGGGAATCTCTCGTCAACATAGTGCCAGTGAAAATGATTTACTTCTATTTCAAATTGATGATGAAAAACAATCGACATCATCAACACCATTTGTCGATGCGCACAGTCGTATGAGCAGTATTGATAGTCGAAAAAAATTACTACCCATTGCTAATAAAACAGCCAATGAAATAGAAAACGATGAAAGTTATAGCAGTAGCATGGAAGATGATGACGACGATGATGCAAATTTTAAAAAAAATACAAGAACTTTATCAAATCCAATACCTATTGAACAAAAATTGACCACCAACGATACGCAATCAACAGTTACAAGTACCGATGAATCCAATCCTATCATTGATACAATTTTTTCACAATCAGCACCAATAACAACGAAAACAAATAATGTTTCAATTCTAATAAATCCAGTTAATGATTCATCTTCGTTTTATATAAATGAAAATTTTCTACCAACATCATCATTTGAAAAGTAAATAAAACTTGCTTTTTCCCCTCAAACAATTATTTCGTTTTTTTTTTACAGTTCTATGCCGCTTCGATCGCCAAGTCCAAAATCAGACTCTGAATATGAATTAGATAAATCATCTCAGCAATCAGGAAGAAATAATCGATCAACGTTTGGATGGCAATGGAAATGGGGTGAACTACCGGAACAACGACGAAGTGTTTTTCGATATCTCTGGCCTTCATCATCAAAACAGAGTACACCGAAAGAAGGAATTTATCTGGACGATATTACAAATAATAAATGTGATGATCGTGCACGTTATTTACCTATAATGTAAGTGTCTATCGTACGCTAATTTAAAAAATCTAAACAATTTAATTTCATTAGGGATTACCCACAAAATCCGCCAAGAACTCCGAAAGATGAAGATCAAGAATCAGGAACTGGTAATTCCATACCAAACTCACCAGTTCGAGATTCTGAAGCTGCGTATGTTGAAATAAATGTTTTTTAGTTTTTGAAAAATTTGCTTTTCTTTAGTTTTCTTCTCGGTGATGTACAGCTTTCACTATGTGGACATTTAGACAATCCAGCATCGATAACCGATGGTTTATTTAAGGAACGCCTTATTCCCTATGAAAAATTTGCTACGAATCCATCGATTATCAATGATCCAAATTTAGTTGTACGCATTGGTGGAAAGTAAGTCAACGCAACATTTCTGTTAAAAAGTAAAGGTAAATAACTGATGGATTTTCTAGTTATCATAATTGGAATGTAGCATCGGCACTGATTGCTTCGGCTAGTGTCTATCATAAGACATTACCACTCGAAACAGTCGAGCAACTGCAAGAAAAAAATACACCACTACCTGTAAAACATACAATAAGTGGTATGAATCTATGGCCATTTTCTAGCAAAGCTGTAAAGATAAAATATTTTATTCGCAAATATTTTTTTCACACGTATTTCTATGATTGCAGTCTAATCTAAAAGAAGAAAATCAACAATCAGCATCGGCTGAAGCATTGGCTGTTGTTGTTAAATCTGAAATAGTTCCAACAACGTTACAACGACAACATTCTGTTCACAGTATGCATAGAATTGACAGTGAGCAAGAAGATCAAGAAGTAACAAAATTAACCGAAAAAATGGAAAATAAACAAGTAACTCCAGTACATACTGAACCGAAAAAGAAAACAATGATTCTCACATCTGATCAATTGAAACGACTTAATCTTAAACCCGGTATGAATCATGTTGAATTTAGTGTTACAACATCGTTACAAGGTACAACATATGCTGAATCAAATATATTTCTATTTGATCATATGACGAAATTCGTTATATCAGATATTGATGGTACAATAACAAAGTAAATTTTGATTACAAAAAAATTGTAATTTATTTTTATACTAAATTAAATTTAGATCAGACGTGTTCGGTCATATTTTTCCATTGTTTGGTAAAGATTGGTCACATGATGGTATTGCTGAATTTTTTCAGGCTATTCAAGAAAACGGTTATCAATTCGTTTATTTATCTGCTCGTGCTATTGGACAAAGTCGAGTAACAAGAAATTTTTTAAGAAATATAACTCAATCTGGCTTTGGACTACCAATCGGTCCGTTATTTATTTCACCAGATACATTAGTCACTGCACTTTATAGGTTTGTTTATTTGATAAGAAATAAAAGTTGTTTTTGAATTTTTCTGTTTTGTTTTTAGAGAAGTCATTGCAAAACGACCTGAAGATTTTAAAATTCAATGTTTAAAAAATATTGCCAGTTTGTTTCCAGATAAAAATCCATTTTATGCTGGTTTTGGTAATCGAATCAATGTAAGCATAGTCTAGGAAATAATCTAGAGTGTGGGTCGGTAAAGACCCAGAATCAAAACATGTATTTAATATCTTTTTACAGGATCAGTATGCATATACTGCTGTCGGCATACCAGTGACTCGTATATTTACGATTAATCCTCGCGGTGAAGTTGTTCGACAAGAAATACCCCAAATATTATCTACTTCGTATGTGTGAAAACTCCTGTCTTTTTTAAATTTAATTATTGAATATTTATAGATATAAAAATTTACATGAACTAGTTGATCAAGTATTTCCTCCAATGGATTCATTTTCTGCAAGTGAATCTTATTCTTCGTTTACATTTTGGCGTGAAGAAGCAAAAATAAATCCATTTGAAGCTGAAATGCGTTCACATTTAGAAGAAATAAATGCACGACAAAAATCCAAAGGCAAAAGCTCAACACAACAACTCACTGGAGTTTCACCAAAAGCAACATCAACAACTACAGCGACAAAAAATGGCGAAAAATTATCAACAACAACTCAAGCCACCGAAAATACAGTGAAGAAGGCATAGATAAAAAAAATGCCATTTGCTCTTTCCTATTGAATTGATCAATATCAACATGTCAGATGATAATAAACAATAATTTGTATCATTCATTCCTCCGTTCTAATTGAACTTATTTTTCCTTCCGTTTTTTGTTCATCTATGATGTTTTTTTTGTCTTTCTGTTTCGTCTTTGATTGATAAGTGGGTATTTTTATTCTTTCAACAGTATTTTTATGTGTGCGTGTGTTTGGTGTGTGCACTCATCGTGATGATTCATTGAATCAATAGCAAAAAACTACATTTGTGGGGGATGCCACGTAACTACGGACTGTATCGAGTGTTTTTACAATCAATGATCATCATTAGTGAACGGTCATAAGTGCACGAAAGTATTAGACTGTAAAGTAGAAAATAATTTTTAGAGAACTATAAATAGATAAATGAAAATAAGCGATGGCTTTCTTACGTTGTTCTTGTAGTTCTCTTCGAAATTATAAAAACGAAATGGGGATAGGATATTTTCTCAATTATGAATATCTATATTGTTCAGATAGTGGAGTTGTCTTTAGCTAAATTCGTACCATCAATTTTCAACCACATTGAGCACTGTACGAGTTATTTTTCAGTACTGTAGAAGGGAGTGAGTTCTTACTGTGTATACTCATACCCGAACGTCGTACCTATAATCATCCACACTCTCGCTCATGGAACCATGAATTTGTGGGAAGTACACTGGAAACGTGGGCCGGAAAAAATTTACAGATACTGCTTCCGGAATTCGATTGAAAATCACTAAATTAGAGTGTCTCCCGCCGTACGTACTTGACCTGAGATAATAATGATGCGAAATAGTAACTAAAAATACCGCAAAATGTTATGCTTTGTGTACATTATTTTTATTTACTGTAAATCATTTTATCACGCTCAAATTAATCAATATCCTATACAGAAATCGTTTTTTTGGCATTTTTTGATCGTTTCGCATCATCATTTTATTACTCTTTTGGACCATTTTAATGCTATTTCTCCGTTTCAAAACCTATCCTGATAACTATATTGCATTGACACTCAGATACTGATTTCTTTTTCAATGAGTCAATCGTCGAAGAATTTTACGTCTAAGAAAGGTACCTCTCGCTGTATTTGTTGCATCCGAGACGAGCGACTGTGTATTTTTTTATTTCATTTATCGTGTGAAGAATAAAAAAACATGTGCTATTTGACTTTATGCTTTCTTTTATTTGTACAAGCCATCCCTTTTCACAGCAAATCTTACATATGAAGCAACAAACGAAAGATTTCACCGGACTATGAGTAAGAAATTCCTGTTTAAATAAAGATGAATCAATTGAAGTCTTTCATCATTTGTTGCATGAGCGAATCATTTACCGTCATTGAATACTAAATCAAGTATTATTACCTAACCCTTAAGATTGGTAGAAGTGATCAACAATTGCTAATTCATTTCTTTATGCGCATTCTCGCTAGGGATGCACCAGTTCCAAGTTCAACCAATTCAATTCCAATTCTTGGCTTGGAATTGGTCGGAATTGGTTGGAATTGGAATTACTCTGGAATTGGTTTAGAATTGGTTTAGAATTGGTCGGAATTGGTCTGAAACCGGTATAGAATTGGCTTAGTCTTGACTAGCAAGTGGTTTAATTTGCCAAAAATAAAATAAAGAAACTGGGACGTATAATGCCTTAAATCTGAAAATTGAGATTTTTATCATAAAAGCTACCACTTGAGCCACAATTAATAACATATTTGGAATTAGCGCAAAAACCTGACTCGAACAATTTATATTTTAATTACTTTCGGCAACTCTTTTTTTCTACGGAAAATTCACCTGGGGTACTCCTCAGGGTTCAGTCCAATAATACAAAATGACTTTTTTTTCAGTCCTCAGGCATGCGATTTTTTCTATATTACTAAACATTTTACATGCTCCATAGTTAATTACTGCTGTCCAAGTTGCTTTCTGATTAGTTTCTTTTTTTGACTGAACCCTGAGGGGTACCCCAGGTGAATTTTCGGCAGAACAAAAGAGCTGCCGAAAGTAATTAAAATATAAATTGTTCGAGTCAGGTTTTTGCGCTAATTCCAAATATGTTATTAATTGTGGCTCAAGTGGTAGCCTTTTATGATAAAAATCTGAATTTTAAGATTTAAGGCCTTATACGTCCCCCTTTCTTTATTTTATTTTTGGCAAATTAAAGCACTAGCTAGTCAAGACTAATCAATTGTACCATCAATTTCAGTTAATTCTACACTCATTCAGAGCCAATTCTATACCGGTTTCAGACCAATTTCGACCAATTCTAAACCAATTCCAATTCCAACAAATTCCGACCAATTCTAAGAATTGAATAGACTCGAATTGGAATTGGTGCATCCCTAATTCTCGCCCACCAGGAGATTAATTTTTGTCCATCAAATCACTTTGACGATCTGCCTGCTGGTGTGGGTTGGGAGTGTCAGGGTTCCTCATTCCAATGGGTTCCATTTCTTAAGAACAAAACACATTTTGAAATTGTTTTTCATGCAATTTGCACCACAATGGGAAGTTATTAAAGAGTTTTACTGTCTTTTCGCATAGATTTGCTATCGGCTCCTGGGAACAGAACAGGAAACTGGCATCCCTAGTATGGATGTCGGTACGGTTCTGGATGCTACTCTGGATGTAGGTGGAAAAGATAATACTCACACCCACCCTCTAGTCTACTGGTAGAAATTTCTAGATTAGAATGCAGGCGAATTTATCGACCCTGTCGTGAAGCAGGACTGTACTGCGGCTATTGGTGAATCTTATAGATCTACAGCTGCTACGTCAGCTGACAATCTCTTTTATTATCTTCTTGCCACTTTGTTTTTCTTGTTTAGAATGTCAACTTCTATGATCTCATCTCAAGCTAAATTGAGAATCCAAAGCCTTGCTAAACCAGACGGCTCTTTTCATTGGTCTTTCGGATCTGAGCAAAGATCATCCTCGTCGTCTACGTATCCATCTTATGATTTATATGTAAATGGTACAATTATTGATATAAGGGATGATGAATTCTGGAGTGCGCTATTCAGCTGTGACGTGCTTAAGAAACTGGACGGAATTGGAATCGGCGACCGCGACCGTGCTTATGGAATGAGTGCTGGAGGCCTACACGTACTCCTCCCTCATCTCGCTCGGTTAGCTACACCTTCATCAATTCCGTACAAGCCGTTCAATTGGTTCGTTTCCTTTAATCAAGACTTCAGCTCCAAGAATGACTATATGCAATTCATGTCAATAATAGCATCGCTTATCCGTCAAAATCGTTTACTTACAGTGATACTCCCGCGTGCTGATGGGCCTTTGAATAAACAACTATTTATGGATGAGGTACCTGAAGCTAGTCTAGACGTTGCTCACGCAATTCTTGTTACTCATTCTCTTATATCACTACACTGGCCAGGTGCGATAGGTGTCAAAGATGCTTCGCATTATAACGACTTACATGTATGCCATCCTAAACAACTTTCACAAGTGTTGTTTGCTGCTTTAGAAAAGAATGTTTCTCTCACTGAAGTCGATTTTTATTGCGGTTGTTTTGATAGATATTCTGGTTTTGATAATATTCTAAAGCCATTGCTTGCACGTAATAAAGCACTACCTTCGATGAACGCTGATGTCGCTGCCGGTCATGTCGACGGTAAATGGGATTCTAGTTGCCCATCTGATCTCGTACGTGATTTAGTCGCTGCTAAGTTCAACATACACCGTTCTTTTTTCAACAGCACTGGAGATATGTGCTTTTGTGAGTCATGCCATAAAATGTCAGGCAACAAGTCAATGTACTCACGTGGCATCCCACCTTCTCGCTATGCAATACCAATAGGCTGGGTCAGAATCGGTCTGAAAGTACACGAAGGGCTTGCTGAGAGCAATGAGATATTCAAGAAATGGCACATTTCATATCATGGAACTACAGCCAACAGTATAGAACCCATATTCCGCGGCGGATTACACTTACTAAAACCTGGTGATGTGGCATTGGGTGGAGCAGCCATAGGTGTTAGACCTGGTCACATTCCTCAAGTAATTAGTCGAACGAATCGTTACACAGGTATGAATGAATTGTTTGATATTAACCAAATATTCACATCACCATCTATTCGTTATGCATCACATCCTGCTTATGCACAACAATTTATTGTCGATCATCCTCAACGTGCTGGTGTACTACTCGGAATGCGATTTGTGTTTCAATGTCGCCAGCGTCCTGGCTCTTACACAATTGGGCATGAAACAGTTGGCGCGCGCGACATAAAACTAGATCCGCACTTTGATAACAACGAACTCGAATGGTATACTAAAGAGAGCGCAGGAATAGTTCTATTTGGCCTATGTGTGCAAGTAAGATGCATATCTCAGCGGCCCACAAAATAAAAACAATTTTTTCAGTGATTATCAGGGTGTATGGGTGTAGGTGTGAGCATGAGCGGTGTACCACAGAAGCGAGGCTTTGAAATTGGCACCCCTAGAGAAAATCAGGGGTTGCAATAAAATTTTATTGCTTCTCCTGTTATTCCCACATTTCGTATAGTTAAAATTCGAAGGATGTTTACGCACTAGAGGGTGTGGATGATAGTCTTCTCATTGCCGACACCCACAGCCATCCCAGTAATGAGAGTAATAATCTTGATCAAAATGAAGGCTTTATTCTTTGAATGAGTACTTCTGCAATGTCACCATTCAGAAAATCACATAAAATACTATCTTCAAGTGATTCAGGGCTACTTCAGAATGGGATACTGCAAAGAAATGATACGCTTATTTACTTATAGTAATTTATTCTTCTGTCTTTTTTTAAAATTATTTCTTCTGTTTTTTTGTAAACGATTACCAATCCACTAACAAGTTTCTCTAGACAAAAAGAAATTATTTTAAGTGCAATATCATGGATGGGGAGGCAACAATTCATATCGTAGTTGGACTTATATTGTTCTTGAAAGTATTTGTATCATTGCATTTATTATCTTTCTTATTCTTCATAAAATATGACAAACGCAAGTTAATTTAAATTTAGGTTAAATATATAAAACATGCAATTTCTCGAGATACGAAGTAAATATTTTTATGCTTTATTACTTGCTTTGAATTCAAAAGAATTCTCCAAACATTTCAATTTCCAAATTTTGTTTTTCTTTCACAACGAGTCAATTTGGAAGGAGCTTATTGCGTCGAATATCGCCTGGTGACTAGAAAGCAATGTCTGCCTATGAACAAAGCCAATTAGCAATACAATTAGAATGAGAGCATGTTCCAACAGCTATGTCTGATGATTAAATGTAGCCTAATTGTTGCATGACCAACAATAAGGCACCATTCATTTTGCCAATCGCCAGTTATTTCTTTACCTTTGTTATATATATATATATAGAAAAAGCATGCACAAAAAACATTCATATTGAACTTGTCTGATATCACTGTTAAACATTATCATATACATATATCGTTAATCAATAAGGTAAGTTATATTGAAGAAATTTTTTATCCGATAGAAAATCTTAAAAGATACTTCTCATAATGAATCGCATAGAAGACCAGAGAGAGCACTCGACAAATGTTATTAGGCATCAGCTGATGACCAGTAAAGAGGAAAAACTATTCTACAGCTATACCCAAGTCGAACATTCCGGTCCCGGAAACTGCTAGTCCTGTGATATTCCGGAGATTTCATGGAAGCAGTATTCCGGTGAAAGGATCCGGTGACCGGATTTATCCGATTCCGGCCGGAATCGACAGGAACCTGTCAAAACTGGTAGCCGGATACGGTTTCCGGATTCCTGCATCGAATTCCGAATAATTCCTGGTGGGTTCCGGTCGGAACCAGCGAGTTTCTTGCAGACTTTCGCCGGAAATTCACGGAATACTGCTTCAGGAATCATTGTCCTGGGTAAAGATGCAATCAATTTGCTTGGTCGTCTATTCTGTCAGAGGTTTTTATTTCGTCTTATCTGATTTTTCTAATTATATTTATTCTGTAAGAAAACAAGCGCGAGCATCTAAAATCATCTATGGCGATCAGTTAGCAAAGTCAAAATCAATCAAGAATCCTAATAGATTGATTAATTGTTATTATATAGAAAAATAATAAGTTGTGTAATCGTCACAACATATTTTTAACTACCCTAGCCTATTTAAAGATTGATACTCATTATAGAAAAAGAGGTACACAGAGAATGGTAGATTGCATCAATAAAACTGAACCCAACAGTTTTTAAAGTGTAACCGAAGCCAGAGCTTAGGTTGGGTTGCAGTATGCTATCTAACTTCTCGCTCTCTTCCACTCCTACGCCCCAATATATGCCAATAGTATCTGCCATTATCATACTTTTATAAATCATTAGCTCTTTTATATTATGAAATCAAATCTCAAATCAAGTTTTGAGAAATTCCGTATCGATTTAGTTCTAGTGAATAAATAAAATTTTGTATGAACGAGAAGAAGGCTCATTTTTTCCGTCTTTGGTGTACTCGTAGCAAAGTGAAAAGGCACGCTTCTCTTATTTTTTGCATGTGCATATTATAGAGAAATTTATTAGCGTAGTCCCTTTATAACTAGAGTATTAAATATTGAACTTATGCCTTAAATAAGGAAGGAACGGAGCAGCAAAAACTTTACTTTATGAGATGAGTAAGATCTGTTGAAAAATAATCTCAATTTAATTGAAAAAGAATAAATTGATCATCAAGTTATTAGCAGAGACACATACAAAATCAAATTAAAGATAAACAAGTGATAATTTGATCATAAATTACACGAGAACAAAGTACAAGAATTGTGCCCACCACAATCAATGAAGAATAATGAAGCATACACAATGTCAAGAAAAGACTCAAAATTAAACTAAGCCGCAGTGATTGTTGCTTCATATCGACGTTGTTGTACTGCTATTTCATCTATCAGTGCACCACAAAACCAATTCTATACATGAATAAATGTCGATATCGACTAAACACAATGAAAATATACTAACCAACAAATAAATTCGATATATAAAATTATTAATATTCAAATGGTTGGCTATTTCTACAATTTCATCAATTCCGGGACACTTGTTTGTTGTATAATCTATTTTAGTCTATTTCATAGTAAGAATGAAAAAAATTTATTATACAGCTACTTACATTGACGTAAATATTGAATTTGTTCGTTCGTGAATTTCTTCTCTACTTGTACAAATTCTAAATAAGTTAAGAATATCGTTTAATATCAACAGCTGATTCGAACATAAGAAAAAATAATCATGAGCGCAAGTGCTTTTCAATTTATTTGTGGGATTAAGTCATTTATTCCAAACGAAACAAGCAATCCTAGTAATAGCATGATAGATAATCTAATTAGATCGTAATCACTCTTGAGATTTACTCTTTTCCTCAGCTATCACCATCAACTAATTAAAATGTGAAACTCTTCAGTTGATTCGAACATGAAAGAAGTAAATATAGTATATGGATAACGATTTATACTTATCAGATTCGAATGAAAGCAGAAATGAATTTCTCTCGTATCTATTTTATAGCTACCATGAGAATTACAGTTCTTTCCAAGATACATTACTATTATTAAAAGTAGTTGAAAATGAAATATGTAGAAATGAAAAGGCCAGTATGACTGCCGTTGTTCATACTAATCTGAGAAAACAAAAAAAAGCCTTTAATCTTATATATAACTTACGTGCAGCACGTTCAGCAAAGAATTGCCGGATGAAATCTTCATGAACCATGAGTTTTATTAATGCGAGTAACTGTATTAGATATTTATATTCGCTCAGTCAAATACAAGTATAATGATTTCGATTAACAATTCTTCAATCAATTTATATATGTGGAACATATGTATTGACAGATATAATAAGTCAAAGAGTAGATATGCCGAGCTTTGTTTTCATGAATAGACAGATTGAACGGCCATAACCTCTGTCGTGTAAGATGATTTAGACGGCAATGGAATAACCTCGTCAACGACAAAGAGAAAAAAAGACAGGATATACATCTTATGTGGAACGGGTACCATTTACCACAAGCTGTAGTTTCCTAAATTATATCCACATTAGATATTGAATTCTTATCTGTAGGCGTTACCTATGATATCATGTTTTAATATAAACCTGAAGAAAGAGTCGTATCAACATACAGACTATTATTGATAGTGACTGGCGATAAGACAACCATTGACAACGACGTTTGTGTTTATTTTCTCAGCGTGGTTAAGCATTTTTGCTGTATTTTTCATTAAAAACAAAATTTATTATTTCGCCCTTTGCTTTTACTAGGCAGATAAATATAAACGGCGGTCTTTTCTTGTGAAAGAAAAATGAATAGTATAAATGATGCTTTTATGCAATTTATTGATGAATATATGAATCTTAATTTTTAACAACGCCTAAAAAATAACTTCTTTTTTTCCCCGACGTATGTATTTGTTACGTATCGCCTCTGAAACCGGTTGTCTAATAAATCATTTTCTTTTTTTTCCCATAAACTGATTAAAAAAGTCTACTTCTACTTTTTTTGTAGCACTATCTCTTATTCATAACTAAAACACTAGTAGTTACAATGGTAAGTGTGCTTTTTCGATTTTACGTCAATATCATTTTATGCTTATACTAACTTCTAAAACTGTGAAACCTTCAAGCTTTACATAATTATTCTATTTCAAAATTCTACATTGAAATATAAAATACTAATGCAATTCACTTTTCTACCTAGGCAAGTAATCCAATAACAGATGACAATGATGCTCTCAATGGCAACCATGATATGACACCGAGTAGCCCTGGTGAGTTAGCTTGCTTTTGATAAAGAAAAAATGAACTCACTGTCTAAAATATCATTGGCCAGTTTTCAGGGAGTACCAAAACGAAGCCGCTGCTATCGAAACTATGTCTAAACGGTTTTATGAGCGCTATTATGATTGCCCAGGTTTCTATGTGGGTTCTCTTATAAACGCATGCGAAGAAGCTTTCAGTCCAACAGTGATTGAAGAAGTTAGTTGACATATATTATTATAACTGTAAAAAGAAAACTTATTTATTTATTTGAATTTTAGCGTCGTCCAGTACTTGTCTATATACACCATGATGGGAGTATGTTTAGTAACATATTTTGTAAACTTACATTGTGTTCAGCAACAATTATTGATTATTTACTTGAAAACTATATTGTATGGCCATGTGATGTTACGCTAGAAGCAAACAGAAATATGTAAGTTGTCTATCTGTTACTGATATCGAAACTTAATAGTTTAAAGCGAATTGATCAAAATTTATAACTTTTGTTATAAAGAAAACATCTGTTTAATTAGGCTGGCAAACATTTGGCAAGAAATGTTTCACGATCAACTTCTAAATGTGTTTGACGAGAAAAAATATCCAAAACTTATTGGAATTAAGAGAAATTTTCAAGAGCAGCAAAATGACTCGTTAGCATTCGATTACCAACCCGTGCTTTTACTCGAATATGATGTTTTGGTGAGAAGTAAAGTGGCAGTAAATCGAAAAAGTTTACTTACTGAATTGACTTTTTTCAAAAGCGAATGCGACGAAAACGAACAAGCCTTCGTAAGTATTTGTTACATAATTATATATATTATCTGTATTATAATTGGCATAAAAATAAGAATTCTGTCTAGCCGAACAGTTTCTAAAAGTTCTTTTTTTATTTCATTTTAGGCATTCTATCACAACATAGAAACTCGCTTTGGCAAAAAGATTATACTTGAACTAGTGAAAAATCTTACGTTAAATGATGCAATCAATGCATTCTCCAATAATATTCTTCCTTTATTAAGCCAACAAGAAACAAAAGTAGAGATTTGTGATCCTTCCAGTCTATTGATTAATACGATACTTCGAAAATTGAAGCCTCAGCAAGTTGTTTCTTTACGTCTTACAGCAAGTTGGTATCGTAAGCAAGAAGAATTATCTCGATTAGCTCGTTTTACTAATGTTATCTCATTGAGTCTACTCAATTTTCAAGATATAAGAGCAATAGAGATATATCGTACTAATTTTCCTCGATTGACGCGTCTCTGTTTTTGGTATGATAATGAACTCAATTTTACTTTTTTTCGTGAAGTCTTGCAGTACCTATGGTCTTCAATAAAACGATTTGAAGTTCATTGCCCAGGGAATTTCTGCTCTCACGCTGATCAAGATCAATACAACAGTCTACTCTTCCCAAACTATGATATCGAATATTGTCTTTTTGACCTGAGTAACTTTCCGTTACATCCAACAAGCGATTGTACGAAACAGTTGCCGTCATGTTTTTTGACGGCCGCAATTGGTTTGATCAAATATATGCTCAACCTTCAATACTTTCAATTAATTACAAACATGGATAGCGTCAGTAAATTATTAGATTTAAACGAATGGATAAGAATGACAAGTCATTGTCCTCGCTTAACGAAAATAACGCTACGAGTGTTAGGACGTATGAAAGCAGACGACGAAATGTCACAAAAAATAGTAGAAATTCAAAATACGTTATGCACTCTGCCACAAAACACTCAATTTCAAGTTATATTCCACTGATTTAACTTTGATGAACAAAATTAGATTGTAGATCTTTGCATTTTTTTTATCAATGAACACAAAAAGCATTAATTGTATAGATATTAATGATTCTTTGCCACATTTGTATCAGTAATAGCGAGATCTATCAATTTCGACTGTTAGTTTTTACTAAATACATATACAAGTAATCGATCATCGGATTTAATATTAGTTTTATCATTCGCAGTTCTATCGAACTTTATTAGTTTTAATCCTGCATAAAAATTTAAGCCGATAGGTGGCTAGTCAACAGCAGTGGCGGCAACTGAAAATCGCCAATTTGTTTTAATGCTGAGAAATTAGATTCTTTGGGCTCATCGACAGCGTTGGCTTGTAAGTTTAAGCTAGTTGAAAATGAGGATTGGACATTCTTGATGGTTCTTCTTTAAATTCTTTTGGTTTCAAACAATTTCAAATTAAAAAAGATAGCAAATGTTGATAGAGACTTAACTGACAGGACAGGACAAGACAAGAGAAGCCGTGTAAAAAGAAAGGAAAGAAAATCTGATTTTAGTCTAATTTCGATTCGATTATATACTTTGCGATCGTAAAACGCATTTTTCTCCTATTCTCATTAAAAAATTCAAATTTTAAAGTAGTTTCTCGAAATTTTTCACTGAACAAATGGTGAACACAATACTCGACCAGTTTAAGATTCAAATGTCATATTCCGGGTTACCATACCAAAGAGATACTTATTTATTAAAAACAAATGTCAATTAAACAGTTCCAAATCGATTATCGCTATATAATTAGAATCTATTAAAAATTTATTTTCAACTTCAAAGAAAGAGTTGACTTGATTTTAATCAATTTCAAAGTACATAAAGTCAGAGAAGAGCAGAATTTTTAGCTTTTCCATAAAAAGAACATATCTAAAAGCTGATCTCGAGTATCGATTTTTATACTAAGGCGACATCGACTGGTCGTCTTCGATTCTTTTCTGTTTTCTGCAATGCGAAATTACAACTTTCATCAAATTAACCATTATAGAAAAAAACAGACATCAACAAAATAATTGACAGTTGACTATAATATGCAAAGTTTTGAAGTACATATTAAACATCATTGTGATTCGTATATGATTCGACATTTATTATCAACTGTTATCGATGAATTCAAAACAAATCATGTTTTCTTTCTTGCACTATTAACGTTGATCTATCAACCATTCAACATTTGACAAGTTTAATGTGCTCATTAGCCGTCCTACAACGTTGGTCTTCACAAAGTATGAATTCAAGAATCATTTTGTTTCTGTTAGAACGAGAATGCAAAGTCAAAAAGATACATCTGATATTTACTTTACTTACCCAAATCATCTGTTCTACGCAGTTTTCATTTGCCTATATATATGAGGGAAGTAAACAAGTAATCATCTAGTTTCTTTATCACATTTTTCTTGTCTTAATGCAATATGTGTTCATGCATGGCAAAGTATCATTCATCTAATTATTATTAGTGTAAATAGCGGCATGAGAAGCGCATTCATAGCTACTGCTCTATTTTCATTTCGACTAAAAATAAATACAGAATGGAAGGCCTAGCAGAATATTATGGTGCTTCGGCTGGCTCCAATACGAGTGAACATTTGTCTGATAATAGATTATGAAAAATGTTTGTTTTGGTAAGTTTTAGCTGGTCAGGATTTGTCATTTACGGTTTCTGTAGATGATAATAATGGTCATAATTCACAGGTTGTTGTGTGTCCGCCTGGTTCTGATGTTAAGTATCCAATTCACAGTTTCCCTGGTGCTTTTCCTTCAGTGTAGTGGTGATTCAAAAGTTCTCGACAATGTTAGTGGTTAGTACTGTGTTCATGGAACTTCAAAAATTGACTTTCACTTTTAAATAGAAGTGTGCACTTCGTCAATCTTCTGTGTCTTATTGAAATCCTTTTTTATTTTTAATGTCGTCTTGTTTTCCTATCTAAGCATTTTTGGTGGTTGACACATGCATGGTATATATAGTATATAATGAAGTAAACTATAAACAATGAAGAGTTAGAAATGATACTATCGAAGAGTGTGTAATAAAATCTATGGAGGTTTTACACCATGCACTTTCAAATGAATACAAGAAATTAAAAATGTTCTATTTTGAAGAATGCCTCGTATGTTTGATGCTCTCATGAAGCCTCTCTTAATATTTTTTTTCTTTTATCATTCCAAGAATAAACTAAATAAAATAATGCTCACTGCTGAAGTTTATTCGAAATTAGTCGATTTGTTGTTATATTCAAAAATCGCCTAAAATTTTAATTAGAAAATAGCTACTTTGAACGATGCAATATAGTTAGCTGGCAAATCAAAATGCTCTCGAAGTACTAAGAGGTAGTAAAGATGAAAAAAAAATTGATAGGATATATTTTATTTCTAGAAAATATTGGCAATCTTCTGCATAGATGATATATAAAAATGCTAGGTTTTATTGGTAGGTAGCTAATATTATGTCTTTCATTTTCTTTTTACTCATCAGCCTCTCTGAGTTTTCACTTTGTCATCGACATCTTTTCGATTCTATATCATAAATACAAGAGAATTTGAAATATTTAAATAGAATGATATTGGTGTTACCCTCGTACAATTTTTGAACTGCAACTCTTCATGAATCAGAATATTTGCAATTTTAATTATTATGCTACATTGTCGCTGCATGACAAAAATATCATCCTTTCAAAGATCTAATTCATACTGCTAATATACGATGAACCACGTCGGAAGAACTTACCCTCAGATATGGTTGACGTGGCGTTCCATGCATGTGTTTCCTAATGCTAGAGTTTCCCTTTTTTAATCTTAGTTTTCAAGAGATGCTTTCAGATCATACGCTGAATATTGTTTCATTAATGCTAAAATTACTGACTAGAATATACGTATGTAGTGAAACACAGTTTTGAAGAAATTACAAAGTCAAAAAATGATGATTTACGTCCAATTTCATTACTTATTTAGTAACTATCAACATCATTAGAATCAAAAATGTTTTTTTTTAGTCGAATTTACTATTTTAAGAAATATTGAAAGAGTTATTCGAATTTCACAGGAGCTAAATCAAGAGTAGGATGTAAGAATGAAAAGTAAAATTATGAGGCTATACTTTTTGAAAGAAAATGACAAGTGTAAAACTAGCTTTTAAATTCGACTTTTGATTGGTTAATTATATACATCATGTTTCACTTTGAAAACCTGTTGGCTTACGTTTTTAAATAGAATTTAAACAACTGCCAACAAAATTCAGAAATAATATTTGATTGACAAAAATTAATTTTTAGGAAATAGCAGAAGCAAAATACAATAAAATGTTTATAGAGAATAGAGAAATGAGAATTTTCTGCATCAATATCAAATCTACGATATTGAGAATTATATTTGACGAGCAAAACTTAAATTCATATCGATAAAAGTTTACAAACAAAACAAATCTTTTTTATAAGAGCAAGTTTTGTAGAAAATTTAAAACATCAAAACCATTTTCGATATCTTGTACTCAGAGAGAGTAGAACAATACCAAATGTTCATATTTAACACGAAGCTTGCTAAGACAAGGTAGATGTATGTTTAAGATGGAATGGAAAGAAATTGTTCCACATAATCGATATGTACATCAAAACAGTTAAGTTCAACGTCATGAAAATATTCAATAATCGATGATGCTTCTTCAGGTCTCACATTTGTTGATATTGTATTACTGAGTATGAGATGATTCACTACTGGAATTGGACGCGAGAATTCGACAAAGAACTTGTGTTCGAAAAATTTATAACTCCGAAAATATACAAAACACGAACATTCATGAATATAACACCAGGAAAACTATCTATAATGGACCGTATATGTTTCATATTGAACGACAATGAATAAACATATGGCAGTTCGTGTACGAACACGAACAGATAATGTGTGCCGTTTCAAATTAAACATATGACTATCAAATTCAGCTGTTGAAGGATACAGATATAAAAACAAAAACATGTGAGTTTACGTATTTTCTTATAAAAAAATATACAGCTTAATAATAGTACGTTAATTCTTCATTCTAATGGCGTAACAAGACTTTGCCGAGTGGTTGGGCAGCGTCTAACCACGCCTACCCTGATTACGCCACAAATCGATGTTTTATCTTCAACCATAAGTTATAATTTTTTATTCTCTTCTCTCACTCTTTTTGCTTTGCTAACTTTCTGAAGTAGATTTATGTCAGTTGTACCATGTACTTCTTGAATATATTATTTTCCTATAGTAGCTATGTCGACAGTGTACGAGAGCGACCTCTATTTCCATTTTCATCCTTTTCGCGAAAAACCAAGAGCACAGTTTGGTCGAGAACCATTTTCTCGATCTGCTGATTATATTAAAGGTATGTTTAGTCTCAGAGAAAAAAATTCAGAGGAGCAATCACCAAGCACTGGCTACTTTCACTTATTCTTAAATTCATCTCAGCAGGATCCCAAAGCATACGTTTGATTGGTAATTTCTAAAACGAAACTACATAAAATAAATATTATTTATAGATGAAACCATCTCGTTTAGCACGTCGTTTTAATAAGAAAGGCCGTCAGCAAAAGAAAATCGTCATTGAACAACATTCATCAACTAATGTATTTTTGCTTTTATAGTTTTTTTGTTTAAATTAAATTTTTATTTGTATATTATCCAACAGGTTATTGTTGAAGGAGAAACGACGACAGCTGACAATAATTCAATTTTGCCATCAAAAAAACGAACCACTCATGCTATTCATCAAAAAGCACCTGCCAAACGTAAATTGTCAAAAAAAGAACGTAAACGTCTTGAAAAAGTGCTTGATGTTAAAAAGAAAAAAGCTAAAGTAAAGAAATAGATTCACTATTTCTATTGTGCTTCTATGTTTACTTGTTTTATAGAGAGTCGAATTACTTGATCAATTAGGTCAAATACAAATTTCTAATGAAGAATTAGCTCTTCTACATTCAGTAAAAAACATCGGTAGTAAAGCGAAAAGGTAATTTTCTTTATTTTGACATTAAAAGTAAAATTTTGTTTTACACTAGGCAACCATTTGATTCTCATTCTTCAACACTTACTTCTTCGCCGTTGGTTAATTTTACTCCACTTTCAAAAAAACGTCCAGCTCAACTACCGACTGAATCTATTCTAAAGTTAGTTTAATACTCTTTAGTTATAAGTTAATATTTGCGTTTATTCAGTGAGTCAGAATCAAGTTCAGATGAAGATGACGATGAAACTATAAATGATGAAGAAATTCGTAAAGCTTTAGCTCCTTCTCAACCAACAATACCAGTAGTAGCAGTTCCTTTGCCTACTATCAAAAAACGACAACGTGAAGATAGTACAAGTAGTACCGAAGAAACAAAAATCGATATTCCAGCTCGACCACATGCTAATGTTCAAGTCGATCGTAGTGAAGAAATGCAAGCACTACGTTCACAATTACCAATTATTACCGAAGAACAAGCTATCATGGAAGCTATTCATGATAATCTTGTTGTACTTATTTGTGGAGAAACTGGTAAAAAAGACAAATTTTATATTCAATTAAAACAAACCAACTAAAATTTGTTTAGGTAGCGGTAAAACAACTCAACTACCTCAATTTCTTTACGAAGCTGGCTATACTCTCGATGGTAAAATGATTGGTATTACTGAACCAAGACGTGTAGCTGCTATATCAATGGCAATACGTGTTGCACAAGAATTAAATTTAACGAATGAGTCTGTTCATTTATTTTTCCTACGAAATTTTCTTTTTAAATCATTTATCTTTCTAGACAAGTTTCATATCAAATACGTTATGAAGGTACATTTAAACAAGATACAACACGTATTAAATTTATGACCGATGGTGTTCTATTGAAAGAAGTTCAAAATGATTTTTTATTAACTAAATACAGTTGTATACTGATCGATGAAGCGCACGAACGTAGTGTTGCAACAGATGTTTTAATCGGTTTACTCTCACGCATCGTACCCATTCGTTGTCGACGAAATGATCCACTTCGTCTTGTTATCATGTCAGCTACAATGCGTATAGAAGAATTCGTCAGTAATCGCCATTTATTTAAATTAAAACCAAAGATCATTAATATTGATGCAAGACAATTTCCGGTTACAATTCATTTTAATAAGAAAACACCGAAAAATTATATTAATGAAGCATTTAAAAAAGTTTGTAAAATTCATCGGCAATTACCATCCGGTGGCATCCTGGTGTTTGTTACGGGTCAACAAGAAGTTCAAACATTGTGTCATCAATTGAGAAAAAAATTTCCAATGACAACACAAACAGAAGATGATGGTAACATTTTTTTTCGGTCTCAGAAAAACTTCTGTATATGAATGGTTTCTATGAAACGTCCACCCCTGATTTTATGAGAATATTTCAATAAATCTATGTAAGTGTTCGACATTTATTGCGCATATGTTTTTATTGTTTACATATGCGTAACAGAGAGAAACGATAGGCACCTACTTAAACAAAGTAAAAAGCATTCCTACACTTTAAATTCATTATTTATTTGATACAAAAAAAAAACGAATTCTTTTTTTTCTAATATTTAGACGAACCACAATTTAAAACAAAAAAATTTAGAAAAGAGAAAAAAACAACCAACGACAATAAAACTCCATTGGATATAATCGATGAAGAAGAACTTGAACATTTACAATCGGATATTGATGAAGACGAAGAAAAGGAACAAGAACAAGAAGAAGAATGTACAATCACAAGCGATCTTGATGATGAAGATACGAATGTAAAAGGAATATCTTTTGAACCACTTTATGTTCTTCCAATTTATGCAATACTTTCATCAGAAAAACAAGCTCGAGTAAGATTTCTCTACCCAATTTATTTATGTGTCATATAAAAATTCTCATTAGGTATTCGAACCTCCACCACCGGGCACACGTTTATGTGTTGTAGCGACTAATGTTGCTGAAACATCTATTACCATATCCAATGTAAAATATATTGTTGATTGTGGCAAAGTAGGATTTTTTTATCAAATCAAAAATAAAATTTTATATATATATGATTTCCTCCTAGGTCAAAACAAAGTATTATGATAAATTAACTGGCGTATCAACATTTCGTATCGAATGGACTTCCAAAGCATCAGCTAGTCAGCGAACAGGTCGTGCTGGTCGAACAGCGCCTGGTCATTGTATGTAGAGATCAATTTCATGAAATCAATCATCTAGAGGAGAATTTTATTTTTATAGGTTATCGACTTTATTCATCAGCTATCTATAATGATTCGTTTGCAGAATATACAGCTCCAGAAATCGTTCGAAAACCTGTTGAAGATCTTGTTTTACAATTAAAAACGTTAAATATTGATCGTCTTGCTAATTTTCCATTTCCGACATCACCGGATTTGAAAGCAATCAATGTCGCTGAACAGCTTCTCGTTCAGTTAAACGCACTAGATAGTAAATCACCGACGAAAACAATTACTGAACTAGGTCGTCGAATGTCAGCATTTCCAATCAATCCCAGATACTCAAAAATGCTTGTTATTGCACAAGAAAATAAAGATATATTACCCTATGTACTTGCACTTGTTGCAGCACTTAGTGTCAATGAAGTATTAACCAGTGGACTAGTTAAAATTCAAAAAGTAAAAATAGTTTCTTTTTTTTCAAATAAAATATACAAAAAAAAAACGCTTTTTCTAGGATAGTCAAGAACTTTGCATTAATCTAGATGATGTCAGACGACAATGGATAGGACAAGTATGTATTTTTATTTTCATTGGTGAATATGTGATTTTTCATTTGTTAATAATGCATAGGGAGAAACACTTTTATTTGGTGATATGATGGTTTTACTGAAAGCTGTTGGTGCATTAGATCATCAAAATTCAAAAAACGATCTATCTATTTGTACACGTTATGGATTAAGACCAAAAGCTATGGCTGAAATTCGTAAAATTCGTCGACAATTAACGCAAATCGGTAAAAGAAATATTAGTCTTCGCGCTGTTTTTTTTTACAGAGACGATCAAAAAGCGGGTTTTGCTTTTGTAAGAAAACATCTGTAGAGAAAAAGAAGAAAAACAACCGATGAATAATATGTGTCAGAAACTCTATTCCGTCCACTATGAATTTTTTCTTTCCTTATTCAATCATCCTAGAAAACTAAAGCTTCTGTTTCTCATTGCTTTTCTTTCCTCCGCCAAATTATTATTCCGGAAGAGAAAAACAAGGCAAGCTATTTATCATACATAGGGATATTCCATTGGTAGAAAATATCTGATTTAGTAAACCGAATACTTTGCTTTTAGTGAAATCAATATTACCCGAAACAGCAACAGTACTCGATGCTCGTCTTCTACCACCTAGCGAGCAGCAAATATGTCTATTACGTAAAGTGCTTGCAGCTGGTATGGTCGATCGTTTAGCCAAGTAAATTTGTATGTTTATGATTGATAATATTAGATTTTTTTTCTTTCTAGGAAAATCGAAGGATCTGTTGTGATTAATGGCCATAAAGCAAATAATGCCTATCAGGTTATTTTCATAGAAAAACAAAACTATAATTCCGATGCTTACGATTTAGACTCTCCTACTCGAAGAACCGGTGTTTATTCATCCATCATCCGTGCTTGCAAATGATTCACCACTATTTGTTTGTTATCAAGAATTACATGAAACAAGTCGAATATTTATCAAAGGTAAATTGTTTGCTATGTAACTATCGAAGGAGTTCTGAAATGTTTAGATATTTGCGCTATTCAAATGGATTGGATTGTTCAATTAAATCCACATTTATGTTCATTTGGTCCAATTGAAGAGGAGCCATCGCCACGTTACGATGAAACTCAAGATAAATTGCTTTGCCATCGTAAAGCAACCATAGGTCAACGAGTCTCGTGGTCATTGGGTACACCTGTTGAAACAATTTTTTCAAATAATACAGTTGATCGTTATCGTTGGTTTGCAAAGTTTTTTCTCGATGGTATTATTTGTCCACGTCTTTTACAATTTCGTCCTGCTCTATTATGTTCATCTAATGCCATGGTTAAATCCTGGGCGTCACTCATGGAACGAACACAATTATTGATAAATGCATTAGCAGCAAAAGACATTGATAGTCGAATACAATTGAAAGAAGTTTGGTCAACACAACCGAAATGTAAGAAAATTAATTGAATAATTTGTTTGCTTGAATTTCTTTTTTCATTTAGATCTACTTGATGTCTATTGTAATTGGTTACCGGAATCATTACATGCTCAAGTTAGATCTCTATGGCCACCAGTACCGTCTGTTTTGAAAAAATAAAGTTATGCATACGAAATTTGTTTCTGTTTTTCTTTGTATGTAAAAATTCATTCTAAGAATGTTTTAAATTTAAATATAAAACAAAAACGAAAACTTGATAGTATCATTGTTATCGATTGTTCATCTATGAACAATTCTAGATAAAATCCAAAAAGTCTCAACAATGCCGCGTATCGACAACGATATAAAACTTGATTTCAAGGATGTTTTAATTCGACCAAAACGTTCAACATTAAAAAGTCGAGCCGATGTCGATTTAACACGCGAATTTATATTTCGTCATAGTAAAAAAGTTTATGATGGAATACCAATCATTGCATCTAATATGGATACAGTTGGAACGTTCGAAATGGCAGTGCAATTATCAAAAGTTAGTTCTTTGTTAAAAATAATTGAAAAATCATTTTCTTTTTCTTTTACAGTTAAAATTATTTACAACTGTTCATAAACATTATACAGTAGAGCAATGGAAAGAATTTGCTGCTGAAAATAGTGAAGCTCTTCAAGTAAGCAATGACTTGTCAAAACAATCTGCTAATTAAATCGCTTTTAGAATGTAGCAGTTTCGACTGGCATGACAGAAAATGATTTTAAAAAATTACGGTATATTTGTTTATTGAAATTGATGGAGAAATTCAATGATTTCTGTTTAGTGATATTATGACTTCTATACCAGAACTTGATTATATATGTGTTGATGTAGCAAATGGTTACTCGGAGCATTTTGTTGAATTTGTTCGATTGGTGCGAAAAGAATTTCCTGATAAAACAATATTTGTATGAAAGATTTGTGTTGTGCAATAAGGGTTCGCAATGATTTTCTTCTAGGCTGGAAATGTTGTTACATGTGAAATGGTCGAAGAACTTATTCTAAGCGGCGCTGATATTGTTAAATGTGGAATAGGACCAGGTTTAGTAAAATGATTTTAGAAATTGAGATAGAATTTTAACTAACATTTAAGAAAGATTTCTATTATTATAATCATGAGTCAGTTTTTGCACAAGATTGAATTTGTCCGTGAGAGAAATTATTTAAATGTCTCATTGAATAAGCAAAGACATTCTATTGGATGAAATGAAGATAAGATTACATATTTTCAACTGGGGATTATCCTGTATTTTTAGGTAGTGTATGTACAACTCGTTTGAAAACAGGTGTTGGTTATCCTCAATTGTCATGTATTCTTGAATGTGCTGATGCTGCACATGGTCTTGGTGGACATATTGTTAGCGTAAGTTTTTATTTTCTAATAAATAGGATTTTGTACGCGTTGAATTAAATAGGATGGTGGTTGTACAAGTCCCGGTGATGTTGCTAAAGCATTCGGAGCTGGTAAGTTTAAACAAACAAAAAACAATGTCGGATAAAAAAATTAAAATTATTTTAGGTGCTGATTTTGTCATGCTTGGTGGTATGCTTGCTGGTCATGATGAAAGCGGTACCGGTGAAATAATCGAACGAAATGGACGAAAATATAAATTATTTTATGGAATGTCTTCAAAAACTGCTATGGATAAACATGTAAGAAATTTATTGGTCGACTAATTTAAATTTCAAAATTTAATCCATAGTCTGGTGGTGTTGCGGAATATCGAGCTTCGGAAGGCAAAACCGTAGAAGTTCCCTATCGTGGTTTAGTTCTTGGCACTGCACAGGATATTTTAGGTAAGTTTCTATGCGTTCTTTAAAACCAATCGTATACAAATAAAATAATGTATTGTTAGGTGGCGTTCGTAGTTGTTGCACTTATGTGGGTGCTGGCAAATTAAAAGAACTCAGCCGACGAACAACATTTATTCGTGTCAGGTATTGATTACATCGTGTCGATTGACTTCTACATTGTTTCTATTGTTTTTTTAGTCAACAATTGAACGAAGTATTCTCTTCTAGTACAGTACAAGTCTAATCTCAGTCAATCATTTGTGATTCCTTTTTCTTTTTGCACTACAGTAACAATAGATAAAACAATTTGAATAAACCATACATTTTTCCTCTTTCTTTCTCTCTCTCTCTCTATCTCATTCAATGTTTGTTCACGTCTATTGTGTAAAAAAGAAGACGAAGGAGAAGAAGAAGAGATTAGTCATTGAACAATGTAAATAATCATAGACAAAAGAATGAAAGTAAATAGACGACACGAACAGTAGTAAAAGATGCTGTTTCGATATTGGTTCATGTTACTATTTTTGACATTTCTATTGATTTTACCATTGAACGCTGACCGAAAACCTTCATTTCGAACTACATTTTCATGTTTCAAATGCACACATCATGATAAACCTCAAGAAATGAAAGAAGCAGCATGTATGAAAAAATTTGATTTAAGTAAATATACTCAAGACGAATGTCAAAGTGAAAATGGTCCAGGCAAATGCCTTAAATCATATGAAAAAACGGAAGCACGTACAAAAAAACAAATTGAAGATGATGAACGGTCTGTAACAACACGTAAATGTGTATCACAAGGTGAACTTGATTATTTAAAAAACATACGAAACGTTGATACAACCGACGGATGTCATACGATACGTTCAACGAAAACTAAACATAAAGTTTATTGTTTTTGCTCAACGAATCTATGTAATCATACGCGAAAAAATTATAAACTATCCATATTTAGTCTGTTTTTTTGTCTAATAATTGTTTTATTTTATAAAATAAAAATCTAAAGAACATTCTCGAACAAATAAACGGCATTTTTTTTCATTGCATAATCCCATTAGCAATAAAATATCTATATATATATATATATATATAAATCAATTGTAAAAACAAAATATAACTTCATCATGGCACACATGCAACAGGTATGGTAGTGATGATGGTGACTACTATTTTTATTTAATCCTGTTTTAATGTAGGGACAAATTAATGATGTTGATGAAGCTGCTCAACAAAAATATCACTTTGTTCAAGCAACAAATACTAATGGGCCGAAAAGATATTTGTCAAATTCGAATAAATCAGTTTTTAATTTAAAATGGAAGCCTCCAGGTGCTAAACAAAATCCAATACAGAGTGAACAAATATACATGCCAAATCCAAATCCTGGTTACGCCGTAGCACATGCACCTGTTGAATATTATTATCCGTATGCTCATCCACCTGAGGCTACGAAGAAAAAACAACTGCCGAAAAAAACACGTCAACAGCCAGTGAATGATACAGTAAAAAAACCAATAGGAATAAAACAAAGTGAAAAAGCCGCCAATTTATACAGTAGTAATAAATTGAAAATACAACATTATTATGCTGATTCACCAGATGAAGCAAAACGACTTATTAATGAACTTCGACAAAAAGGCTTTGTCGAAACAGATATTAAAGTACAAGAAAGAGATCCTGATGATAATTAATACGATAATAATAATATTTTAACATTATTATTTATATTCGTATGTAACGGTGAACAGCTGTAAATAATTTTACTTTACTTAATAATAAAATTCAATTAGACATAACCAATCATATGATTGATGGATTTCTAGAGCCGACAGTATTCTGCTTCTATATTTGATATTAATAGCTCCATCAAACGAGGAATTTTGTTTGTTTACTTGTCAATCATGTTATTAAAGATAAGGTCTTAACAACATTTTATAGAGAAGAATGTGGCATTATTTATAGTCGTCATTCGAATGAATAATGACAAATAACTATAGCAATAATTGGATATCAGATTTCGTGGCACTTTCAAGCTGCGTTTTAGTCTGGAAGGAGAAATTGCCCTAAGTGTAGCAGTCTAAGACGAGATAGAAGAAATACGGTAATAGAAAATGTTTTCAGATATTTGATTGACGTATAATAAAACAAATGATATTAGAATTATAGCAGCGAGAAAATCTGTTGTCTATATTTTTTCTGATCGCACATGCCAGAATTCTCCGGGGAATTTCTTCTTGTAGTTGCGATTGCTGTTTTTTAACAGACTTTGTTTTTCCTTTTCGGGTATAATAAGCGTCCTCTTTCGCTCAGACGAATTTAATTCGTCTATTTAACTACCCAATTTCAGCATAACTAAATAACTAAATATATATATATATCTAAATTTCAATTAATATTTCTTTTGATTTATGGCGAATCGTTCAGAGTCTGAAGAAAAAAATCGTAAGTTATTTGAAAATTTCAATTTTTATATCTATTTATTTTATTAGGCAATATTTTTCGTCGTCTTGGTTCTTCCGTTTTGGATATAACCGCAACTACACAGTCCCCTGAACATGATCCACAATTATTTCGTGCAGCATTTATTCATTCAGCAGCTATTATATTTGTTTTCGTAGGCGGTGCATGTGGTCTACTTGCCTATCGAGTATTAGAACCATTTCTTCGTAGTATATTATGGTCAATATTAGCCGGTGCATTTTTGTTTCCATTTAAAAATCATTTAACATTAACAGCTCGACATTATTTACATCAATTGGATACAGATTCGCATGTATTATTTTATGGTTTGGTTGTATTATTACCATTACGAACAATCGATAGAACAATTGAATCAATTTTTCCATATAGTAAAAAAAAATGGAGAGAATTATTAATTATTTTCATATTTTTAATATCGATTAAATTGGTTCAAACCGGTTTTGTTTATCATTGGATATTTATCATCGGGTATGGTTTTATTGAGAAACTTAGTTGTATTGTTCATCTATGCGATTCATTATGGGTGACAGCAGTACTTTTCGGTTATTTAATTTCTGTTCTAACTATGTATGAGAATTCACCGGTGATAAGATTTTTATTAAATCTCTTGGCAATACCAGTTTGGTTTATTCTATTACTTTATCTTTCACAATTTCTTCCAGTTAATTATCGATTGATTGTAGTTATTCTATCGATTATATTAACAGTGGTTGGTTTTGTTGTAGATTTTCGAGAGCGAACTAAACAAAATATTGTTCGTAAGTTGATCAGTTTCTTGTTAATAGGAAAAAAAACAGAGATGTTATAGAGTAATGTTCTCAATTTGACAATTTTGTTTAGAATCGGAATCTACGAATGACAATGAAGGTCGTAAATCAATCTTCACTTATTTCATAAACATATTCTATGGAGTACGAACATCTAATCATGTTACACAAGAACAATCTTCAGTAACTGATACGTCAAATTCTTCAGCGTCTTCTACACCTTATTTTAAATTTATATTTTGGTCTTTAGTAGCCATTAAATTCTATGAAGGGCATTGGTTTCTTGTACGAATATTAATTTTTGTTAGTATTTATACAACAATTAAAAAATTACTCATTATAACATACATTTATTTAACAAGACAAGAAAGTGTTCAATGTTTAATTCAACGAATCATCGAATTCTTACAAGTTCGGTAAGAAGAGATTTTATTTTTCTACAACAATCTTTATTTTTTCTTAAAAATTAGACGTGATGTTTTAACTCCATCACCTTTAAATGGTCTTCTTCGTTTTTTTATCAAAGGAGATAAAAAAATTAATCATGGCCTACAAGCATCTATCGATTATCTAGTTAGCGCATGTATGATTGTTACATTATTGATAACCGTTCTTTTTGGAACAATACTTCTTGTCATACAGGTTTTTATTTTCGAAATGTTTGTATTGAATCTATTTTTTGCTATTTAGATTCATCACGAAAGTATACATATGATTCAATTGACAAGTAATCTTATTAATGAAACACTGGTACTTCAACCATCATTTCAACATTTGTTACCTGATAAAGAACATATGAGTCAACTAATGGATTCAGCTGTGAATAATTTTTATTTTGTTGGTAGAACTTGGATTGGAACGCAGGTTAGTCGAAATAATATTTTACTACTAAATCTTACCAGATAAAATCTCAGAATATATTCGTTGCTTTGATAAAAAAAGACGAATTTTGTATTGTCACTCAATAATGAAGTTCTAAAGAAATTATCATGTTTGAAAATGAATTTTAGATAAATGCATTAAGTCAAGATAGTTCATCGAATACAAAATTAGAAAAAGATGTATTACAATTATGGGATCATTTCTATGAATATATGTCGAATACATCGATATTATTATTACCCGATGAAAATCATAGTACAGCAATTTATTCGCCGATCAATCATACATTGATCATGCCGAATCTTTACTTCCATTTTAGTGATTTATATCATTTAATTCATAATAATTTAGATTTTGTACATAGTGTTCTTGATTCAATTTGGAAGAATACGACACTTCTATTAACATTATTATCAACAATTATTTCTCTACTGTTCACTGGGGGTTTTGCTTTGTTTAATTTTCTTGTTTCGTTTATTGTTTTTGTTACTTTACTTTTCTATTTGTTATCACACTCGGATCAGCCTATCTATCGACCTACTGAATGGTTAAATAATACATTAGCTGTCGGTGGAAAAGGTTTAGGTAAAGCAGTGAACGATGCAGTTACGAGTGTTTTTGTTGCATCATTAAAAATTGCTGCTTTCTATGGTCTTTATACGTATGTATTACATACAGTAGTTGGTTCAAATCTTGTATTTTTACCAGCTGTTATTGCATCGATATGTGCTGTTACTTTAAAATCTTATTGGGCAGCATTACCTGGCTGCCTTGATCTATGGCTTGTACAACAACGACCTTTGGGTGCTTTTATTTTATTACTTGGTCAAATCGCACCAGTTTATGTTGTTGACACAGCTATTTATAGTGAAGTAAAAGGAGGTGGACATCAGGTAAGATTTCACTTTTTCGCTGACATGATCTTTAATTTTAATTTGTTTTCTTAAAAATAGTATTTAACAGCTTTGGCTATCGCTGGAGGTGTTTATTATCGTGGGATCGAAGGAGCTTTAATAGGTCCGATTGTGTTATGTTGTTTATTGGTTGGTGCACGATTATATAATGAAACCATGGCGACGACACTGTCTCCAAATCATGAACAGGAGTCACCAAAATCTTCATCAAATCCTACAGTGCAACCTGTAGTTCCTTCACATAGTGTACAAAGCACTATGATAGATTAATTTCATTGCATGCATAATAAGTATTGCTTATTTTTTAGTAGCATTTAGGCCATGCTTCGTGATTTATTTTCTCTCAAGTGTTTGCTTACATAAATAAAAATAGATAAAACTGATTTACTTTGTAGATGAATTCATTTTGCTCAGCTAAAATAATCTCACCATCTAGAGAATGTGGGCGTATCAGTCTTCTTTTAACGCTCACACCCACCAATCAATTTTAAAACAGCACCGCTTACGTTAGTGAACATACAGTAAAACATCAGGTGAATATGTCACGAACAATTTCTTTTCATTAATTGAAAGATAAACAAAAAATACGTTTAATTCTAATAGAAAAACACTAGTTAATAATGAAATTTCTCACATGCAGATTTATCAATTTTAAACATTTGAATACGATAGTTCGACATATCAGCTACATACAAGTTACCGGTTCGGTCAAATGACAAATCAAATGGTTCACTAAGTTGATTAGATTTATCGCCTGATTCACCGCCTCCCATAATAACTATGCCCTCTTTCTTTCCTTTTAAATAACGCATCACCCGATTATTCACAGTATCAGTCACGTAAATAGAGCCCATTTGATCAACAACAAGTGAAGTAGGAAATGATAACTGATCGAGTTCACTATCTGACTCATTCCCACCAGCAATCAGAATACCTTCTTGTGCATTATCGATCCATTTCATGATTCGGTTATTGAGATGATCGGCTATATATACGGATCGATCTTTATCAATAAACGAATAGTAGGGCGAATTGAGCTGGTCCAAATCTGAGCCCCGTCCATGTCCACCGGCTACAATTTTTTCACTGGTATTCGTTCCAATATGCCACCGACTAACACGATGTTCACCAAAATCAGTAACATACAAAAATTGATCACTGTCAATCATCAAGCCAGCACAAGAAATATTTGAAATATATATCTCTCCCTTCGAAACACCTAGAGGCCATCGGATCACTCGGCGATCTCCATAATCACAAATGAACATTGTTCCATTCTTATCAATAGCAAGATCAACGGGATTAAAGATACCATCGTCAGTGCCCTTTACATCGGCTACAACCACACCATTTTTAGATGATGAGTCCCATTTTATCACTCGCTGATTTGCTTGATCGGCAACATAGACTGAACTATCATCTTCATTAATAAACAACCCGCTGGCAAAGTCAAGTTGATTTAATTCACCACCAATTCCATTTCCGCCAGCAACAGTTATTCCATCCCGTGACCATACTGCCTTTTCACAGATTCCATCTGAAGTTGGAGCTAAAAAACAAGAAGAGATAGACGTCTGAAAATTTGATGTATTTCACTAATTACTTGTTGCTGTTGTTATTTCTTGTATTGGTGGACACATGGTATTTGTAGTCATGCTTATTGGATAGCATAGAGGATGTACTTGACATTGTGGATGTTGAACACATACATGATCAGGTTGAAGACATGCTTGGTTTTTACCAAAACACGAACTTAGTTCTGAACATCTGACATGAAGAAAACTGCATTTGCCTGCATTGGTATCACCCGGTAGTTTTAGACATCTGCAACCGGGATTTGATGAACACTGAGAATATTGAGTCAATCCTTGACATGTCTGTGTTTTAACTAAAACTAGACAATAGATACGTAAAGACTAGTCACATAGAAATTTTAAGCAATACCTAAGACGCTAAACAAAATAGATATTAGATTATAGATAGATAAAGAGTTAAATATTATCATACTTGAGAATGACAATAAAGAATAACATGACGCGAGATTGCATTACACGCTGATCATATGTAGTCGTATGACTCATTTTCTTTCTGCAAAAATAAAACACTAATTTTACCAGAAAATTGGAATAAAAAACATCTATTTAATCGATCTTTAACTCCTATTCTTACAATGTGTCAAAAGAAAAAGACCTATACGATATGAGAATCATATTGTAAAAGAGCTAGGTCGCTCTTTTATTATAATTAGACTACTTTCAAGTTTTTCGCCTCATGCAATTTTTTCGCTCAATTTCAGTCACGAGACGATTTCGTTTTGTCAACTCTTATCATAAAAGCCTAAAACAAGGAATCTAGCAAGAAAAAAAACACGCGAAGTACAACATCAAACAGAACAAATAGACTACTTTTTTCTTCTTCTACATAAATAAAAGATAACAACAATTTGTTTTAAAGAATAGCTTCATACTGCGTTGTTTTCGCCTAAACAAGTTACAACAAATCAACAAAAGAAAGCATTCACTTCACATGTTATTCTAATAGTAAAATTCAGTGGAAATTCGGTTTTGTATAAAATTGACTGTAAACAAACTAATGCATTTTCAAACCGAAGGGTGTGCGGGTATCACTAAAAGACGAATGGCAAATCAACACGCACACCAAACATTTAATCATTTAATTTACAGTGAATTCAATGTTAAATAGAAGTTGCACTTAAGCCACTATCATTACAACAAAAGTTTGCTCAATCGACTTCACTGATTTGACCGATATTTTTATAGTAGGTAACCCAGAAAATGTTAGGAAGAAACTAAAAACTTCAACTCAAATGGATGAACCATTCTTAAGATATAGACATTCGAAGTAAAATGGTGTACAGTTTCTTTATATGCCAACAATTTTAAGTAGATTTTCATTTTCTTGCGAACGATCCGAATTATAGTAAAACATTTTTCACCGCAAATATTATCAACGATGAGCTACCGTTTCACGATATTGAAAGTATCTCGCGCTGGAAACAATTTGCTCGATAACATAGCTCTGGCTCAGAAATCAGGGCCACAATGTATAGGGCGAATTCAAGTATAGTCTCATATGAAAGAGCACATTAAACTGCATCGAATGGTGTATTCAAAACTTTTGCTTGCAAAAACAAAGTTGCCCCAGGTCTAACATACACGGTCGTATACGACGGTAAATCGCCGTATTTGGCCGTATTACATGGCTCCGTATTACGATCGTAAATCTCCGTGCCGTATACGGCGCTTTACGGTCGTTTTTGATCGTATTATGACACGGAGATTTACGATCGTAATACGGAGCCATGTAATACGGCCAAATACGGCGATTTACCGTCGTATACGGCCCGTATTTCACCGTATACGGACGTCGTAAAGCTCGTCCTGGGTGTAATCGCTATTTTTAGTAAATAGCGATGCAGAGTTCTTGTTCTCGGAACATGAATCTTGCTCATTGGATTCTCTACACTTCTACACGAAAACATCCTAAATCACACTTATCGAATAAGCAAAGCATCCAGTCCAGCACAGTAAAGACACACTAGAACCTCAGTTTTCTCGAACATCTAATTTTGTTTTCCACAAAGGATTTGAACTAAATAATTAGGTAAATACAAAGCTAGCTATATTATCTGGTAGGACGTGAATTTCTGCATCTTTTGATGTATTATCAATAGGCTGAACTATAAAATATTAAAAAAGCATATATGGTAAAACATTATTAACATCTTTTTAGTGAAAAAAAAACGAGTTCTTTTAAAATGATTAATAAAAATAACAGAAGATACAAGAAATTTAACGAATTCTGTATTACAGTTCACTTAAAGAGCTTTTATCATGAAGCAAATCCATATAACTAGTACAGGGGAAATATAGTTATTTTCTTTATTTTAATTGGTGAATGTGAACTAAACTGTAGATAGATATGGACATGGTACTGACAACACCAATAATGGAAAACAGATCAAATATGTCAATAATCGGATTGTTGCTACACGATGAGTAAATAAAAAGATCAGCGAAACCATGATGAACACCACCATTTGCACTAAAAAGGTTGATATTGAAAAATCTAGCTAGAATTATATGTTTCAAACACTTACTGAAAGCACCAGTGAATTTAATTATTTTGAGCATGAATTAAAATGGAATGAATTTTGGAATAATATCTGGAGCTGATCCAATATAATTAGATATTTCTTTTCCTTAGTATTTAATTGCTCTAAATATTATTCGTACCATCCTAGGTAGAGGACTACCGACTTTGTTTACAACTGTAAACAAACGTATACCCTCGTTATTCGATCGTATCCGGAGAAATACCGATCAAAACAGAGATCGTTTACGAATTCTGTATATAGGACAGTAAACGACCGTGCTTGTTAGGTCTGAGATGATGAGTGGAAAAGGATAATTGTTGTGGAATAAAATCACCAAATATATCGAATATACTAGGGGTGTAACCAGAAAAAAATTGTAGGGGGGGATAAGTCGTTGGTCAAAGCCATGGTAGGGAGGGCTAAACTTATTTTTTTCACAGGGTTTTATTTTTTCTAGGGGGGGCTAAGACCTCTTTAGGGGGGCTGAGCCCCCTCCTGGCCCTCCTCTGGTTACGCCCCTAGAATATACTTAGGTGAAGTTAGCAGTGGATTCGTTCATGCACATGTTCCTAAAAGAATCGACACTGTTAGTTCATCTACGTGTAGTGATGGGCCGTAAGACGTAAAAGGCGTTATACGTTTCGTTATCGTATCGTCGTATGTATATGTATCACGACAGAACAGAAAAGAAATATCGTATAGTTACGTACTGAACGTAACACAAAAAAGACATAACTCAAGAAAATGCGTATAACTGCGACGAAACGAAAATTGTACATAAGAATTACGTAATGATTCATATTGAGGAAGAAAATATTCGATTTTGTGATTATGTTCACCATATTCTGTTGTAATAGATCCTCGACTTTTTCAATGGACTAGTCTATATTATTTATAGCTCAAGTTCATAAATTTATTTATGTCAGCTTTAAAGTTCAAATGACTTAGTAGCAAAAAAAATAAAGCAAAACTATGAATATATTAAAGTACATACGATTAGCTTAATCTACATTTTTTGGTAAGTTTTTGTTGAGAAATAATAAAACATCAGCATTTTCAGGTGTTAATCAAGAACGTCGATCTGATGTTAAATAACCAGATGCTGAGAACATTCTTTCCGAAGTAACACTACTAGTACTATGCCATTAGATTGAATTAAACCGAATTAACTTCAGTTTAAACTTTGTACTTGTTTAGACTTTCCTCTTAGCGGAATTCATTGATTTGAGTTTTAGTCCTATTTTGTTTATGGTTAGAAAATCTTGTTGTTATTTTAGTCATAGAGAAATCTTAAAAAGTTTATGTTGCGTGCTGTTCTATAAAAGAGAATCAAACATTAAAATTAAAATGTCTGATGTCTTATAAGCAAATTTTTTAAACAAAGACTGAAGATAATTTCTTCGAATAGATGATATTTTTCACAACTCTAATGTTCTTATTTAAGTTTTGTAAAAGATGAATACGTAGGTGTACATATACATATAGACATGTAATGAAAATGCGAAACCTTCTTGTTTTTATTGTGTAACATACGTTTATTATGTTACACCACGTTATGCGTAAAAAAATACATGCATCGTTGATATCGTTTAACTGTTCTTTTATTGTACATTTGTATCGTGTACATGACGTAATAACGCAGAACAGAGCGAAAACGTAAATTGTGCACGATATAACGTAAAGCGTTACGTCAAGTTAACGTCATAGTCGAACAGAAAGAAAAAAATACCCTCATTACAATATGCTTTTTTTCTTTCCTTTCTTCTTACATTGTGATAACCGATGCTCTACCGCAATAGCCGAATATGTTTCGTACCATCACTATCTACGTGCCACTGTTACGGATGTTTTCTAAAAGTAAAAATCGTATGTAGTCGTCATCAGTATCATCATATGATTCTGTCTGAAACATGCTGTTTTAAATACCATACACTGCAAAAATTACAATATGAACACTCGTTTTTGATCTATTTCTAGTTAAAGAAACAGAATATCATGATGCGTTACCAGAATCTATTTTTATTATTGATAAATGGATGTACTTAAAAATATACTTGCACTATCAACTACTGTATAATGACTGAGTGTGGGTGTGAATGAATATAAGACTCACATCCGCAGCGACATCCCAAAAAACTTTTACTCCAACATTCATACCAGTGACATGCTTGTTACTAAACAGTAAAAAAAGTAGCATAATTTCTCGCAACATTATTCCGCCACGACATTCTTCTTCTTCAACGTCAACTTTCGATATTTATTCAAATTTTCTTGTCTTCTGTATAAAGTTCTTTATGCAAACTATACGTTTTCTCGCAAAAACAACTTTCTACTACTTTTACTCACGCTAAATCTGAGCCTTCTTTACATTGAGCTCACAATCCAGGAGAATGATTCAAATAGTAGGATCCTATGTGTATCTGGGTGTGGGGCCTACGATTGGAACCCTTGTGTTGAAATCCGATCGGTTCCAGTGTCGGAATTTAACAGAATCCAACATAAGCATTCGAACCACGTGTTCTTTTGAGATCATATGCTAATTCATTCACCTGGGACGAAACTACGAAATTTTCATGATGCCTAGAGCGCCTAGTGTTATTTATTATGCAAAAATATTCAATTGAGTCTGACTTGATTTCTTTGGGATATGGAAGAAACAAAGTGAACAAGCGTTACTCTACTTCGCTTAGACAGGCCGGCAAATAAAACTGTATAGAGTAAAAATAAAAAAACGAAAACGTTCGACGGTGATTATGAAGCCTTACATACAGTTACATTCATTCGAATGCAAATATTATTACAAAAACGTTATGCAATTACGGTTATGGCGTACATTTTGGTAATAATATATATATATATATATCGACGACAAAAATATTTTTTGTTTTGCTTTATTATTCACGATTCTAATCTTTTAGAAAAACTGTTAAATACTTTAGTCTGTATGGCATCTGAAAGCGATAAATTCAATCAAACATCAGAGACAGAAGATGCACTGGTGCTGATGACTAATCGAGAGAAAAAACGACTAAAAATGTCGGAATTAGAAAAGAATCTTGTATTAACCAATCAACAGCGAAAACAACTGGATATGGAACAACAAGTCGATCACCCACCAGAGAAACGAATCACAAATCAAGAGCGTAAACGGTTAGAAATTGAGGCTGGCATTAGTCAGCAAAAAGGACGTGACCGAGACGGATCGAATCAGGTACTCTATCCAAGCACATTCTCTGGTCGAAAATCTTGTAAGCAAGGTGACCTTACTTACAAGATTTTCGACTAGGGAACTCATCAAGGTATTTCACAGATTCAAGGACAAGTAGATGACCCAGCAGAGAAACGAATCACAAATCAAGAACGGAAATGGTTAGAAATTGAAGCTGGTATTAGTCAGCAAAAAGGACGTGGTCGAGACGGATCGAATCAGGTACGTCATCCAAGCACATGGACTCACCTAGGTATTTCACGGAGTCGAGAACAAGTTGACGACTCGCCAGAAAAAATAATCACAAATCAAGAACGAAAACGTTTAGAAGAGGATACAGTTGGCACAAAAATTGGTTACACATCAACTACTGGCTATTCAAATGAAAGAAAAAGCTATAGAAGTCAATGTAAAGTACCTGCCAGTTATAAAGATGACGGATGTGCCAAAGAACCAAGAAGACGTGTGGTCCGTCGTATTCGCCCACCGAAAGACTCACCGCTTGATCTATTTGGTAATCCAGCGAGCTCTCAGTATGACTTGGCTCAGGACGGTTCAATGTACCCGTTTAGGCTGTTAATTGGGAAATTTTATAATGGAGAGGGTTTTACTGTAAAATCGTTCATCCAACATGTTGGTCAAATGCTAGATCAAAAAGGTTTCGACTGGTATATTACAGAGGAAGAAGATGACTTTTTAGAAAAACTGAATAGTGGCGATTACATTGTAGCTTGGATAATTAGCTTTTGTTCACTGCCCACACTAGTTGAGCAGTTTTCAGCAGCGATTTTAAAGTACCACAATGCCGGTAATGGTCTATTCCTGTTCGGCGAGAATGATATTGCATCTTTGGATAAGACGAATATCGCATTGCAAGCAATATTCGGTTCCGAATACCTATTAGAAGGAAATACACCCGGCCAGGGTACATTGAAACCAAGCCCTGACCCATTTACATCTGGTCATTTTCTACAAGATCATTTGATCATGGCTGGCATCGAATCATTGTATGAAGGAATAACAATATGTTATCCAAGGGCACAACACTCTGAGCTACAAGTGCTAGCAACTTCAACAAATGGTCATTCTTGTATCCTCTGTCGCGATATTGACGACAGCAAAGGAAGAGTGGTGGTTGATGTTGGATTTACAAAACTATTTGAGCAGTATTGGAATACAGCTGGAACGGGACGATATGTAATCAATGTTTCATGTTGGTTAACAGGCGTGAATTTTATTGACTAAAATATGGAATCATAATTTGACCGAAAAACGATATTACTCAAAAATGATGTTACTAACGCGGTGCGAGTGAAACTAATTTACTCATGAGAGGCACATCCATTATTGACTAATGTAAATTACAGACGATATTTTAAAAATGATATTCATAAAAATTGAAAGCAAATGTGTCGTAGATGCAACAAAACAAGTCATTGTAAAACAGTATTCAGTAGATTATCTAAAAGAAAAATGCGTCACTACTTATTATGTCACTATTGTTTTTAATCTTTCTGATAATTCTATCTTATTTACACGATATGTATGAATTTAATTTAACATTCAATCAATCTAATAAGTTACCCATCACAACCAGATAACTTCAATCGACAGTGTCGTAAAAATTTCGTTGCGAGTTTTTGTAAGCTTGAGTAAACTTTATAAAAGCAGCAACATTTGCTTTTTTAAAATCAAATGATTCGTTGATATATTTATGAGTGCTGCAAACGTTTAATTATGTCTCTAGCAAAGACTGTAAAGAACGGCTGCGCTATAATTTTTGAATTTATCGAATAAGAAGTACATTCAATATTTTGTGAACAAACTTTTTATAATTTTCAAATGAAATTTTCAAATTTGTTTTCTTCGATTTAGTCCTTTACTGATAGAAGCTTTCATGTCTTTTCAGTATGATCTCAGCTTCTCTTGATATTGACGAGTGATGTAAAAATCAGAAAAATGATAGATCCCTGTTGAATAACTGAAGTCATTGAAGTGCTCGCATATACAAAATCGGCATTTATTCTTATAAAATGCGTGTCACAGTAGCATGTAAAAGTTGATAGTAGCGCCTGTTGTTGTTATTGGTTGTTAATATTGAGTTTTACTGGTCTGTTCTTTTTTTTTTCATTTGAGTTCTATTTACTTATCCCATCGAGTTTTTCAAACAGCTCTTTAAAAAACCATGAAAGAAATGGAAGATTTTATTTTTGTTGTCAATTATTAGTGAGAAATGAAAAGGGCTTATACAATATTGTCGATCTTTGCGAAGAGATTAATATCTTTGTAGATCTCATCGTATACTTTAATTTATTAAGATTTTTTTCTTCTTATGCTTAAATCAAAAACTAGAACTAAGGACACATATTCTGTAATTTATCGAAGCATTTTCGAATTATTTTAAAAAAAGGAAATTTTTTCTCATTGAACTCTTTTCTTGCAAACAGTATGATATTCACCTTAGAGGTGTAAATTCCATCGGAATATTCGTATGTTGTTATTAACTTTTCTTTTATGCAATTATCAATTTGATACAAATATGATTTCAACTTGAAAAATATTTATCCGAGAAATTCTTAATTTGCCACTCGAATGAGTGGATATATTCCATGAATCATCTTTGTATTTTTCCATTTCTTACAAATCGACTTGAATTGATTGGAGCGAATTAGATTTTCGATGATGGTATTGGTTTCTGAAATGAATTATCTTGCTTACTGCACAGGATATTGACTGCTGGTGTAATAACATTTTCCCCTTTCTACTACACGTGTTAGATTTTCTGTTCTCTGGGTATTTTTTTGCATCGTTCTTTCTTTCTCTACAGTTTGTTCCTATTCACAAAGCAAAATAGAATAACGTGATGAAAATTTTGCTGTTTTTTTAAAAATTTCTTCATTGTAGATACCGTCTTGGAACGATGTCACGATTAGGTGATGATATAATTTCTGTATTTCTTGATCGAAGACAATGTGTATTGACCGATACCGACGTATTCAGAGCACTCAATAGCCAAGGCATTTCATGTACTGTTGAAAGCGTACGTCAACAAGTACAATTACTCAGTCCAGCATTGTTTCATTTAATGTCAAATGAAAATCGAACAGTAACAATTAGTGTGGATCCTAAAGTAAATTATTTTTATATTCTTCACTGCATGGAATTCATGATAGATTTTGTTTAGATTGAAATTTGTCAGGGATATCTTGGTAATCATTGTCCAGCTAAACCAAATCCATGTGAGCGACTTCATATATGTCGGCATTTTGAAGGCAACTGTCCATCAGCGAATTGTACTTTTCCACATGATTTTTCTAAAGGATATAATAGAAAGATTATTGCAGAACATCACTGTCAATTTATAAATCCTTTATTACTTATCAAACTTCTTCGTCTTAAAAAATCTTCATCAGTAAGAAATTTCTGCATGATTTTGAACTAATAAAAACAAGATATCTATTTTTCGATTAGATACCTCCACCAAGACAAGGAATACCTACTGGATTTAATTCTAGACCAAGAGGGCGTGGTCAAGGACGTGGCCGAGGACGTGGTCGACGTCGCGGTCGCGGTGGTCGGTTTGTCAATAATGAAAGTTTTAGAAACCTTATCGCACAAAAATTTGATCCTCATCGACAAGTAGATGTCAGTTTTCCATCTTCGAATCTTGCTCAGCAAATCAATATAGAAATTATTGAAATGCTTCTCAGTGTACATGATATAAAAATCGAAGACAGATTCAATGAAGGTGAAAATGAGTATTTTCGTCGAGTCACAATTCAATTAGGAGAAACTAACGGTAAACATTTCATTATGCCTTTCGCATTTTTTTTAAATATTGTTTTTAGATGTTGAAAAATTACTTAACTTATCCCCGATTCCATACGATGGTGTCGATATAAAATTCAAGCGTACTCATCAAATCATTGATAAAACAAGGCTTTTATTGAAAACATCGATTAATAATGAGCACGATAAAATTATTTCATCTCGTATTCAACTTTATTTAAGTACACTTATTAAAAATAATCCCATAAGTAAAATTGTGGATCTTTCAAATGAGAATGAACAAATCGTATTTGTGCAATGTGATAATGATATAGGTAATCTTACTTTGTAAAATTTTATTTTCCAAAGCTTGTCATTTTATTTTTTTACTAGATTTCAATAGTGTTCGTCAAGCTCATAAATTAAAATCAGAACTATCGGGCAAACATCTAATATTAACACAAGCCTATGAATGTGATGCATTAGAAATTCATTATAACGAAAAAAATAAATCAATAACTGTTGAAGATTTACAAAGAATTCTCAAATCTGCTTGGAACGATATATTTGCTTTGAATTTTCCAACAGGTGATCATGCGGAAGTTGAATTTATTAATGTTCAAGGTATGAAAATATCGTAAGAGTTTCAAATTTTACTATAGAACTTTAAATCTATTTCAGCTTTTAAACAATGGCTGTCAAAAGTCGAACAAGTCGAAGATCAATTTCAGGTGACGATTACTCCAATGATTGATTGTGTTGATGAAACAAATGATTCAGGAAGCGTACATTCAGCAACAACTGTAGCATCGAATGTTGATTCTCGTTCGACTGCCTCTGCTGGATTAGATAATAGAAATCGCTTAACAACAATTAAACTTATTCCTGATTGGAGTATGATTGTTCGTCATCCAAAATTTCAACTTGAATATAAAGAATTTATTCGTAATTAAAGTTTAAATTACTTTTTTCCCTCTTAATTCTAGTCGCTTGATAATTTAGATCGTGAATTTGGTGGTGATATTGAGATTCAAGGAGATGAAGTTACATACAATGGAATGTTTCCTCGACATCTTCATGGTTCGGACAATAATGTTATTCTTCGTGATAAAACCAAGGATTTCATGCAAAATTTTGTATTTCGAACATTGCTTAAATTAGAACGACATAATATTGATATCCTTGAAGCCAACTCAGCTGATGTGGCATTTAGTTTTATTGACGTGAATGTTTATAGGTTAGCGACCCGATCAAATGAAATATCGAAATTCATGAGTAAAATTTTTCCTAAAAACAACCAAGGTTCACAATTGGGGCCGTCTCCACGGCCAACTCATAAGTAAGTCATGTAGAAAAATGAAGTAAATAGGAGATTGATTCGTTTTCTTCTCTATTTATTTATGAAAGTCCCATATAAATTCGTATAACATTTTTCTATTCCTATGTTCCAGCTCATCATTACCTCCAACTTTACAATTAAAACCAAACAAAAAGTATGTTTTCTCAGGAATTTTATTTCAATATAAATGCATTTTTACATTTTACTTGATAACTTCTTAGTGCTTCGGTTGCTTCATCAGGACCGGCCACTTCTATGTATCCACTAAATACACCAGAACAAATAAGCATGTTTTCAATAGATAAATTCGAAGAACGTCTACGACAATATCTACAAGAAACATTTAATACAAAAGGAACATTTGAGCGAACTGGCCATAATAACAATGAAAAATCGAAGGGAATAGCAAATCGTATTTTAATTAAATTAATGGGCCAAACGAATGATGTTGAAAATGCACTTCAAGATTTAGATAATTTATTTTCATCGTTACATACAAAGATATTCAATGAACAAACTAGTAAGAAAACGGTTAAGAATTTTTCGAAAAACAACTTCAAATTTGATAATATTTAGGCAGTGATTGGATCAATATTGACGAAGCAATACAGGTTATTGAATATCATATACATCTTGCCAACTTACTTTGTGCATGCCAAAAAATAGCTCCAAAGAAAGTATATATTCATTATTTTGATGTAACAAATCCACAGTTTGGTGTTGATGAACAAAACATTGACGATTTAATTCAAGATCAATTCAATACCGTAACAATAACATACAATCAAGAATCAGAATCATCCAGATTTAGGAAAGAATGGACAAATTTAGAGAAAAAAATTCTTCAACGAGCTGACTATAAGAAAAATATTTGTCTCTACAAAGACTCAAATACTGTTTATTTATTTGGCTTGAAAGATTTAGTTCAAAAAATTCTTCGAGAATTCCAAGTACTTCAAAATCAACATGATCCAAAAATATGTAAAGTTACTCTGTCAGAGAGAAAAGTAAGAACATCAAACAGACCTCGAACTTTTTGAAATTATTGCATCTCGATTTTGTTCTTTTGTTTTAGCTCAAGTATTTAACATGTGTTGCTAAAGCTGATTTGAATAAACTTGCAAAAAAATATAAATCAGATGGATTGGATTTAAATTTAACTCGTTTACGTCAAAATGGTGAATTCATTGCACCGACGGATATTCATTCCGAAATCACAGAAAGCCTTGAAGCATTAGCACAAATAAACGAGAATTCATTTGAAATCGATGAACCTGGTTTTGAAATACTTGTCAGTAAAGAACCAGAACGACTTCTTACTATTGTAAATTCAAAATGTTATCTTGAAAAAACGATTGAAAGTCGTCGTATTCATATTCTCATACCTAAAGCTCGAATAACTGAGTTAAGCCATGGAATTAAACAAAGTGCCAGTTCTAGTGCAGTTGCAAAAGCGTTACCAACTTCAACAAGTGTTAATGTTGGTCATTCGAAAGTAACGATTCTAATTGGTGATTTAGCAGCACAAGCAGTAAGCTTTACAATTCAATAAATGACTTTTTCCCCTTCATTTCATTATAGGTTGATGCCATTGTAGCCTGTTCTTCATCAGAATATTTATGCAAAGATATAGTTAGTAAAGCCGGTGCTCAAACAATGAATGAATATATTCAATTGAAATCTTCGAAGCAATTTCCGGGCTCAACCACTGGTGGTACGTTATCGTGTAAAGAAATCTATTTCATTCCATGGTCGCCAGACTCACATGATTCGGCTGATGTTAAATCATCTTTGCACAGCTTTGTTTCAGCAGCTTATACGCTTGCAATTGCAAAAGGAAGTAAAAGCATGGGTTAGTTCAAAAATATTTGTATATATTAGTTTCTTAGATTTGGTTATTCTATATACGATTTTAGCATTTCATGCTGTTGGTTGTGGAAAAATGAACTTCGATGCATCTACGATAGCTAAATATATGCTACGTGAAACCAGAAAAGAACTGATAAAAATAAAAATAAAGATGAATATTTCATTTGTTCTGCTACCCTCGGAACAGAATGTATATGATCAATTTGTTAAGCATCTTAATCAAATGGAAACTGTAGATCTACTGGTATCTTATAAAAGTCCAACGAAAAAACAAGACGATCAATCAACCATGGCATATGATAAAAAAAGTACAAAAAATTCCTTTTGTTAATTTACGCAATGTCTTTTTTTAAATTTTGTTTAGTTATAAAAATAACCTTAATTAGTTCAATCGAGAATCATCTTATGGAATGTAAACAAGATATTATGGATTTAGCTCGATCGTTTTCAACAAAATCACAAATAACCAATAAAGACGATATTCTCAATTGGTCACAAGATACAATCAATAAATATTATGATTATTGTTTAAAACAAGGTGTCGTACCAACACTAGATCTTGAAAATGTTTCACTTGAATTGGCTGGATCAAAGGATGCAGTAATATTTAAACAGCTTAATTAAATATCTAATAATAATAAAAATGAAATTTTAGGTACATGAAGCTGAAAAATATTTTTTAGAATTAAACAACGAAACATTAAAAGAAGCACATATGCACAGTGTTGCACGTAGCGTTGTTTGGTCAGTTGAACAATCACCGAGCACCGACATTTGGGAACAATATTCATTTAAACTCAATGGAATGATTGAAGATGCTTTTCTCAAAAAACATTTGCATGTCTGTACTATGAAAAAAATTTTTTTTACATCCGCAGTCGAATGTATGCTTTTGTATTTTAGTTAGATTTTCAGAATGATGCAGACGAAAAATGCCGAATAGTATTTTCTTCAATGGAACAGCATCATGGAAGTATAATTCGTCGTGTACGTCGTAAAAATGTTGATTCGACATTACCAGAGGTTAGTAAAAGTTTTTTATTTTGAATTGTCTTTTTAATAATTCTTTCTCGAATTGAAGACATGGGAAGGTTCAGATCAAAATTGTAAGCGAGTTACATTACAACCATCGTCAAACGAATATCAAGATGTACTTGCACGATTCCATGCGACGATGCTTGGTAAATATTTGCAAATTGTTAAAATTGAACGAATTCAAAATGAACGATGGTACAAACAGGTATACAAATTCATGTTTATGGCGAAGGCTTGAGCACTCTACCTTTTAAAAATTCGTTTTTTTAGTATGATGCACATCGTGAAGATTTTAAACGACGCTATCCAAATACTGTTGAACGTTTACTATTTCATGGATGTCCTAGTACATCGGCTGATCAGATAATTCAAGAATGTTTCAACAGATCATTTGCTGGTGTTAATGGTAAATACAAATTATTTTTTTAAATATACTGAAAAGCTATTTTTTAGGTGTTGCATATGGTAATGGAGTCTATTTTCACACGAATGCTATTTACAGCCATCAATATGCAAAACAGGGCAACTCCGGGGAAAGAACGATATTTTTAGTACGTGTTCTTATTGGAAAAACTTGCAAAGGAGATCCAAGTATGAAATCACCTCCGTCCGGTTATGATACAACTACAGATGGAAAAGATATTTTTGTGGTATATCATGATGCTGGTGCCTATGCAGATCATTTGATAACTTATAAATGAAGATTTTTTTATGTTGTTTTTTGTTACTTTTCTTTTTTTCTAAAGGTTTATAACCGAGTTTACCTTCTAATCGTTATATTTTCTAATTCGATTGAAATAATCTTCTCATTTTAGAACTTATATTGTTCATATTTGTAAAACAATGGCATTTGCATTGAATGTACCTAATGAAATTTTGAGTGTATTTGATAATTCACATCGAAATGAAATGAAATCTAATGATTTACATAGAATTTTAAACAATCGAAATATACAGATCTCGATGGATGAAATCATCCGAACAGTTCGTTCATCAAGCCTTTCAAATCTTTTCAATGTTCAATCTTTATCAAACGATTCATATGTAATACAATTGAATCCAAAAGTAAGAACACTATTTTTAGAAAAAAAATCATCTAATAAGATTTTTGATTTGGCTCTATAGTTAACACTTTGTAAACATTTTTTACGGAAAGGTTGTAAAAATAAAATGCAATGCACAAAACTACATGTATGCCGTTTTACAAGCCATACTTTCAATAGACCCATTGACAAACCTTGTTATTATCCGCACAAACTTAGTCAGCACTCAAATAATGTCCTTCTATTAAAACGATTTAATTATGATACATTAGATGAAGAGATTCTTCTTCGTTTACTTCGTCTTCATTATACAATCACTAGTCAACAAGTAGAATCAATAAATAAGTTTTTTTTTTTAATTTATATTTTTTATCGTGATTTCTAGGCAGTCAATGAGAATCATATTAATTCAAGTCGACCATCATCATTTCAGCCCAGTCGTCTGCATTCGAATGATTCTCAAGTAAAAGGACCGATTCATCCATCAACGCCACCCTCACAATTGAATAAACCATCTGTCATAACAGACAATGTTATAGAACGACAATTAGACATCAGTATTCCATCACAACAAGATGCCAATGATGTTGATCTTGAAATAGTTGAACTTATTTTAGCAGGAAAAGATATTATTATTGAACGAATATTAGAAAATCAAACATCAAATGAATTCTATCGTCGATATACAATTCAACTTAAAACAAAACAAAGTAATTCATAGATCTATTTAACATTCTGTTGAAGAATCGAATGAAACTTTTTCCTTTGTTTTCCTTCTCCTATTCAGTTATTGACAATATACTTCAAAATGAACCAATTATTATGTACAATAATATTCCGATCAAAATGAAACGAACAATACGGCAAAAAGATAAATGTATATTTGCACTTAAATTCGATACCGATCAAAAGATTGATGATACACGATTGAATCTATATGTGAAAACACTCGTTGGAAAAGTTCATTCTAATGTATTTGATATGACAAATGACGGCAGTGATGAACAATTACATCTTATTCGATGTGATGAACCGATTGGTATGTATTTAGATTATTGATATAGCGAAATTTCAAAAGAATATTGTTTTTTATCTTTTAGACTTCGAACATTTGCATAAAGCACATAAAGCTAAAAACATTTTACAAGGTTACCATGTAACTGTTATTGAAGTATATGAAGCTGAAGCTCTTGCAGTTTCGTTTGTAAATCGTTCATTGCATCAATCAATGACTTTATCACGATTACGCCAATGGATTGGTGAACATCGTTGGCAGCAAGATGTTTTTGCTTGTCTTTGTATTCAGAATGGAACGAATGCAGAGATCGAATTAATGAGTCCTGAAGGTTGATCTATTGTTTTGCTGAATTTTTAAAAAAATAAGAATCCTTCGTCTCTTTTTTTTTCATTCATAGTTACGAGTAAATGGTTGTCCGAAGCAAGTAGAATCGAAAAAGATCTGTCACTTGTAATTCATCCGATTATTGATTTTATTCGACCACCGGAAACAAATGAAGATGACCAAGATGAAGAAATAATAAACTTGTTGACTAAAACAAAACTATCTCCATCCATTTCACCATCATCTTCAATAGGCGATTCACGAAAAGGAGAAAACGATCAAACTTCTTACGAAATTAAACCCGATTGGCGTGTTGTTCTAACACATCCAACATTTGGTGATGAATATAAAAAATACATTCGTAATTATCATCTTCGTTGATTTCATACGTATCTCTACTTACCTCTCATTTCGATTATTTAGGTGAAAATTTAAATATTTCCGTTCAGATCACTGGCTCATCAATTCAACTGCCGAATCCTCAGATTCGCAAAGAATTCGCACGTTATACAAATATGTTTATTCAAAAATTTATCTTTCACGAAGTGAGCAATTTAGATGGAGTTCAAGTTAAAATTATCAAAAGTAATTACACACGAATGGCACATAAATGGCAACAAAATACAAACATAACGTTAATTGCTGCACGCCGTGATACTATGGCTGAACTTTTTCCAATCCTTTCGTCACCAAATCAACAACAAAACAAAACAAGAACGACTCCGGCATTTACACATAGGCCACCGTCAACTCCTCAAAAACACGAACGACAATCAACACCACTCATTGCTGAACAACCACGACATGAGTATGAAGTTTATTGATTTTGTTTTAATTCTCATTTTCTTTGTAGATCACCTACAATCCAAATAAAATCAAATAAAGATCAAATCCAAACGCTTTCCTATCCAATAGAAAATTCTGTTTATTTTCCTTTTTTCTCTTTCACAAATTCATTTCCGGGGCGCCTTAATACTTATCTATCGAATTCGTTTAATATAAAATTAGATATAAAACCAGTATCGTCGACAAAAATTGTACTTGAACTTATTGGTCAACCTAAAGATGTGTCTGATGCTCGACCCGTTTTGACATCGTTATTTGCATTATTAAAAACAAAAACTTATTCTGATCCGAACGATTGTATGTTTAACAGTTTCAATTTTTTACTATTTCTATGATACGTATTTTAGCTTGTAAATTTTCTATACCCGATCTTTATCGTGTCGTACAATTGCGACTTGATAAATGTTCTATAGTAGCATCGTGCAGTTTTTCAACAAAAAATGATGGTGTTTTACTAGTTAGATATTTTGCTGATCATCCACAATTTGGTGCTGATGAACAAGAAATTGATGATGTTGTACAACGTAATCTTTTTAATTTTTCATATCCGGTTGAAACTACAAGTAAAAAACTTGGAATTAAATTTGAGGAATTAGAAAAGAAAATTAAACAAAGAACTGATTACGGAGAAAATATTTGTTGTCTGTATAAATATCAAAGAGGATCAACAGATCAAACTCGATTAATTTCAATTCATTTATGTGGAATAGAATCTGTTGTTCGAGAGATTTATCAAGAATTTAAGAAGATTTCAGATGAATATTTACCGATACCGTGCAATATACAATTAAACTCAGGCCAAGTACGTACTGTCAAAGTGTATTATTATTATTAATTTTGTTGAATAAGTAATCGTTTCATTGGGTGTTCGCTTTTTAAATACTATTTATTTCTAGGTTAATTTTTTGTTAAATGTTTATCTCGGTGATTTAATCGAATTCGAGAAACAAAATGAAACTGATGGCGTAGATTTACGATCGAAATTGAAAAACGAACCAACAAGTCAATTTATAGCACCGAAATATTTACATGCAAAAATAAAACTATTCTTACTTGAAATGAGTCAATTGAAAGTATTATCAAAAGAGATAAAATGTGCAAAACAATTAATTCATAATAAAAAAGATGAACTATACGAATTAGCATTAAAAAATCGATGTTTACTTTCAATAACATTATCACCTCAAGCCACAGTCTCTCGTAGAATAACACCTACGATATCTAAAGTTAGTTCAGGAACAATAAATATATCCAATGGTGATCTAACAACAGAACGAGTAAGATAGAAAAAAGAACACATTTTGTTTTCTTAATATTTTCATTTAGTCTGATGTTCTCGTTGTTTGTTCATCATCTGCAAAACTTTGTGAGAGTGTAATTCGAGCAGCTGGAAAACAAGTTGAACAAGAATTAAATGGCGTAGATCTAACAAAGAATGCAACTGACACATCAGTTGGGAATTTAAAACAAGCCAAACGACTTTTCTTTTTACCTTGGACACCACCTGCTTCATTTTTAAATAATCAAGACATCGATGTACTTCGCCAGTCGATCTCAGCATTTGTTAAACAAGCGATTCAATTTACTATTCAAGGACAATTTAGGAGTATTGGTATGCAGTATAGTTGATTTTTTTTTGATTGAAATTATTAAATGAATTTTAGCTTTTCCCGCCATTGGATGCGGTGGTTTTGGAATACAACCAGATATAATTGCGAAAATTATGATTGATGCAGTTCGTGAAGAACTCACGGCTGATCCAACTACACAGCTGGTAGTTACATTCGCTGTACAACAAGCACGTGTATACGATGTTTTTAATGCTACGCTCAAAGATACACCAATAGGCGATGGTATTCGAAGCCGTCCGTTATCAAATCAAGAAAGTTAGTAGAATTATTTATTGAATTGATAAATAGTTCATTTGCATTTCTTTCTAGAATTTGCGATTACTCTTACAACATCTAATTCACATATTCAGACAGCCAACAATTTATTAGCAACTATTGAAAATGTTCTCGTTCCATCGTTTTCTTCCTAAATCTTGATTTTAGAAAGAAATCGCATGCTTTTTTAAAATTTTTATAATTTCAGTGTGTTTGTTTCGTACTGAAAATAATATTTGAATATTGCAAAATAGAAGAGGACTAGATGAAAGCTGGACTACGACACCTAATTAAAATTGGCACGATATTCCCGCCCTCGATTCACTTTCGGGTCTGCATTGAATCTACAACAGGTTTTGTTGGAAAGAAAATTTCATCTGCTAGTGCATGGTAAAATTTTTGATGAGCCTCATCAGAACGTACATAAATAGTCGATATATCTACAAAATTTGTGCTGATTGGAAGGGCTTCTTGAAAAAGTGAAATAGAAAGACAATATATCCATAATTTTCAACACATTCCTGATTTATTTACCATGAAATTTTAAAACGTTATTTTAATTGAATATTATAACGAGTTGTGCAATGTTTTAGACACTTCAAAGCGTATGAGTGATTGAAAAGTGAACAACATATAGTCACTTCTCCAGCATTAACAATTTCTTTTTACCTTATTAATATGCAATGAATGAAACCTCTGATGTCACGCGACAAAGAAAAATAAAATAATCAGCAAGAGAAAAGATTATTGTATAGTATAAACAAATTGGAATATTTTGTCAATAGATTTATTTTAACCTATATCCAAACACTTCATATTCCAACCAAAATATTTTTGTCGAACAATTTCAGGTACTTATAGTCTACAAAATACTATCATAATTCTTAATTAGATTTATCTTGTTGTGTCTCTGTTAATGAAGCGAAAGTAAAGAAACCATTGTTTCTCGTTACATATGGGTCCATCTCAAACACGTAGCTTGTCTATAAATGATAATTCTTTGTTGTCAATACCATCCGAGTTGAATCAACGGGAACTAACATCCACGAATTTGTACAGGTTAGTAACACCGATAGAATAAGTCTATATAGATCTATTGATAAAGCGTCCACAATTTGCTAACTACATGAACTTCTATTGTGTTAGGAAACGACGGAGAGGTGCCTTCATAATCAATACAAAGCCGTGTTCGACATTCCCATTAATTTTGCCAATGATTAGTGCATTTGCTTTTGCAATTATGGTAATCATCGTTTATGCACTCATTTCTGCATTCACACAACAAGCAGGAGCTACGAGCACAGGTATATGTAGACTAATTTCAAATCTTAAAAGTATTGCGGATCACCAACGAATGATTTCTTCTGAAGTTACTCTACTTTTCTTTCTCTAGTACACGTAAGATAATCATTTTAGAAACTAGAGAAACTTACAAAATATTCATGGATATTAAAGTGATGTTGCATCTTGAACAAAATTTATTATTTTTAAGTGAGACATTCATTGTGGGTCAATTCTCATAGTCTAGCCAGTTTCCGTTGAATTCCAGAGGCAGAGTTCCTAAATGTTTGTCCGAACTCCAATATAAAGTAAAGCCAGGCCTACAGACTGCATTTTTATCTGTACTGGTGAAGACTAGGTAACAATTTTAGAAGGTTCTTCAAGTTCACTCAATGATATCATGTTCAAATGAAGAGAAAACCTAAAACTCATATGATTAAACCATTACGTCTACAAACAAAACATTTTTTCACTCTCAGCTACTCTCTCGCCTGTAGTAGATTAAACAATGACCATGCACACTCTCTAAGATATGTCGAATCATACGGAAAATAGCGGAAAGTGTTTGGAAAGCTTTAGCCCGATACTTGTTCACGTAGTACATACCATGTGCAAAAACTTGGCATGCTAACATTGACTTAAGGGTGCTCCGATATAATTTTTCTTAGAATGCAACCCAAACTTATGACTATTCAAATTTCAAAAAAAACAACAGAATGCAACACATTGTTGATTCAATTTTTTCCTGTATGAGCCATTATACTAATAACTATGCTAGGATTCATAACCAATAAAACGGCGGCTTTTACAACAACGGCTTCTACGATCACTGGAACGACCGCTTCTACGGCTACGGCTACGGCTGCAGCCACCACCACAACGACGACGACTACAACCACTACGACAACTACTACCGTAACGAGCGTGTCAAGTAAGTTTACTTTTATCTACTCATAACGACATGCTTCAATCTGAAAGAAGACCATTCATAGCAGTTTGTCCGGTAGTCAGTTTGATTGGATGTGGGTAACTGTGACTAGCTATACAAATCTTCATTTCATCTACACCCTAAAAAATTAGTAAAAAATATATCATTACCATACACAGTGTCCAAAGTATGATGTTTTTTTTTATAAATTTGCAAGACGACTATCATGCAAGAATGATACTTCATCGTTAGTGTAAATATTCCACTATAATATATTGATAAATACTGTATTTCGATCTAGAAGTTCGGTGCTCATTTAGGGCTGAGCTTTGATGTCTTGCAGTGTCCATGAAAGAATGTGAAGTATGAATGTGCATAAGAGTGATAAATTGACTCTTGGCATACACCTGTTTCGCTCAGACATTCTTCTTGATGAATAATGGCACAAACTCGTTGTTTTTTTACATCGAGGTACTGCAGTTCAATCCTAGCGATTTCATCCAAATGTTTCTACACACATTATCCAGTTAGTTTTACTGAAAGACACAATCATAAGTTTTTCATCTGCACAGCTAATAATCCAATATCTAATCAACAGCAGTTGTAAAGATATGAAGTTTATGATTGTATCTTTTGCCGAGGCTCAATTCATAGTATTCTTTGAAATGTTTTCGAACGAAGCCAACAAGTTTGAAACTATCCATCGGAAAATTACAAGAGTGATAATTCCTATGACAACCACACATCATATAAACACATTTACCTAGTACTATCTCGTGCTCTTGGTACAATGAGTCACATATGAGTGTAGTTTATGGAAAGTCTTAGATTGCTGCATTGAAAATTGTGTTTTTAGAATGGTTGAACACAAACAGCACGAGTTTTGCACGATACCGACATACAGCATCGATACTAACCAATGGGAATGTCTTAGTTGCTGGTGGCTATGATGGTAGTAGTGCTTTAAATAGTACAGAACTGTATAATCCATCAACCGGAGTTTGGACAATGACCGGTAGCATGAGGTTTACACGATACACACACGCTGCATCCCTACTTGCAAATGGAAAAGTCTTAGTAGCTGGTGGACTTAGTAATATTGGTTATCTCAATAATGCAGAACTGTACGATCCATCAACAGGACAATGGATAATGACTGGGAATATGAGCACTGTACGAGACTCACCAATATCTGCGATCCTAACCAATGGTAACGTTTTGGTTGCTGGTGGATTGGCTTATGGAGCTTATTTGAACAGTGCAGAACTGTACGATGCATCAACAGGGGTTTGGACAAAAACTGGCACCATGAATAATAGTCGAAAGTATCATACCGCATCGATTCTAACTAATAGGGCAGTCTTAGTGATAGGTGGATTTGATGACAGTGTTTATTTGAATACCGCAGAACTATATGATCCATCAACCGGAGTTTGGACAAGCCTGGCACACATCATCGACACTAACTAATGGAAATGTCTTAGTTGGCGCTGGATTTAATTCAGTCGGGGCCTACCTGAATAGTGTGGAACTCTACGATCTATCAACAGGAGTTTGGACTGAGCTTGCCAACATGAATGTTAAACGATACCAACACACAGCATCAGTATTAACTAATGGAAAAGTTTTAGTTGCTGGTGGATCTGGTATTACTACCGCACTGAATAGTGCAGAATTGTACGACCCATCAACAGGAAATTGGACTATGACTGGTAGCATGAATATTGGACGATACTATCACACAGCATCGACGTCAACCAATGGAAATATTTTGGCTGTTGATGGCAGAAATGCTATCGCGTATTTGCAGAGTGCAGAATTATATGAATGATCATTGTTAAACTGACATATTTCTTATTAGACTGAAATTTGAACTTTTAAAATTTTTCTGATGTTCATAACTTAAGTACAATAGCGCTGCATTTTTTTAATTCAATTGATTTTACCATTTATGCTACGGATTTCTCTTAATCTTCATAGCTTGTGGGTGTCGATATGAAAAATTTACAAACGACTAACAGTTGAATTTTTTGTCTGAACAGAAAATTGTTAATCTCAAAATATCAAATTCAATTTCAGAAATTCTCAATAGATCGGCGTTATCAGTGTTTACTTTCTTTTCAAAAATATTGCGAATGATTTCCCTCTGACGGTGAGGATGTGGGTGTCGGTGTAGATGAAAAGGAGGTTGAAAACTTTACTTGCACACACCCACACTCACGTACAAGATATCTACACAATGGAAAGAAAATTTCCTAGATAGAGACCCTTTTGGCCTAATTCTTTTTTACCAGAATGAATACAGAATATCAACAAACATGAGGTTCAAAGAAAAATAAAATATAATTTCTGAATTTCGATTTGTATTGATTGACTGTAACAATTATAAAGTTATCAAATAAAGCGTCCATTCATTTCGTATGATGGCACTTATTGAAAGAGAGCTCTTTCAGCTTCAGAATTAGCAAATAAATCTTGTCCTTGATAATATTCATTGATATTTTCGAGAAAAGTTAAATTGACAAAAAGCAAAGCAGTGACCACGACATTTTCATTGGACTCCACTCGTAGAATAAGTTCATCGTCATTGTTTACAGCTACTCTATATTCGATATCCTCGGGTTCCCCTGGCAATAAATCTCTTTGATTCAACAGAGTCTGCTTGTGCTTAGTAAATGAACCTGGTTTGACTCGTATTTCAATAATGACGCACCACCGTTGACTATCCGAAAATATTCTTTCGGAATATACTGCATCCGCTGCATAAAATATACTCGGTGAAATGAATACAGCATTGGCCCAATTCGTGAATGATCCCACTTTTACATTCAAACCAATATGACCTTTTTCTGGAGAAATTTGATGTCCAGGTGATAACACAGTGCCTGCTGAGTGTAAACCATACTTCATAATTGAATGTAAATGCTTATATTTAGTTCCATGCCAGGCCAATGTCCAATTTGTTTCTAAGTATGATTTTGAATACTGCGAATAGTTGTCGAAATTTCTCAAAATCTTTTTACCAATAATTTTATCAGCATATTTTAAAACAATTAAATTTTTGACTAATTCATCACTCTTTAATTTATTTAAGCACGAATTTATTTTATCGTCAGTTTTTGACAGAATACAATCCCGAATTTCTCGACTGCAAGCTTCATCTTTAGGATTGTTTCCAAAACTATTTCTTATTTCGGGATTAGCTTCATACTCAAGCAACAGCTCAACTATCGATTGGTGCCCATAAAATGCTGCTGCATGAAGAGCTGTGCTTCCATCACCTTGAGTTTCATTTGTTTGACATCCAGATCTTAACAAGAAATGACATATATTATGAAAACCACTTCTTGTTGCAATGTAAAGTAATGTTCTTCCATATTCGTCTCTCTGGTTTAGTAAATATTTTTGTTTGCTAATTTCTCTTACGAATAATTCATAGTTGCCAGTAATCACATAATAAAAATGATCTTGCTTTTTAACGAAAAACATGTCATTTTGTCTCGTATATCTGCTTGGATCTTTTGAGCACAGAATAGCGTATGCCAATGAACATATTGCTCTTTCATATCTAGAAGATGACCGTATTTTTTGTTTAAAAGCAAATTTTATTGTCGAACGCGATGAATTTGTACTAATACTTAATGTCTGGAAAGGATTTATCATATTAGGTACTTCCATATTTTTTCTCAGATAATGTTTAATTAATAATAATCTTTTCCTTCAGTTTGTTATTGAAATAGAAAATTATAATGTGCTGTGATTGCAGATTGATATTATTAAGAAATCTGGAAATATAAAACAAATGAGTTCAATGTAAATAAGGCCTTGTCTACACTAGAAAAGTTAATGCTGAATTAAGAAACATGGTTGGTTGAAAAGTTAATTCAGATTTAATGCCCTTTTGAAAAGTGAATTAAAGTTAATGCATCAATCTATAAAGAACTTGATGGATTAATTAGAATCTCGGACAGGCCTCAATGAGATTGCTGTATATTATCGATAAATAGATATTTTTTATAAAGAACAGGAGGTGAAGTATAAAAATTAAGAACTCTAGAATATTGAACGAAACTATAGTTGAAAGAAATAAGTTAGAGAAGCAGATATTTTGGTGGCAAATTTCATCATTTGTCGTTAATCATCAAAAAGAGACAGAAGCGACTTTTTCTTTACTGAACATGTGCTAAATTTATACATGCAGGCTACATTATTGAGGTTACTTCTCAATTCTGATTGATGCATACAACTTATAAGTGTAGACGCACGTAGATTTAATTCGAATTAATGCCGCATTATCTTTCTAGTGTAGGCAAGGTCTAAAAGTATTCTGACTCATACTGAAAAAGTTTTCTACAGTATTGAAACTACAATGAATAGAAGTAAATGGGTGTTTCTGCGCTCGAAATAGGGGTGTTACTTTATCTTTATTGATCTTTATATTAAAGAATAACGATAAATAATTTGTATAACAACAGAAAACATTGATTGCAGTTCCTGCTTATTGTCACTGACATTGCAGTATGAAATAATACTAGCAAATGATGGTGAGGCATAAATCATTTATGAAAACAAATCTAGTGTTCAAAATTTTTTTAGCCTTGAACTTCTTAATTTTCTTCGAGCTATCCAGACAAGACCAAATTTTGGGTTTGTAAGGGAAATTTTTTTTCTTTATTCTCTATTTTATCGTTATTAAATACCCAGGTCGAACAGTATGGTCCGTATACGGCCATTGACGGCTACTTTACGACTATTTTACGGGCGAAATTTTGCCGTAATATCTGGCGCAGTAATACGGACCGTATTATCTTGAGTGTACGGAGCACAAACAGCCGTAAACCATGAAAATTCAGTCCCGTTTATGGTGCCGTATTAGTGCGTCAGGTATTATGGGCAAATACCGTCTATTTACTGCCGTAAAGATACCGTTTTGACATCGTTTACCGTCGACAAACAAGCCGTAAACGAGTCCGTTTTGATCAACCTGGGTAAAGATAAAGCTACCTTTTCTTTTTCTTTATTTTATAAAGATAAAGATTATCGTTATCTTTACTTTATAAATATAAATATTTTATTTATCTTTATTTTTTAAAGAATAAAGATTTCATAAATTCTTCATTCTTTATTTTATAAATATAAAGATTTCATTTATCTTTATTTTTCAAATATAAAGGTTTTATTTATCCTTAAAAAGTGAAGTAAATATAAAGTAACACCCCTATTCAAAGAGTCTATGGGGTATTCCATTTCAAACTGAATTCAAAAAAGAAAAAAAACACCTGTACTTCCGAGGAAGGTGGGGGTTTAGGGGATCCTAGAAAACCCGCAAACAATTCGAACCAGACACCGATGAACAAACTTTCTTCACCAAAGCTTCACGATAATCTCTACACCTTCCACGCTTCGCATGTACCAACCAAAGCTGCATCCGTCACCCGAACACTAGTTAACCCCGAAACAAGAAGTATTCAATTGATTTCAGATTTCTGAACTCTGAACTCATAAATATGTATGTAGTTATGTTTACCCCCGTCCAAATGAAAGATACCTATACATGAATTCAGAATTCAACTGCATTCATCGAAGACCCCCTAGACTCCCCGTTAAAAAAAACATACCTACATACATATATATGAATTCAGAATTCAGAATTCAATTGAATTCATCGAAGTGAATAGTTTCGAAGATCCCCTAGCCCCTCATTTGTTTTTGAAATGACGGGTCTTTTTTTTTTGGTAGAATTCAGATTGAAATCATATACCCCATTGTATGTATTCAAAAATGGTAAAATATTGGTCTTTTTAAAGATTGTGAATAAAGAAATTCCCACTGGGAATTTCCCAGTGTAAAGAAAGTCTTACACACCAAAATAAAAAATGAAGTTGACGTAAGGTATATGCTGTTCATGAGCTGCACTTTATTAAAGGTTTCATTGTGCAGTAAAAAGTTCCTACAAAAACGAAAAATGACGTCAAGTGTTTACTCGAATTATATATACCACAACTTTTATTTCTTCGCTGACATATGTAAAAAGTAAATATAGAGGTGGAGAAATCCAATTAAAATGAATATGAGTCAGACTGTGCATGTTGTTTTGAGTGGCGTAGTATTTAATAGTTGTAGAAAAAAGTGGAGACATTATCATTCCTATTGAATCCAGCATAAACATGAGCGTTTATCCACAGATAAGCATCATATGGGTTGATTCTGATCCAAATATTTACCGTAGCACAGGTTTGTTCCAAGATCAAAACTGGAATGTGATATGTTTCAATGAAACAGCTGATGCGCTGAATGCTCTGCGTGCCAAAAACTTGAAACTGGAAAATATCAAGTGCGTCATCACAAGTATGATGGAACGTGATGGACGGCGAGAACGAGAACTCATGAATGGACTCCAAATGTTAGATGACATGAAAAGAATCTGGAACCAAAGCAGATCAAGGTACCGTCCACTTATGGTTGTCAATAGCTTGACAGCTGATGTAAATCAATGTAAAGAACATGACGTTGATATTGTTGTTGCTGCGAATCGTAATATTGTTCAAAAAAAAGTCATTGATCGACTTAATGCACAGTTGAACCGAAGGTATGGTGAAAAATTAGATGACTATTCTAAGGCACTAGCGGTTTTTCCAAGGGGGAAAGTGCAGGTTTGGAACCCCCAGCACCTCAGCACCTTTTCGGCACCTTCAGCACCCGCAGCACCTTTTCTATAGCGAGATTTACTTCAGTCGTATGGAAATGAATCGGAAAAACTACTTTCATTTTCAATAGTAGAGGTGAATTTTTTCTTGAATTATTCACAGAATCTGAATGAGATTTATTTCAGAATAAAAAAGTCAACAGAAAAAGAAAACCATCCTTCGAAAGTAACCGTATATCAAATTGCAATATGATATACC